TAACCCTAACCCTAACCCTAACCCCTATCCCTGCTCCCACTCTCCACCTCCTCCCACCTCTGGACCCTGAGAGCGCAACTGAAGCTGTGGGAAGCGGACCAGAGTCAGTTTGAGAGCAAGAGGAAAGGTGAGAAGGTCAGCCTGACCTTCGAAGCGCGACTTGCGGCGGAAGAGGGCCCTCCTCAGCTGAGCGACTCGCAAAAACCTAGCGAGCAGGTTGAGAAACGCCGGGGCACAAGAGTGTCCGCCTGGCGTAACCGAGGCCGAGCGGCCGAGCGAAAGCGCGAGTCAAGCAGAAAACCGAGCAGCACGAACACAGCACCGCCAACTTCGCGCTCCAGCGACGTTGGTAGCACTGTGCGGACGTGCTGAGCCAAGAGAGGTGCCTCGCGACGGGCAGAACGCGAGAAAAAGGGAAGGAAGGGCGAAGCGAGAGACCGGAGCCGGTACTGTCGTTTGTGGTTGCAGCGACTGCTACAAGAGTCGAGGGGGAGAAGCAGGCAGGAGATAGAGGTGCAAGAGTGTGTGAACGGGCGGCAGCAGGCGAAAGAGAGGCGGGAAAGAAGCAGGTCAGCGAGAGTTGGAAAGCGGAACAAACTTTGGCGCGACTTGAACGCACCGCCAATCCGGCTGTCTCGCGCGGGAGCCGTTCCTAGAGCTATATGAGCATGAAAGTCGCGTCAGCGGCTGTCCAGTCCCGGTGCGAGTGAAAGAGAAGGAGGAGCGATCGTTGAAAGCGAACGTACCGGGCCATCTTGTCGCTCAACTGCCAGGACGGTGCTGCGAGAACAGACGAGCCGCGTCAGTACCGTCCTCTGCACACGCTGCCGAAGCACTGAGCCTCCAGCACGCCTCACGCCCGCTCGCCGAGTTCCCGCGAGGAGGAGCAGGTGAGCTTTGCGCGCCCACCTCCCGTCTTTTCCACCGTCCAGCTAGCGCGCGGTCCCGCACAGAGCTCACGCGCTGTCCTCGCACTCACCCGGTTCCGCCCGATGCCGTGTGCAAGCCGAGTGAACGGGAGACGCACCCGGACTTCGAGGTCGAGCGACGGCAGTAGGCGGGAGCAGGTGAGGCGGATGAGGCGGAGACAGCGTCAAAGCATCCGATAGCAAGGGCCTCGCAAGCTCAGCAAGCCCTCAGAGCGTAGCGAGGGTCGTCGAGGAGGACAAGGAGCAGGTCGACCGGTCGTGCAGTTCAGGCTCCTCCCACTGCGCCTTTGTGCTCATACCGGCTTGGTACTGCTGCCAGCCTCCCATTGACTTCTGCTTGACCCACCCACACCGCTCACAACTGCCCCGCTGTCGCATCCTCATCGCCCAACTTCCCCTCCTCGACGCCTCGACCTCGACCCGCACTGGCACTCGCTGGAACCGCTCGTTGGCACGCCTGGGAGACCCAGACACTACCGCTTTACCTAACATGGACCCTGGGGACCTCGCACTCCCGCTGTGCCTTCGTCCTTGGCCGTCGCGAGTCCCGCCTGGCCTCGAACGAGCCGCACCAGGTATCTTGATCGAGCGCTCCCCTTCGACGCTGCAGCCTGGGCGTACCGTATGTCCGTGAAGCCGTCGTTTGCGGGAACAAGACGGCCAGACCGCGCCACTCCTCGCTGAACCGCTTCCGCCGTCTGTCTCCTCGCTCGCTTTCTCTCCTCTCGGTCGATCTCTCTTTCCTTCTTTCTCCCCAGCTCTCCTCGTCCACCACTACACATCACATCTATCCTACGCGTACGCCTTCGGTCCCTGCCTCTCCAGCTGCATGCGCATCCCGCTGATCCCTCCCTCCGCAGAATGGTCAAGCTCGTCTCGTTCGCCGCCCTTCTCTGCGCACCCCTCGCCCTCGCCAACCTCTCCCTCGGCCCTGCCGACGCAAGCGGCTACGCCTGCTACCACGGCACACTTGGCGTCGACGCCAACCTCGACAGCACCAACTGCAACGCCGAGAGCCTCAACATCTTCAGCCTGGCCATGGACTCGAACTTTGTGTTCTGGGCGTCGCACTCGGGCTACAAGACCGGCACCGACTCGACCAGTCGCTACATCACCCTCGCTCCTGGCCAGACGTTCAAGGCTCCGCAGGCAGCCAACCCGTACATCCGGGGCTTCGGGCTTGAGAGCTGCGCGCTCTCCGTCACCAACACGGGCAAGACGAGCTACAACGTCCACACGTCGTCGATCAAGTACCTGCCGCAGTTCATCACGAGCAGGTGCCCCGACTTCGGGTCGGCGACGAACGTGCCCAGGGGCCACCACGCCTCTTGGGGCGGCGTCATGAACAATGCCGTGAGCAAGCTCAAGTACACGCTCACCCGTGTCGACGGCCAGAAGTAGTGCACTTGTTTCGGCTGTTTTCCCTTGTTGTTTCCTCCATCTCGTTCTTTCCCATCCCTCTGTCGTGCATCTGCGTCATTGGTCTTGCATCTTTTTCGTCCATCAAGGCCAGGCAATGTGAGCGGAAGCAGCCGGAGCGAAGTAGCGTTGTGCGGGAAAGCAAGAAGAGCGAGAACGGCGGAGGAAGAACGCGAGTTGCAGAGCAGCCCGCTACGCCACCGCGACCTGTCTAGGCATGCGACGCTCCTGTAAATGCTGCAGAAGGGCGGAAGTCAGCGCTTGAAGCGGAACGAGGAGCGGAATACCGGAACGCACCGAAAGCTCCCCGCTTCCCGTCGAGCTGGCGTCCGACAGCGATGAGACTGGGCTGCAAGGGAGAGCGAGTTGTCAGCTATGCCGCGAGCCATTCCAACCGAACGGAACGCACCTAAACGACACCGCCGCCGCACCCCTCCGCGAACTCTTCGGCGGCCGAGGCGGAAGCGGCTTGTCGAGACCGCAGGACGACGATACGAGACGCCCTTTTGGCTCGGGGTGCGTAGGCGAAGTCGGTGAAGGGAGAGGGTGGGCGGGAGACGGAGGAGGCGAGGCGATCTCGAGGACAGGCCGTTTGCGCGGGAGGGACTGGATCGATGGCGACACATCGTGCGACGTCGCGGGGACGTCAATCTCCTCCTCGGCATCGTAGAACGCGTCCGAAGCGCCGTGCGTGTCGTCTGAGCAGGCGTCGGCGTCCTCATCCGCGAGGATCGAAAGGCGCGAAGGCGGCGCGGCCTCCGCAGTGCCATTCTCCGCACCAGGCCTTCCAGCTGCATCGGTCGCCATCGCACCATCCGCCCCTCCCTCAACCACCGCTCCGGATGCCGAGAGAGGAGGTGAAGGCAGCGCACCCGCGACTGGCGCATCCGACGAGACCGGCGCGGCGTACATCAGCGGCGGCAGAGAGCTCGCAAGCTCGGCGAGGGCGTCCGGTGAAAGCTGAGGCGGTGCAGAGGACGTGGAAGGCGGGGCGAACGAAGCAGGCGGAGGTCGAGGGGTTGGCGCCGATAAGCTCGAAACGGATGCGAGCGACGCGGCGGTGAGACTCGATCCGGACGGCCTCGATGACGGAGCAGGCCGCTTGGTCCGCCCGAACGGCAGCGCATCCTCGGAGCCAGAATCGTCCCCGACAATCACGTCCATCCAGGCGTCCAGCAAATCCTCCTCGCGCCGCTGAACCCGCTGGCGAGTCGAGCCAAAGATGATATCATGCGCGACGGTCGGCTTGGCGTGCTGCTTCTTGACGAGCGCGAACGGGCGGGAGGAAGACGAGGCGGAAGCGGAAGGGACAGACGAGGCGGAAGATTCGGCGGAAGTGGCGGACGAGGTGGTGCGAGAGAGGGCGGACGACTCGAGTGAGGCGGTCGTCGAGGTGTACACCGAGGAGATGGGCGAAGCGAGGGGCGGCAAGGGGAACGAGGCGGCTGCATTCGTGAGACTGGTCAGGCTCGTCATCGGGAAAAGTTCAGGCAGATACGGGCGACGCACCAGAGATACCGGGATCCTCCAAGGACCCGCCCAAGCCAGGCAAGCCGATTCCCAGCCCGCCATCCTCGACGCTCATCTTCCTCACGCGCTCGAGAACGAGCAACTCCTCATCGCTGGACTCATCCCGCCGCGCCTGTTGCGCCGTGGACGATGCGGCACCTTGTAACGGAACCGATCCGTCCCAGCATGGGTCCGCAACCGTCTCAACCTCTTCTTCGAGCGCAAGAGCGGGGACGGGCTTGCGCTTGACCGACTTGCCGCGAGCCGACGGTGCGGTCGACGGCGCCGGGCCGAGATCGAAGCTATCGAGAGCAGTAGAGGCTGACGAGCGGCGTTGAAGGGTGTAGGGGGAGAGGGCGGACGAAGGCGAGGCGGAGGAGAGTGAACTGGCCGCGAGAAGGGGCGTTGGGGCCGTTGCAGGCCAGGCGAGCGAGTGCGTCGGCAGCGATGGCCGTCGAAACGCCGGTGCCGACGCCTGCGACGCCGGAAGCTGCTCAGACGCTCGACGAACCTGACGAGGCGGTGGCGGTTCCATCGCGAGCAGCTCCTCCAGCCCGTCCATCCCGCTCGGCCTGCACCGCACGGCATCCCTCGACCCGTCCGCAAACAGGTCGCGCGTGATGGCTACGCTCCGCCGCCTCGCATGCGTCGACTGCCGATTTCGAGGAGCGGGAGAAGAGGCGTCGCTGCGTGCGGAGGACGAGGTCGAATCGGCGCTGGGCGCGGGCGAGGCGGACGACTGCCTGATGCCCGCGAGACTGAGGCGGCGCGAGTGGCCGTTTGACGACAGGCTGAACATGCCGGCGGCACGTTTCGCGTCGGGTCGAGTGGGGAAAGCGGAGGCGAAGGGGAGGCGAACGGGCGAGGGGAGGACTGGATGGATGGACGAGCGACCGCGCAGGCTCAGGTGGGGTCGATGAGCGAGGCGGGCGGGCGAAGGACGGTCTCAAAGGCAGGAGGCAAGGAAGGATGCGATCTGGGAGGAGAGGGAAACAACCGTCAGCTTCACCGCCTGGACCGCCCGCATTGCCCTCAAAGCACCCCGCCGCCACAACGAGTGCCCACCTGCCACCACGTCCGAAAGCGAGCGAGAGGGGACGAACCTGCGCGACGATGTGTTCCGATTCCGAGAGAGGGGCGCCGTGACCGTTTCCTGCGCGTGCGAGGCGAGTCGGGCGCTGTCGAGCGTGTCGAAGAAGTCCCAGTAAGCAATCCTAGAAGCAGCAACCGTCCGCCTGAGCGAGCAGGAGCGAGGCGAGAGGCAGAGAACAAGCGATTCCGACGGACGGCGACAAGTGGCGAGCGAGTGCGCGTGGGTGGTAATGGAGCGCTGTACACGCTGCCCGACTCGTGCAAGCGCGTTCATCTGCGCGCAAGCTCCGCGAACCGAACTCGAGTCGCCGGAAGAGGGAAGGAGGAGGCCAAGGGCGGCGGCGAGCGGCGAGGGCTGCCATCCTGCGCGATCGTGTGCGTCGGGTGCGTTCCAGCGAGCGGTGCATCGTGTCCTCGAGGCGAACGAGCGAGGTCGACGAGGATGAAGAAGCGAGAGAATGGAAGGCCGGGAAGCGGGAGGGTGAACTCGCAAAGTCGGCGAGCAGGTTTCATAGCAGGCCGGCGTGCTCTCCCTGACGAGTGCGTGAGAATGCGCCACACTGCAGCACAACCGAGGGGACGAACGAGTTCAGTTGAGCGGAGCGAGTTGCAGCGAGAAGGGCGAAGCGCAGTCTACAGGGGACGTGGGTAACAATGACAGGGATCAAGGTCAGCGGGCAAATGCAAAGGATGCTAGAGGCGCAGGCGGATAACGTGGTCGGGAAAGAACGAGGACGGGCGGAGGAGTCGAAAGTCGAAGGCGGATTCCGGAGGCGAGGCGGGAGACGAATGCATAGTACGACAATAGTGAAAGGAGGCGCTGAGACGATGCGAAAGGCGGAGGCGATGGCAAGCGATGCGGAGGACAGACGAGGGGCGAGAGGACGAGGCTAAACCTCCATATTCGCGACCTCGTCGTCCTCGCCTGCGCTGTAGTTGTTGTTATCGTCATCCTCCTGTGCGCGAGATGTGGAGTCAGTTTCACCGGTTGCAAGCTTCGACGAAAGCGAGAGACCGGAAGTCGAAGGACACGAACGCACATCTGAATCGCTGTCGTCCGAATCGTCATCGCCGTCGCCGTCTGCGGCCCCGCTGCTCGCGTACTTCTGGACGTACTCTGCGGCACGTGAGTGGGTCAGTCTGCCGTACTTCAACGCGCAGCTCCCGCCGACGGCCCAGCTCAAGCTGAGGGCGAGAACAGGACGCGAAACGAGCGGACGCACCCTTGACTTTCGCATCGTACGCCTTCTGATCCCGCATCAACAGCGCCGCAGCTTCTCCATTCAGCGGGTCCGCCGCGTTCGGGTACCGCAAGAGCTGCGGAAGGAAGACCTCGAAGATGTTGATCATGTCGAACATGGGCGACCAGGTCTGGTTGATGACGTCAAGGCAGACCGAGCCGGAGAGCTCGTCGATGTTGGCTGCGCCGAGTGAACGCCCGCAAGTCAGTTGTCGCCTCCTCGACAGAGTGGAGTCTCGGGAAGTCCAGTACAGCCGGAACCTCCGAACAGCCCATCCCGCGAGCGCAACTCACGGTGAAAGATCTTGTTCTGGAAGCCGATTGAGGGCGACTTGTACGGGTAGCCGTCTGGCAGCTCGACGTGGATCTTCCAGACGCCGCCGGCGAAGGGGGCTGCGGGGCGGACACGGATGATTAGCGCGTCGCAGGACCTAACCCAAGAGCTCCGCAGAGTAGCGCTGGAGCTATCTAGCGAGCAAGAGGGTGCTGGAACAAGCGACGCACTCTCCTCGGGACCCTTGAACTTGACGTAAAACTCCTGCATGTTGTCGTTGATGAGGTTGACCTCGTAGTCGCTCATGAGGCTGCGTCAACGTTGGCCGGGTACATCACAGCGACAGTTAGCGAACGACCCCATTGCATGCGAATTGAAGCGGATCTTAACGACGCACAGCTTCATCATGTCCGTCTCGATGCGTCGTTTCGGCGAGCTCATGGTGGCGAGCTGTGCAAGATGAGGAGAGGTAGGTGAAGGCGAAAGAAGGCTGGTCCTGCAGGTCACGAGGAAGGGTGATCGAGGAGAGTCAGCACCGGGTGAGCGGGAGGAGGGTGGCGAGTCGTGCGCTGTGCGGGTGCGGTATCCAGTCCTGCATAATCCCCTTGCACTAAGTGCAACCTGGCGACACTCCCGCGCCCTTGTCCTGCCTCATGCGAGCCCTTGGAGATGAGGTGGGGAGGCGAGTTCACGCGAAGCCATATCGCCCGTCCACACGAGCTCTGACGCCCTTCGGACAAGCCCTGCGTACTCCCAGCATCCGACACTTCGCTCTGGTAGGCCACCCGCCCGCCTGCTGCTGACCACGCATGACTCGCTCCCTCATCGCCAATCCCGACGGTTCGTGCATCTCCCTCCACGCACAAAGCTCGCACAGCCATCGGTACAGATCCAGCCACAAGCACGCAGTCTAAGCAGCCCAGGGAGCAAACGCGCGACTCACAAAGGGCTGCTGCGGGCGGGTCTTGGAGCGAGGAGAGGCGGGTGCGGTCGATGGCGCGAGTCGGGACAGGTGCAGTGAGGGTTTCGATGGGTTTGCAGGGTCGAGTAGCGCTTTGTGAGTGTCTGCAAGCTTGTCCGAGCGGATGGGAGCGAGAGAGCGAGTGTGGCAGAAAGGAAAGGGAGAGAGGGAGGAGGAGACGGGCACACGACCAGCAAAGGCGGCTCGCACGGCTTGTGTTCGTGAGGCAGAGCACTATTCACTTTCTATTGAGGCGTCGGATACCCTGAGACTGCCCCGCGAGACGCGAGAGCGCTTGGTTTCCCCTTCGCTTCCCTCTTCCATTCGAACCAACGAGGTCGGGCGGACATCAGGACCAGCGAGAGCCAACCCGCAAGGGCCTTCAAGCACTTCAGCTCCGCAGTGCCGCTCGTAAGGAACAGGAAAACAGAGCGAGACTTGCGATTCCATCCTCCGCATTGAGCCACGCCTAGGCCTGCCGAGGTTTCACAACGAAGAGAAGAAGACGAGAGACGAGGAGAAGATGCTGGGATTCTTGGGCATTTGGTCGAGTCGATGCGAAAAGATGCGTTTGGTTTGCGAGCGAGGGAAGGGAAGGGGGAGGATTAGTGGCCGGCGAGGACGGCACCCATCGTGCGCTACGTAGGAGCGGGGTCAGCGGCGAGCCCAGTGAGGTCAAGTTGAGACGGACCTCGAGGGCGGGGTACGACGAGCCGACGTATTCCTTGAGCTTGGCGCCGTCCTTGTAGAAGTGGAACGTCGGCGCCATCTTGACGCCCGAGGTCATCCCGACGTCCTGCCAGCGAGAGTCGTCAGTCTTGCTACCCACGGGTCTCGTCGCGGGCGCTGCGCACCTGCTGCTCGCAGATGTCGACGCGGTAGAACTTGAAGTCCTTCCACCGCGGGTTCTCGGCGTACTCCTTAAACTTGGGCGCAATTCCCTTGCTGCGGGTCGCCGAATTCGGCGTCAGCTTGTGGTCTTCGTGCCATCGATCTGCACACGAACGCACCAGCTCTCCTCCCACGGCGCAACGAAGAAGATAGCCGTGTAGCCCTGGTCGGCGATCTGCGCAGCGCTAGTTCAGCCGCGCCCGTCTCGAGGGCCGCTGGGTCGACTCACGATGTCCTTGTACTGCTGCTCAGACTTGATGGCGGTCACAGGCATCTTGGGCGAATCGGGCAAAGTGATGTGGGGGTCGAGGAGGAGGTTGAGTCTGCGGGAGAGTCGACGAGGTCAGCGTGCGTTTGGGTGACGTGGGCGTAGTTTTCAGGGTGCTGGGTAGCTCCAGTCGTCGCTGCAAAGCCCACGACTCCTTCGCCGTCGACATCGCCCTCGCTTCTCCCCCACCTTCGCCAGACCCGCCTCATCTCGACGACAGCGCGGTATGGGAGCGCGGAAGCCCCACAGCTGGCGTTCCGTACGGCCACCGCTATCCTCCATCCACGACGAAGCCCGCCCAGAGCCTGAGCATCCCTTGACGTCTCCCGCAGGGTCACACGACATCCGCCTTCTCCGCAACCGACGCCGACGAGGCAAAGCCAGAGACGGCAAGGCGAGCTGGCCAAGGAGCGTCGACTGACTGTGTTGTGAGCGGTTATGAGCGAGTTCGAGCGAAGCGGGGTGTTGGGGGAAAGGAAGAGAGACGAAGGCGAGCGGGCTAATCCAGAGTTGTATTCAGCGAGGCCAAAGCAATACAAACTTTGTAATGACTCGCCCCTCTGACCTCTTCGAGGGACTCTGCAGACCCCGCACCAGCTGCAACAGCGTCTTTGCATTGCCTTCTGAGTCTAGGAAGCCCCGGCCTTGGCATTCAACGCGGCGACGATGCTCCCCTCGACCGACCTGAGCGTCTCTGGGCTCGAGTTCAAGCTGCTCATGAAGTAGATGACGTTGCCGAGTGGCCGTGCATGGATGTGAAACGGCGCGCCAGTAGGCGACGCAGCCGCAGCGGGGTCCGAATCGACGGGCGTCCCGAAGCGCAGTTGGGCGAGGACGGTTTCGGACGCCGTAGACTGGTAGCCTGATCCGTCGGCGGCTTTGAGGTGGATGGCGAGGACTGTACCGATCGCCATGACGCCGTCGACGGCCGGATGCGACGAGACCGCCTCGACGAACGACGACGACCAGAGCGACCAGACCCCCGACACCATTCCTCCCGCCGACGATCCCGCAGCCGCCGCCCAATCCTGCTTCGCCTCGTCGTACACGCCCTGCTTCTCCATCCTGTCTAGAATCGCAAGCGTCTTGTTCGCGACGCCGCAGCCGACCGCGTGCGCCGTGTAGGAGTGTCCATGGAGGAGGGCATCGACCTTCTTGTCGCTCCAGAAGGCGCGGAAGATGGCGTCGCTCGCGAGGGTGACGGCCATCGGCACGAGTCCGCCCGTGAGGATCTTGGCGTAGCAGGCGATGTCGGGCTTGGTCGACGAGCCGAGGAAGGTCGAGGCGGTCGTGCGGCCGAGTCGGTGCAGGCCGACAAAGACCTCGTCAAAGATGACTGGGAGACCCTGCCAGACGGGGTTCGAGCCAGTCGCGGCGAGCGTCGCAGAGTCGGAGGGCGCGGGAGAAGCGGCGGGGAAGAGCTGGCGGTTCGTCCGGACAACGTCGATCAGGACGCGCTGGTAGAGCGGGTCGACAAAGATCATGCCGCCGGCGCCCATGACGACGGGCTCGAGAACGAGGGCGCCAAAGCGGATCCCATCGCCCTTGTCAAGCCGCTTCTGCAACTCGCCCTCGATCTCCTGGCGGTACGTCTGCGCCAGCTCGTCCTCCTGTACTCGCCGGTCGACGTCGTACAGCTGCGTGAGCGAGTCGTACGACGTTGCCCGTCCGCCCTTGCCGCGCACCACGACCTTGCCCTGCTCGATTCGCACCTCGGGCGCCGCAAGCCAATACCCTCGTCCCTCGTACCACTCGACCCGCTCGCTGTAAACACCTCCCTCGCAAGCGTCCATCGCACCGATCGTGTCGCCGTGATAGCTCCCCTTCAGGCCAAGCACAGCGAGTCTCCGCCCTTCCGCAGGCGACAGCCGCTCGCGATCCGCGTACGCCCGCAGAGCCATCTTGAGCGCAACCTCCATTCCCGTGCTGCCGTCGTCCGAGAAGAAGACGCGGTCGGCCCAGCTCTCCCCGACGGTCGCGAGGAGTTTCTCTGCCAGTTCGAGGGCGGGAAGGTTCGTCGCGGTAGGGAACATGACGTGCCCGAAGCGGCCGGAGGCGTGGGCGGCGGCGAGCGTCAGCTCTGGGTTCGCATGGCCAAGGCACTGCGTCCACCAGGAGGCCGAGCCGTCAAAGACGGGAGAGAGAAGAGGGTGGGCGGGGGATTGAGCGGGAGGTAAAGAGGGAGTGGCGGCTGAGGTCGAGGTCGCCTGCTCAGAGGGGGAGATAGCAGGCGCAGTTGAAGGATCGGACGTGGGCGTAGGAGGCTCGACGGGCGGCGAACTGGTCGCAAAGACACTAAAGTGGTCGCCGTGAGCCGAGTCGATGACCATGACGTCCGACTCGTTCTGGACGAGCCCGTGCTGGACGAACGGCCACCAGACCTTGTCGAGTGTTCGTCGTGGTGCAGTCGCGAGGTTCGACATGCGGTCGAGGTGGATTTGCTGGAGACGCTGGACGATCCGCTGGAGGGGCGAGCCTGCCAACTTGCTGTAGTACGCTTCGAGGTTCGCTGCGTCCTCGGCGGCGTTCGTCACCTGCTCTGGAGGCTGGTCGATGACGCCAACGCGGATCCCCCGCTCCGTGAACCATTTCTCGAAGTACTGGTAGTTTGCGTAATACTCCTCCCGGAAGACGAGGACCGCATCGACGTCGTAGCCGCGCAGCAGCAGTGACTCGTACGCCGAGATCGTCGTCGAGATGCCGCCGAGAGCCGCGGAGGCGACGAGGAGCGTAGGAGGAAGAAGTGGTCGGAAAGCGTCGAGCTGGGAAGTGCCGGACAGGGTGGGAGAGTGGACGCCTGCGGACTCGGCTTCAGTACAGTCTTCAGGTACAATTCAGGTCCCACGTACCTCCTGCAGTCTCGATGTACAGGCTGCTCCGCTTGCCCGCCGTTTCCTCCGCGAACGAGCGAGCGTACTTTCCCACCGCCGCCGCAAACTCGGCGTCCGTTGTCGCCTTTGTCACCGCCTTGCTCAGACCTGCTGCTGACCGCTCGACAGCCAAATGAGGCGAGACTGGCTCGTCGAAATGGAAGAGACAGGCCGTCTTTGCCTGAGGAGCGAATCGCTGGAGATGTCTGTTCGCTACGGGGTTAGCTGGCGCTCGGTTCTACTGCAAGGACCGTACTCACAGCTCGTCGTCGCCATCACCGCTCCCCGTCCCGACTGGCTTGAGATATCCGACCTTTTCCCCGAGGGCAAGAGAAGCGCGTACGAGACCGGTGCTGAAAATGCTTTTGCCGACCGATGTCGACGGTGCGACGACCAAGTGGGTCCTGAGATGCCTCGACAGCATCCTGCGAGCCCCTCGATGCCGCAAGCGAGGCGTTGGGACTTTTCCGAGAGAAGGTGGGGAGGAGGAGCGATGTCGAAGCGAGGGGCGAAGGAGCGTCCGAGAGCGGCGCAGAGCCCACGAGAGAAGCTGTAAGGAGCGACTGCAAACCCCGCCGTCAAGATCAGCCGTGAGCGAGCGAAGCGTACGAAGTCAAGCGGGTGTTCGGACGGATCTCTTCGAGCGCGTGCTGGGTATAAGTAAACGTTGCAGTCTGTCGTCTCGTGAGTGTCTATCCAAACATCCGCAGCTCGATCCGCGGCGCCTCTTCCTGCCCCTTGGCGACAGCGGGTCCTCCTCGACCCTTCCCTCCAACGGCAGCACGGATACTGTCCTCGAGCAACTTGCGCTCGTCTTCAGGCAACGCCGCGGTAGCCTCCTTGAAGTGCAGCGAGAGCGATGTGGCGAGCGCGAGGAGGTGGTTGAGCGCGACGGTGTGCATCGGAGGGGGAGGTCGGGAACTCGAGAGGAGGAGGACGAGCGACGGCAGAATGACCGAGAGCGATTGTGTTCCTGTGGCGACTAGGAGTCAGCGAGTGATCTCTCGCGGGTGAAGCGAAACCGAATGTACTCCGCTCGGGCGCGACAGACGCCAAGACCGCCACAAACGCCTTGAGCACCTCGTCGACCGCCTTGATCCTCGCGTCGTCTGCTCCAGAGCCCTGGCGACTCGACAATGCGACGAGCTCGACGACAGCAGGAACGAAGTGGCTGGCGCAGACGGCGAGTATGCCGGACTGCGGCGTGCGAGATGCGGCAAGGAGGAGCGAAGCGACGCAGTTGAGGGCGACGCCCGAAGACTGCAGGACGAGCGTTCAGCAGACGATCGCGTTGTTGGGCGTTGCGACGCACCTCGCTTGCAGTGTCGAGGGCAATCTCGGAGACGAGGAAGCAAGCGTGCTCGACGACCTCGCTGCCGACCTGGAAGGTGTGTGGCAGGGTGGTGAGGAGCAGCGTGACCGCCAAGAGGTTGTTACGGAGCTTGCGGATGGCTGTAGTCGACTTGCGGACGCTGTGGAGACGAACGAACGTTAGGGGAAGTCCGCCGTCCTGGGAAGAAGCCAACTCACCGGACAGCGTCGATGTTGAGCAAGCAAGCGCTCAACACGCCGTTGAGCACCTTTGACAGCGTCTGCGACTCGTCTGGGCGCGCGGACGCTCTATCGCAGAGCGTCTTGAGGACAGGCAGAGTCGGTGCCGCAAAGTCGATCTCGTTCTTCTCGTCCTTGAGCAAGACTGTGTGGGCGCGATCGTTAGATCGCTGCATTCTGAGCCAGGAGACGTGAGACCCACCCGAGTAGAAGTGGAAGGCGATGGCGTAGAGCTCGATGCGAAGCTGAGCGGGCAGGAGGTCCGCTACGTCGGCGAAGCGGGAGAAGACGAGTCGGATGTGTGCGGCGAGAGAGGCAGCAGTCGCTGCGGTTGCTGTGGGTTGCTCAGAAAAGGTCAGCGGGTGGCCGCACTCCAAAGCGGCCCAACACGCACGCTTGAGAGACGACGAGGTGGCTGGAACAGACTCGCGGAAGGCGGCAACCGCGATGCGCAAGCACTGCGTCAAGCGACGGTCACCGCGAGCCGCCTTGTCATTGAGGTCCGAGCCGTTGACGGCACCCGAAGCCGGCAAGTCCCGCACGAAGAGCTGGACGAGCCCGACCGTGATGTCGAGCACGCGGGCCTTGACTTCCGCCGCTTCGGTCAATGCGAGCCTCAGGCAGAGGTTGCAGACCTCGTCAAACAGACCTTCGTCGTTGAGTGCTGTGCCAGCGACGTCGGGACGAAAGAGACCTCCGAGGGCATCGAGGGCGACAGTCTGGATCGTCGTCCCCGCCGAGTTGGCGGACGACGGCGCAGTACAAAGCGCATCGAAGGACAGTCCGAAGACGGTCCAGAAGAAGACGGCGGGGTCGCTGCGGTGTGGCGAAGGCAGGGTGTCCGATTTGTCGTCGAGTCCGTCGATCGCGCGAAGCATGTGCGGATTGGACGCCTTCAGCAGTGTCGCGACGGCGTGGAGCATCTGCGGCCACGATCTCTCGTAGAACTGCGTAAGCGGTGCAGGAGGTCAGCGAGACGGCCGGCGGAATGGGTGAGAATCGCTACGCACTGGCAAAGCCGTCTCCCTCGACAGTCCCGAGTAAACCGAGTCGAACGCTGCGCCTCCCGCACCGGCATCGCTCGACGCCGCCACCGGATCCGTTCGCACACGAGCATACTCGCGCAACGATGCGACCCAGAAGGGGCAGAGCAGCGGGAGGTGCGGGCGGATGACCTCTGCGAGATACGGCTGGTTGACGCTTGAGGTCTGAAACTGCGCCCAGGCAGCAAAGATTGATGTCTTGAGCATCACGGCGGCAGTCGTGCTGAGGTCTTTGACGTCGCCGAGCGAGGTCATGTCCGATTCTGCGATGGCGCGCGTGTCAGTAGAGCGGACGAGGCGAACTGGGCGGATGAACGTACCCTTGAAACTCTCGAGCGCGGACGTCAGCAGCTTGAGGATGCGGCCCATCTTCTCGATCTCCTTGACGACGCCCGAACCGACAAACACGGCGCAGACCTGGATCGCCGAAGCGAGGACTTCGGGGTACGAGTCGGCCGCGAAGGCGGGAGTGAGGGCTGCAGCAATCGGCGCCTGGTACTGCTCGAGGAGGAGGGCGTCGTCAAAGTCGACGTCTTGCGAGGCGGCAAAGTTCTGATGAGCGAGGCGAGGTCAGCGCGGGCACCCTGAATGACGAGATCTGCATACGCACATCGATGACATCCTTGAGAACGACAAGCCCCTCGAGCCGGATCTCCATAACTTGCGCCGTCGAAGCGGTGAAGGCCATCTTGATGAGGTCGGCGACGCGCGTGATGAGCAGGCCGCGCTTGTTCGCCCGGAGGACGCGGGCGCGAGCGACGTCGAAGTGCTCGCGGCGGCCGCTCTTGATGACTGTCGCAAACACCTCGTGCAGGCACTGCAGCGCGAAAAGCTGCGTCCGCCATCGCGACGTCGCGCGAGCCGTCGGTGCTCCCGGTCGCACACGCGTGTCCGCCTCGACGCCGAGCCCTTGCGCCTCCTCGTCCGCGAGAGCGCCAAGAATGGGCGCAGCCTCGACCGCCGGCTTGTCGTCCGTCTTGCTCGCCAGGTCGGCCGAGCGCGACATGATCCGCTGGCAAAGGTCGATCCAGCCCGACGGGTTCGCATCGGCAGTCTGCCGCAGCCAGGAGATGATGGCGTCTCGCACGCCTTCGACGGTCGGGTCGTCGTCGAGGAGGGCGAACAGCTCGCGAACGAGACCGTCGCCGCCGAGCTTCGACATGAGCGCGGCGTCCCGCTGGACGAGCTGGTAGACGCTGTTGACGGCTGCGACTTTGAGGGGCTGCTTCGTCGACGACAGCTGCGACCGCAGGTTCGAGACGAGCATGGCGTGGTCGAGGGCGTCGGGTGCAAAGATGAGGAAGTGCTGCGTCGCCTTGATCGCCTCGACCGCGATGCCATCGTCCTTCTCCATCGTGAACTCCTTGAGCAGGATGAGGACGAGCTCTCGCACTCGCTCCGAGTCCTGCAGTTCCGGTCCCAGCACGCCGATGAGGGCGTCCGTGACCCGGCACATCGCTTGATACGCCGGCAAGTCACCTCGCAGGTTGACGGATCCAGGCGTGCCTCCTTCCGGCTCGTGCGTATCCTGCATGTAGAGCTTGCAGAGCACGCCGAGGGTGATGTTGGTAAAGGGCGCGTAGGAGAGTGAAGCGGCGTCGATAACGTTCGAGAGGGACTGGAGCGCGTGGTAGTGCACGAGCGGGTGAGGATCGGCCGACAGCGACAGGAGGACGTCGACCACCGTCTTGAGTACCGGCGCCGCCGCGAGACTGCCAACGTGCGAGTAGATCTCGCTGAAGGCGAGAGCACATCCGGCGCGGTTGTCGGGGTCGGTGTTGCTGACGACCTGTTGGACGCAGAATTGGATCTGGCCTGCCATGAAGGACGTGCCCCCGAGACTCGAGAGGCGCCCAAGCGACTCGGCTGCCGCCTGACGCAGCGAAGAGTCCGAGTGCAGCAGCGCCTCCTTGATCAGGTCGCGCATCGGCGAAGCGACTTGATGGGCGTCGATGGCACGACGAGCGAGGCGGAGGGCGCCGAGGATGGCTGTGACGCAATTGACGAGCATCGCCTGCTTCCGACCGGGGTTCTTCTCGAGCTTGAACGAACGAAGGTTGTTGTGGAGAATCTGGAGGAGGGCGCTCTGGTTCGCCGGCTCCTGCAAGGTGAAGTAGAGCGAGAAGAGCTCGAGCGATGCGTCGACGACGCCGACGGCAGGAGGCGGCGCTTCCGGGAGCGGCTCGAACGCGGCCTTCTCGGTCGCGAGACGGGACCACAGGACGAGCGGGTCGTGTTCGCCAGCCTCAAGGACCGCCTTGCGCAGCTGCTCGTCGAGCTTCGCCGCCGCCGCATCCCGGTTGAGCTTGGCGAGCTTGTTGTTGGCCGAGTTGGGTGCGCCGGGCTGGTCCCCTCCCCCTGCAACGGTGTTGCGGTCGTCGCGGACGAGATTCGTCACGCCGTATCCGTACCCGTCCGTCTCGTCCCAGATCGAGGTGAACGTCCCCGAGTTGGCGACGGCCTGCAGAACCGACTCGCCAAAGTACCGGTCGGTGTCCGAGATGAGCTGGACCGCCTGCTGGAGGAGCGGAATCTGGTACTGCTGCGTCGCGGGACTTTGCCCAAAGGCGACGAAGCACTGGAGGAGCCGTCGCCGGAACATGATGTCGCGATCGACGAGCTGGAGACGCGAGGAGGTCGAGGGCTGATGCTCGGCGGACAGGTTCGGGTGGGCGGTCGCGAAGGAAGTCGAGAAGGCGAGACCGTTCGACAAGAGCATGACGAGGCGACGGGCGACGTCCTCGTTGACGAGACCGGGTGCTGTCGCGCTCGGTCCGTTGTGCCGGAGGAAGCTGAGGATTGCACCGAGCGTGCACTCGCGGATGTGGAGGAGGAACGCCCACTCGTTGTCTCCGCGAACCTGTGCCGCGCTCGCGTCCTTGCTCGTCACCTTGGGCAGCGCGTTCCGCCACAGGATGAGGAGCTGCGGCAAGTGCAGCCGGACAAAATGAGGTCCGAGCGACATGAGTGAGCCGACGAGGATCCACGCAACCTGGATCTCGACGCCGGAGACGTGCAGCTCGTGATTGCCTGACTGCTTGAGGAGCTGGATCGCGAGCGACATGCACTTGGCCGAGAGGTCGAAGGAGACGTAGAGCGGCTTGTGCGGAATGAGGTTGACCAAGGCGGCGAGGCCGTGGGCATGGCCGATCGCGCGGCGGTGGACAGTCGCAGACTTGTTCGGCCCGTCGGACGAGATGATCGAGAGGTCCTTGTTGAGCAGCTCGAGGAGCTGGACGATCGTGCCGGACAGTCGGTTCGGCGCGGCGTTGCAGAAGGTTCGGAGGGTCCACGCGGCGGTGATCTGAACGCTGTGGCTCGGGTGCGAGACGAGGCGGACAAGCGGGTCGTAGAGGACGTCTTGGACCGCAGGAGGCGCACAGCCGAGGCTGCGAAGGAGACTCGTCGTCTCTTCGAGCGCAAGCAGGAGCGCCTGCTTGCTCGGACCCGGCTGGTTCGGCATGAGCGAAGGCCACTTCTTGAGGTACAATGTGCCGACCTCGCGGAGCGCCGAGATCTGCCCCGCCTCGCTCAGCAGTTGCGCGCTGACGACGTCGCCCAGGAGGATGCCGACAGCCTTGCGCGCGGCGACAGCCTCGTACCGCGCCTTGTTCAGGTCGATCCGCTCCGCCGCCCGCGCGTTCCATCCGACCCATCCGAGCCCCGCCGCCATGCCGCACCCGAGCTCGTCGATCGCATGCTTGGCGATGTCGGCGTAATGATGCTCGACCCATGCGGACCCTAGCGTCTTGAACAGCTCGGCGTAGACGTCGATGATGGCGTTTCGGAGGCGGCGGGACGCGGTCGAGCGGTTGTACGGTCCCGAGAGCTGGACGAGCATTTCGATCGGCGAGAGGAGCGTCTTGCTCAATGCGTCGGACGTCGAAGGCGCGCCAATGTCGGGATAGCCGTCATCCTCCTCTTCCTCGTCCTTGCCAGTCGCCTTCTTCTTCTTCGGCGCGGGTGCGGGGGCAGCACTGCCCTCGACCTGCGTGGCAGCGAGAATACCGGCAATGAGGCGAGACAGGGATCGCCGCGTGGTAAAGTCGGCGGACTCGAGCGCGCGGAATGACGGCAGGAGAACCTCGTTGATGTCGGCGAGGGTCGAGTAGGTGCCGACGGCGGCTGACATGGCAAGGAGACAGTCTGCGCTCCCTCGCACGATAGCTCCGGCCTTCTCGCTCAACCCAGCCTTGAGCGTCTTCATCACGTCCTTGACCGTCTGGTCCGACATCGACTTGGCCGCGACGACGATGACCTTGCGCAGGCAGACGAGGGCGGAGAAGCGTACAATAACGGCCTGGGGGCGAAAGGAGGGGTTATTTCACGTTGAGCTGCTGGGACTGCGGGAGAGTGGGCTCACGGAGGAGGTCGTGCGGAAGATGCGCGTCGTCGCCTGGATGAGTTCGATGTACAAACTCATGATCTGTGGGTACATCCGAGGGGTCAATGAGTGCCAGTCGGCCCTGAGGAGCGTCTCTGCGAACGCACCTGGCTGCCAAAGACGGCGTACAGCTCGCCCAGGACGTACGCCGACGCGATCCTCCACTCCTTTTCCCGCTCGGGCGCACCCTTCGCCTCCGACCCGTTCATCCCGCGCAACAGTGACTGTGCGACATCAAACAATCCCTTTGAGTCGCCGCGCGAGAAGACGAGGATGAGGATGCGAGCGACGAGAGCGCGAGCGGGTCGTCCTGGTTTCACGGTCGGTGCGGTCGAGGTGGGACTGGGTGGCGTAACGAGAGCTACTAGAGCCTTTGTAAGGTTCGCCTGTTCCGCAAAGAGCGTGGCCTGTGTGGAAGAGCGCGTAGGTCAGCGGATCCGCCTCGATGAGGCTGTGGCGCTTGCTCGCGGGCAGGGAGGTCCGCCACTGGTCCAGTAGCATCTTCCAGGCTGTTTGCAGGCCCCACTCATCCCCAATCGCGCATCTAGGCCGTTGGTCGCTCTTCCCCTCCTCATCGCTCCCCACTTGTCACCGGTCGCCTGCACGGCGAGAGCAGCCCAGTGGAACGCGCACGCACCTCTGGCAGGACCTTGATAGCCTTCTCGCACTTGCTCAACCACGACAGCAGCCAGATCTCGCCCCGACCGGCTGCCGCAGACGCCTCGAGTTGCGCCGGCTCGAACTGGATATCCTCGACTGCGAGCGAGGGCTCGTCTGCCGGTGCTGGCATGTTCCGTTGGCGCCTAGAGCGGGGTTGTGCACCTCAAAGCAGGAAACAGCGGTTGCGAGGTGATAGTAACGGTCTGAGCGGTGGAGAAGCGAAGTTGAGCAGTCGACAGACGAGAACGCCTTCGTAGGACTAGCTGACGGCCCTTGCAGACGTATAGCGTGGTGATGGGCTGGCAGACGGCTCTCAGGATCCCCTGCGAGGCGTGTGGCCGCTTCCACCGCAACTGGTCCTCCTCCTTGTCCTCACTTCGAGCGCAACGCAGTGATCTTGAGGCGAGGTTCTGTAGGCCAGTGGTCGGACAAGTCAAACTGAGCTTTGAGCGCTGCTCTGGCAGCGGAAGACCAAGTTGAGGCGCTCTCATGTGATCCTTTTCCTCTCTTCTCTCCGAAGTCATCCCGCTTTGTAGTGAGCTCCTTGCTTCTTTTACAGCTTCTTCCCTCGATGAGACGTATTTCTGTGAATCCCGGCGCTCCTACGGAGCAAACCGCGTCGACGGCAGTACCATCCTGTTCACGACTCTTTGCTTTCCGGTCGCAATTCTTCAGCACGCGCACCGTGATCTTCTCTAAGGACCACAATGATCGAATCATGCACTTTCGGCTGGAGCGCAAAGAGGAGCAAGTCTTTGGCGTCAGACTGAACGGTGAGTCCCTCGCGCGCAAACTTGCAAAACAAAACTTCGTCGTCACTGATCCTTGCCCGGCGGCAGGTCACTTCGAAGATGCTCAACGAATCACTTTCACCACGCTTGAGAGCGGCTTTGCCACCGGGGAATGTCGAAGGCTTATGCCAACATTGAATTCCAAGTGAAGAGGTTGGAGGGAGAGAGGCAAGCGTTGGGGGTTCATCACGCGACTCCTCCGGCCGCCTGCACAGATGTACTTTGTCCGTCTACTGTTTCGTCGAACTCGACACCGCAGCCATCACCCAGGAAGGACACACTGAGGGGTCCTGCGACTGCAACGCTTCTGCGTCCTCAAGCAGCGGTTTCCTTTCGTCAAAAGCTGGTGCTCCGAGCAAATGGCAGGGATTACGCCTGTCCTTTGAAGAAGCTGTAGCCGAGGGACGAGGGCGCAACATGTGGCAGGCGACCAAGCTGCTTCCTTCGACCTCAGCCTTCTCAGGCTGCAGAAACGAGGCCCGCCCGCCTACTGCTCCGGCTCAACTCGCACAGCTTGAAGAGCACTGCGAGACCCAGTGCAAGGTTGGAAGATGGCCGGAACGCGCACATTTCTTGCAAACGAGCTCTCGTACTCTGCGTCAACGCTCCTTGCGTCGCGAGGTTCAGTCAAAGCGAAGGATGCGAGTTGCGAGATACTGAAAAAGGTAGAACAACAAGGGTACAGGTGCGAAGATACCCGGCACGCCTTACGGTACAAAGATCCGGCTGAACCCTTGCACGGGCGTCCTGCAAGTCGGGCACAGTGCGTTGCCGCGTCCAGTGCCTCCTGCAGCGTCGGCATTGTCAAGCGAGGCAATAGTCGACCGTTCGGACAGCGTGGTTCGGCACGAGTCGCAGAGGCAGAGGCAGCCTGCGAGATCAGCGAGGTGGTCAGCGTTTGGACGAACGAGGAGGGCGAGGTGACACGCACGACATGGCCATAGGACGATCGTCCGCTCCTCTACCGTACAGACAACGCAGAAGCGCGACCTGCTCTCCCTCCACTCTTCGCGCTTCTCCTCCATCCACCGCTCGACATCGCCATGCGGCGCAGACTCGACGACCTCGTTTCTACGCTGCGAGATGGCGGTCGAGAGCGCGGCGAGACTGTTGCTCGGACCTGGGGAAGGCGAGTTGGAGGACGAAGAGGGCAGGAGGGCGCGGTAGCGGCGGCGGGTGAGCGGGGTGGACGAGCCGGAGAGGTGATGAGCAAGGAGGTAGGGTGCGAGTTCCTCAGGTGTCGGTGCATTGGCGGAAGAGCGAGTGGCGGCGGTGGACAGGTCGGAGAACAGCGTCATCGGGTCGACCTCGTCCTCCGCCTCTTCCGAATGCATCTCCTCCCGAACGTTCCCCGCCCGCCCATGCACCTGCATGATAGCTAAGTCCTCCTCATCGTCCGACTCCTCGGGCGAGTAGTCCTCATCGTCCTCGTCATCCTCGCCCTCGCGACCCTGCGGAGCCGGGGTACAGCTCCTCGACCTGCCTCGCGCCTGCACCCGCCATCCGTCCTGCATCGCTCCCTCGTCCCTTCCCCAGCCCGTCACCTTTGCCACTCCAACCTTGACCGCCCGCAGGACGCGGTAGACGACGTAGAACCCGACGCGGAAGAGGACGCGCCAGAAGCGCCGCCAGACGATCCGCCTGCTGCCGCCCACCAGGTCCTGCTCGACCTCGAAGTCGCGGTCGAGCGCCTCGTCAAGCGCCTCGTGGTATTCGAGGCGAGGGAGGAGCTCGCTGCGATTCGGCTCGACGACAACTCGGCCGATCTCGCGCTCGAAGCCGCGCTCGACTGCTTCGCCCGCAACTCGTCGCCGCTTGATTACGCTGCCGCCGCTCGTGCCGACTCGGTCAAAGATGACGACCTCGCCGTTCCTCCGAAGAATGACCTCGCCCGTTTCCGATCGTGCATCCCGCCGCTTGCGCTCCTTCTCGCGGTTCTCGGCGCCGTGCACGGGACACTCGAAGTCGTCGCAGGGAGGAGGGTCGATGAAGCCGATCGACTCGAGGGTGGTCGAGATGGAGAGAGGGAGGACTTCGAGCGGCGAGAGCTCGTAGGCGAGGCCGGAGAGGCGGGTCGACGAGAGGATGTGCGTCGTGTACCTGCGGAAAGTCCATCAGTACGCACTCGGGCGATCGAGAGTCGCACGCGTACTTGACGAGAGCGATAGCGTAGTCTTCGTCAGGACTCGGCGCCGTCGCAGGCTGGCCGACGAGGTTGTTGAAGGTGAGCTGCGTGAAGAGCGTCATCAGCGTCAGGTCTTGACGTTGAACACAACAGCTGTCGACCGAAAACGGGCGACAGCAGCACGAGGAGACGAAACTCACCTCTTCACCGCGGATCAACGCCGCCGCCAGCTTCAACGCGACGCTCAGCCCGACCACGACCTCGAACACAACCTCGGGCAGCTTGTTCAGCCACACCGGACCCGCAATGACCTCTTCGACATCCTCCGTACTCCCGGTCCTGACAAAGCCGAACAAATGCGCCCACGCGCGCATCGCGAAAGCCTGGCCGACGAAGGAGTAGAACGCGGTGATGGCGAGTCGGGACGAGCGGGCTGTGAGGATCCGGCGGCGATGTTGGAGTGTGATGGGCTCGCGGGAGTAGGCGAGCCGGATGGCGGGAAGGGCGTACGAGGCTTGAAGGGTGAGAATTTCGAGGAGGCAGATGAGGAGGTAGAGATAGGTCTGCGTCGAGCCCTTGATGCTTGTACCGGCGCCAGTCGTTCCGTACGAGTTGATGTGCAGGAGGAAGGCGAAGGAGAGGAGGTTCATATGCGACGGCGAGGGGAGGTCGTCGGCGAGGGAGCGGACAAAGTTCTCGCAGGTCATCGAGACGGCGACCGCGACGTAGGTCTGCCATAGGAGCGACGAGTGCTCGAGCGCGGAACTTGCGTTTCCGGACGAGACGAGCTTGCCGAGCGCGCCTTTGCCCGCCCACGCCGTTGACCATACCAACGTCTGCGCGCAGGTCTTCGCAACGCCGCCCATGACTCCGACCTCAGCATCCTTCCCGAGCCACGCTGCATCTGTCCAGCCCTTGTTGACGGCAATGGCGAGCACAAGGGCGATGCACGCGCGGAGGACGAGCAAGAGGGCCGGTATCCGCACGCCGAGCTGAACGGGGAGGCTGAGGACTCGCTCGAGGCCCCGCTGGCGGACGCCTTGTCGCTGCGCTGCAGTGGGAGAGATGGCGTCGCGGGGAGGAACGAGGTGGTGCACGCGGTGCAGGAAGAAGCCGAGGGCGATGGAGACGAGGAGGTAGGGCGAGGTGAGGAAGGTGATGGGCGCCGGGAGGACGTATGCCGCGGCGTCTGCCGCTCCTTGTGCGCCTGCTGTACCCGCTCCTTCTGCTGCTCCTGACGCCGCTGCTGTCGCCGCCGAACCGGCGGATCCTCCCATGCCGCTCATGCCGCCTGCTATGCCGTCACCCGCTCCTTCGCGCAAGAGGACGCTCGGCATCCATCCTCTGACCCTGTCCGGTACCAGCCGCCTCGCCGCATACCGTGGCGGAGCGAGGACGAGGCTGCCTGCCCGTGAAGCCGCCGAGCGAAGAAACCGCACGCCTCGGTACGAGTACGTCTGCGTGATGTCGAGGTCGTCCATCCTGCGCCGTCCCTGCAATGTCCTTGTGCTCCTCTAGCCGCCTACTACGCCCGTCGAGCCGTTGTCGAGCGGGAGGACTGGTCGATGACGGCGAGGAGACGATTCAGGAGGGCGGCGGCACAGGCGGGGGTGGGAGAGGGTATGCTGAGGGTCAAACGAGTCCTGGTAGCTTATCTAGCTCGGTCACAAGCCAGCCTGCGCGAGTTGAGTGAGCGTTACAGCGTCGAGGAGACAGCGAGGGTTGGCCGTGTACTCGTCGCCGACGCGCTCAGATCCGGCGAGGTGCGGCTTGACTGTGTTCTCCAAAGCCTCTAAAGACCCCCTGCACCCACCAAACCGCGCCCCGCAGCGATGGCGTACGCCGCTCCTCCAGGATACACGCCTCAGCAGCTCCAGCAGATGCAGCACGCGATGCAGCTCAGGCAGCAGCAGGAGAACGCTATTGCGACTCACCAGGCTCAGCAACGCGCGCAACTCCAGGCGCAGGCAGCACAGTGCGTCCCCTCGCTTCCTCACCGCTCTCGACCACAAACACTCGCTGACAACTCGCACACGCGCGCTTCTCCGGTCAGAGCGAGGCAGGCAGCTCTTCAGAGCCAAGGCGGAGTTGCAGGTCCGCCGGCGGCAGCTGTAGCGGCTGTTTCTCAGGGCGGTCCTCCGCCAGGCGTAACTTCGCGCGAGAGGGATGCGGGAGACGGCGACGACGCTTACAGGAACGCAAAGTGAGTGGGAGTGCTGCCGGGAGATGTTCGGCCTTACTGCAGGCAGACTCCGGTCTCCTCGTCTTGGCTGTCGACCTCGAAAGCGTCGCTCACCCAGCTCCTTTATACGCAGACGCCGCAAGCCAACCGACCGTACCCTCCCGTCGACATTCACTCCATCCGTCCCCGACTCGCTGTCCCCCTCGCCAACCGACAAGTCGCTTGAATCCTCCCTCTCGTCTCTCTCGAAGCTGTCGGCTTCGTACAAGCGTCTCCAGGAGATTGAGCGTCGGATGGACTGGACTTTTGCGCGCAAGGGGCTTGAATGCGAGGAGTCGGTCGGGACGGTCGCTTCGGGCAATGCAAAGGGCCAGGCGGTGAGCCGTTCGTTCCGCTCGCCCGCAAGCAAACGCCTCCTGACTCTGCTTATACCTGGCAGTTCAAGCGGACGCTTCGCGTGCACGTCATCGCGACGGTCAAGGACCAGCCATGGCAGCTCTCAGCCGACGAGCTCGCGGAAGTCGCGAAGGGCACCGACGAGTCTGCCGATGCAGTCAAGGCAGAGGATGGGGAGAAGAAGCCGAAGGAGCAGGATGCCAAGCCGAACGCTCAAAGAGTCCCTCGCGTTGACGTTCGTCTGAGCGGCGAACTTCTCCCCGACTCGCGCTACGCAGCGCCGGCAAACGCCGCTCTCCCTTTCACGGCCTTCCTCCACCGCCTCGTTCTCGAGACCCCGCATCGCGACCCGACCGTCACGCCCGTCGCAGCCCAGCCGCTCTCCTGGACCCGCCCTGTCGCGCCTGCCTCCGCCTCCTCGCTCCCTCCCGCCCTCTCCGCCTCGTACCCGACCTCGACCTCTCCCCTCTCGCTCCGCCTCGCACTCTACCCCGCCCACCCAGCAGGCGACCGCTTCGCGCTGCACCCGGACCTCGCGCGCGTGTTGGACCTCGCCGAGTCCGACCGTGTTGGTGTGCTCGAGGCGATGTGGGCGTATGCGAAGACTAGGGGGCTGGTGGTTGAGCAACCGGATGCGGGACCTGCGCCTGGCGGGGCGACGGCGCAGGGCGCGGGAGCGATCAAGAGCGGGATCAAGACGGACGAGCGGATTGCCAAGGTCGGTTTGGATGCCACGCTCGTTTTCAGGCGCCGTTTTTGCCTTGCTTAGCATCGTCGTGCTGATGCATGGTGATCTCCTTGACAGTTTTTCGGCAATCTGCCGATGGTCGCTTTCCACCACATCCCCGAGTACCTCAACCGCTGGTTCATGCCCGCCGCGCCGCGGGTCGTCAACTTTGACATCAAGTGCGGGCACTCTTTCTTTTCCAGTCCGTTGGGATGTACAACTGACTGCCACGCCCGCAGAGTCACGCCCGACTCGCCCGCCGAGCAGCACCACGCCTTCGACTTGACGCTCTACCATCCGTCCCCTGCCCGCCCCGCGCTCGAATCCGCCAGCCGCTCGCTCTCGTCCCTCGTGTCCGGCACCGCGCCCTCCGCAACCGACCTCTCCCTCCTCGACGACAAGCTTGCGACCAACTGCCTCGCGACGACGCAGCACCTCCGGCAGCTTCACGCGCTCATGGCGTTCACGCGCGACCCGCGCGGCTTCCTTGAGCGATGGCTCGAGAGTCAAGCTGGGTCGCTCGAGCAGATCCTCGGGACGTCTGCGAGTGCCGCGGCGGGATCTGCGTCGACACTCGGCGAGGAGCTGTTCGGCCCACGATGGAGAGAGGAGATCCGCAGCGCCGAGACGTGGGAGGACAAGGAGTGGGTCAAGGAGGCGGTGGGTGTCTGGGCGAGTCGGGAGAAGGAGGGCCAGCTCGCGCGGACGAGGGTACAGGCTCAGCAGGCTCAACAGCAGCAGCAGATGTACGCGATGGCTCAGGGCGCGCAGCAGCAGATGTATGGTAGGAGGTAGAGCGTCTTGTGCAAGTGCTGGTTTTCCGGTCCTTGCGAGTGTCCATTCTATTCCAAGAGCGAAAGGGCGGGAAGCTACTACTGTAGCCGCGCGAGGACTTCCTGCGTCATCTCGATGACCTGCGCGCCATTGAGAGTCAGTGAATCTCTCGCAGTCCAGAAGCAACTCCCGTAACGCACCTTTTGGATGGTTGGCCGCTCCTCTGGGTTGACCTTGAGCATCGCCCTAACGAGATCCCTGAACCGCTCGCTGTACTGGCCGTCGTCGGGGAACGAGAACTTGCCGCCCATGGCAGCCATGGCGATCGAGCCGCCGTGCTCGGACTGCTGTGCCGTCTCGAAGGGAGAGGTGCCGTACGCCATCGCGTAGAGCGTGCAGCCGAGAGACCAGATGTCGACTGCTTCTGTCAGAGTCGTGCCGGTCTTGACCTGCGGAGTGAGCATGTCAGAGAGACGGTCTCTTCTCGAGGGAAAGCCGTGCTAGCGGCGGAAGACTGTCTAGCTGCGCCAGCTCGTGGAGCGACAGACTCACATCAAACAGCTCAGGCGCCCGGAATGGCATCGAGCAATGCTCGGCCGCCAAGTCTTGCTGAAGCAGCGCAACCCGCCGGTCCGGAATCGGGATCCGCGCAGGCATCGCCGAGCCAAAGTCCATGAGGATGGGCGTCGTGCCGTCGTCCGCAAGCATGACGTTCGCCTGCGATGCGAGACTGTCAGCAGCAGTTCAAAGAGTGTGAAAGAAGGGCGACGCACAGGCTTGATGTCGCGATGCGCCCAAGGAGTGATCGCTCCCTTCTTCCCCTCGCCGTCGGACAACACACCACCCGTCCGTTTCTGCCCGTCTCCAACCTTTCCCAGCACCGTCGCGCCATCCTCGTCTCCCAGTCCCGCCATCCCCTCATCACCCTCCTCCTCTTCCAGCTGGGCCTTCGCACTCTCCAACCCACCAATCAAAGCCTGTCCCTCTGTGCCCATCCGCAACCCGCCGGATTCTTCCTCCTCGTCATCAAACTCGTCGAACGCCTCGTCCTCCGTAGTCGTCGCATCCCCACCGCGATTCGCAGGCGGGTAACTCGAGCCGTTCGCTCCGCTGCCTGACGTCGATGCAGCGGGACTCATTCGGGGTCGTCGGCTGGAGCTGGAGGAAGAAAGGCCGGATTTGTGCTGGTGCATCGCGCGGACGGCTTGGCAGGTGCCGAGGAAGATGGAGAGCATTTGGTGTTCCGGGTAGCGCGAGCCGTTGACGGCGTTGGCGGAGATGACGTGCTGGACGCTGCACAGACAAGTCAGCTCAACCTGAGGGTTTCGCTCAACAGCGGGAGGACTGGACGTACGTGCCATTCTTGTAGTAAGGCAGGAAGAGCTGCGGAACCCACGAGCAAGTCAGCTTCATCCCTCTGACGACCTGACCCGCTCAACGCACGTAGATGACCTTTCCATCGCTCTCACGGTCCTGGACGACGCAGCTGTCGAGGCAGCGGATAATGTTGGGATGCCGGAAGCGTTTGTAGGCTGCGGGAATGACGGGAAGCGGTCAGTACGAGGTCAAACTACCTGTCATTCGACCAGCAGTCAGCCGGACGCTACATTAACGTCCTCGCAGCCGCATCGACAGCCAGCACGACCCCGTACAGCGAGCGAACGAGTCCCGCACGTACCCTCGACCTCCTTCAGCGCCGCCTTGACCGAGTCGCTTCCCAATGGACACCTAATCTTCTTCAGCGCAAACAATCTTCCCGAGGCATTGTCCCTAGCGAGGTATACCTGTCCAACGAGAGAGTTAGAGCGGGTTAACGGGAACGAGTGATGAGGAGTTGGAAGGGACGGACGTAGCTGAATCCGCCCTCGCCGAGGAGCTTTACGATGGTGAATGACCGCCCGTTGAGTTTCAGCGTCGCATCTGTCCACCGCAAAGCGTCGCCAGTTAGTACTCGCTCGCTGGTCGTCGACCGGACAGTCCGCGGTGGGGGTTGGGCGATGAGAGCGGCGAAGGAGAGGGAATGAGAGACTCGCCGGTCTTGCAGCACGAGCCAGTCAGAGCGTAGAAGGCGTCCTTGGCCGAGTCGAGCAGCACGTTCACGTTCATTGCGAGTTGGCGGAGCGGAAGAGGAGAATCTCGCAGCGAGGATGAGGTCGACCCTCTCGACAGGCTCCTGTGAGTCTATTCCTCGTTGCACAGCGTCTATAGCTTGGCCTGTAACGCCTCCGCCGAGTGGCTCGACGGACGCCCGTCCTGTACCCGGCCCTCTTCCTTCTCCCTCTCCTCCCTCTTCACCCACTCCTCCACAGCCCTAACCAACCCCTCCACCTCCTCCCTCGCATTCCCCGCATGCAGACACACCCTCACGCGTTCCTCGCCCTTCGGTACCGTGGGATACGTGATAGGCCGGACGAGGAAGCCTTTTTGGCGGAGGAAGGAAGAGAGTGGACGCGGAGTTTGCGTGAGGAGCGGAATGATGGGGGATGTGAGCCGGTGAGAAGAGGTGGAAGAGTAGGAAGCGAGTGCGAGGAGTTCCCGGGGGAGGGAAACGGAGGAAGTTGAAGGGAGGACGGCTGACAGGCGGGAGATGAGCAGAGAGGCGAGCGAGTGGACGTTGGCGGCGGGCTGTGGAGCATTACCTCAAACTGTCAGTCATCGCTTGCAGAGTGCGGGGCGAGCAGCGCACCTCCTCGCTGCCGCCTTCTTCCAGCAACTCGAGCGACTTGTGCACAGCCAGCGCGCTCAAGTGCGTCATCGTCGTCGAGTAAATAAGCGGTCGCGCGTAGTTGATGAGGTAGTTCCGGATGAGCGGGGAAGCGAGGACGGCGGCTGCGAGCGAGATCGTCACCGTGTTAGTTAGGGTGGGCGACGAGGAGGCAGGCGCACCTCCGCTTGCAGCCATCGCCTTTCCGAAGGTGTGCACGCGGACTGTTACGCGATTTGCGAGACCGAGTGCGCAGACGAGTCCACGGCCGTTCGGGCCATACAAGCCAGTCGAGTGGGCCTGCGAGAGTACCGCAAGTCAGCAGGTCAAGGGACAGGGAGAGAGCTTTTGACACACCTCATCCACCACTAGATGCCCGTTCCCCGCTACCAATACCCGCTCAACAACCTCGGCGACCTCCTTCAGCGGCACCAAGTCCCCATCCATCGAATACAACGTCTCAACTCCTACCCAGACGCTTTTTGCCCCGCTCCGCACACCCTCGTCCTGCTCGACAATTTGTCTAAGCAAACGTTCAAGCGCCTTGACGTCGTTATGCTTGAACGCCCTCCTTCGCTCTTTCGGTACTCGCGATGCCCGCATCCCATCGTGAATACTCGCATGGACAAGCTCGTCAAAGACGATCCAGTCGTCCGGTGCTGGCAGACACGACCACAATCCCGAGTTGGCGTCAAAGCCGGAGTTGAAGAGGAGTGCAGAGGGGGCGCAGAAGAATGAGGCAAGACGGTGTTCGAGCGAGGCGTGGAGGGTGGAGTTGCCGTCCAACAACCGGGAGGATGGCGGGCCGAAGAGAGGTGTAGAGGGCTTGTTCAGTTCGTCGAGGAGCTTTTTACGAAGGTTCGGCGAGCGCGAGAGGGAAAGGTAGTCGTTTGAGCAGAAGTCGACGAGGGTTGAGGAGGGCGGCGGGTTCGGGTCGAGTGCGCGGAGCATTTGGCGATCGCTCCGTGAGGCGAGGGTCGCTTCGAGTCGTCGTGCGAGGGCCGTCATCTGCGGGGACAAGGAACGAGGTCAACGAAAGTGGTCTTCGTGCGAGAGGAGGGATGCCGAGGAGGTGTCGCTGGAGTCGCCTTTCACTCCGTCTGCCGTCTGCGTGCCCTTTGGACCAGCTCTGATCTCAGTCATGCGCTTCCCATCTGTCGGCGCAGCCGCTGAGCCCGCAAAGAATCCGTCGCCAGTCTGTTCCTCCTCCGTCCTCCCGCCACGTCGCTTCTTTCTCCCTTCCGATGTCCTACAAACGTTCCATTTATGCCAACAGCCCACCCTCGACGGTCCCCGCGGCTCACCTTGTCGTCGTCGGCGAGATCAGTCTGCACAGCCTCGGTTCCCCAATGCTTCGACGGCGGCAGCGATGAGCGACTCGAGGGTATCTAGAGGAGTGATGCGGGTCCAGCAACAGGCTCGGCGTCGACGGGTGTCCGGTAGCGCGAACGAGGCGAAGGAGAGAGGGAGCGGGGAGGGAGCGTCCCCTCCTCGCTCCTCGATCCTCCTTCGCCTCCGCTTGCCTCCCCACGGGTTTTCGCAGACCTTTCTTGCTTCTGGGACATCAGCTGACCTCAAGCAACTCTCGCGCGCGTCGCTCAATCCTTGTCTGGCCAATCCAGCGACGTGCAGCTGCTCCCTCCTCATCTGCAAGAGGGTGCGGCTGGGTCCCTTCCCTTCCGCACGATCACTCGGCTGACCGTGTCCTCCACACGTCGATCGCGCAGATGCCTGGCGACCCTTCCGCCGGCCGCGAATGGCTTCCGCCGCACCTCGCTCTTCCCTCTTCCTCCCTCCTCAGCCTCGTCTCTCGCTCTTGCCACTTGCTCCTGGCCAAGGCAAAGGCCAATGACGGCTCTGCCGAATTCGCGCACCACCAAGGGCAGCTGGAACGCTCAACGCGGCGCCAGCGGACCCTTCGCCGAACCACACATCCCGCTCCTCAACGAGTTCGGGGCCCTCAGCGGACAGGCTCAAGCTTCGCTGAAGCAGGCCGCTGGAGTTCCGTGTGTCGAGCCCGCCTACGTCCCTGACGCGGAGTTGCACAAGCTTACCGAGGACGCTCTCCGCGGCGTCGTCCTCAAGCCGGTCTTCGACGCGCTGCTTGCACTCGCGGGCAACCACCATCGACTCGAAGACCTCATCAAGCTGCACGAGGCGCAGGCAGCGTCGCTTGCCGCCGAAGAAGAGGCGAACGAGTGCGCGATCCTTGCGGCGACCGAGGAGTTGTGCAACCGCCTCCTCAGGCGTACGGGTTACCTGCAGAAGTACGTTGGCGAGGAGGCGTCCATCGCGATGGCGCAGGAGATTCAGGACACGGTCAACGAGGTGAAGAGCTCGAGGAAGGACTCGTCAATGTGGACTTCGTCTCGGTTACGCCGGCGAGGAACGGCGACGAGGACGAGGGCAGGAATGCGACTTATGGCGACGACGACGAACAAGACAGGAAGAGGCGCAAGACGACGTAGGAGGAGGATAAGAAGATGAATTGAGGGTTTTCGGTTTCTCTCTTTGTGTCAGTGATCGTTTGTGTAGCGTTTTTCTGTCTCAGTTTTGAATCAATGTAGCTCAGTTGTCAGTTCTCAGCCAAAAGAGCTCTGCAAAGGAAAGCACTGTTGCGCACTACCTTCGGGTTGGCACCCTGCCTTCGCCTCCTCTCCGCTCACTCGACTCGAACTCGCTCAACGTCACCCGCAACACAGTCAGTCGACGTCTTCTCAGCCTGCTGCACCCTGCCTCCTCTCGTCTGGCCTTCATCGCCGCGGTCGTCGTCGGGTGCGGGGAACGCTGCGTGTCGTGTGAGCGTTCGGGCGCCTCAGACGAGTGGGCCGGGGCTCGGCGAGCGCCTTGCGGGACCATCAGAGGGCTACTGGAGGCACGGACGGTCTCTCTCGCGCTCAGCTAGCTTGCATCGGCGCTGTCCTCGACGAGAGGCAAGAGGTCGGCGGTGGGGAAGAGCGACGCCAGTATGGGCGGCGGACGAATCCTGGACGGCTGCTGGACCTCGCAGGACAACACAAAGACACTCGAGCTGAGGTGGCCCCAGCAGAACAGCCGCTGACCCACTCGTCCCGCCCCGTAGACCTTATCTCCTCCTCGACCCCCCACATCCACCTTCAAACTCGCCAAAGATGCCTGTCACGCCTATCAAGTCCGAGTCGCAGTACAAGGACGCCGTGAGCACCACGCTCTTCATCCGCGTCGCATCTCGAGCTGACGTTGGCCGCACAGATCTCGGACCAGGGCCTCACCGCTATTCAGTTCGTCGCACCGTGGGAGGAAAGCTGGTGCACGCCCTCGTTCTGCGCCTTCTCGCCAAGTACCGTGAGCTGACTTGCAGCCCCTCACACGCGCAGCAAAGCCATCACGCCCAAGTTCAAGGCCTACGCCGAGAACCCTCGCTGGAAGGACTTCAAGTTCTACCGCGTCGACATCTGCGACCAGCAGGTGCCTACCCACTTCCTCACCATCTCGACATGCCGAAACTGATGTTACGGGCGCGCAGGACGTCGCGATGACTTCGGGCGTCGAGATGGCCCCAACGTTCCACTTCTACAAGAACGGCGCCAAAGTCAAGGAGTTTGTCGGCTCGTCACACCCGGCTCTCGAGGTGTGTCTGGCGTCGCTTGCTCCGAGGCAGGCGCTGACTTGGCCGCTGAGCAGCGCACGATGGGCGCCGTTCTCGCCGCCCACTAGACGACCTTTCCTCCCTCTCGCGCATCTCCAGCACCTGCGCCCCTTGTCGTCTTATGCGCGTCATCCCTGTTTCCGGTCTCGTATCGACATGTGTCTCTCTCGCTCTCGCTCGCGCTGTAAACCCTCGACAGGCCTGGCTTGCCCAATGTCGAGGCTCAAAGGTCTCCCTCCCTTCTCCCGTTCCGCAACGTGTAACTCGGTCATAACTTGTCGTACTCGTTCTTCAGCACTCTAAGAGACAGAAAGCACCCGAAGAACCGCTCGCACAGACGAAGGGAGATGAAGCGATACGATAACCCGGCAGCTGTCCATTGCAAGACGCGCCAAAAAGGGTATAACAATCTCTAGCTAGTAACCGAAACTCTTTGAGCAAGCGCCGTGCTCTTTCTTTTCTCTTGAAGCGGAAGGAAGGATGAGAAGGGGTGAGAGGAGGATGAATTAGGCCGAGTAGGAAGGGACCTTGGCGGCGATGCTGCGGCGCGCGCGACGAGCCTGCGCAGCACCTTCGCGGATCGTGCCGAAGACGTCGCCGTAGAAGCTGCGCATGGTCGAGCGAGTTAGCGGGGAGGAGAATGGGAGCAGGAGGGAAAGGGCCACGAACCTGCCGTTGCCAGCGACGGGAGGGGCGATACCGGCTGCGTAGACCGAGTCCCAGTTCTTGACGACGCTGCGAGTACGATGCCGATGTCAGCGAGACACGCAGAGGCAGGAGAGGAAGCGGGACGCACTCGTCGACAAAGGGCTTGCCAGCAATGACGAGGTTCTGAATCGCGGGCTCAAATCCACCCTGCTCGGCCTCGAACGCAGTGTACGCGTCCGCCGTCGCGTTGGGCGCACGGTCAAAGTCGGACGCGGTGCGGAGGAGGACGATGCGCGAGTAGTCGACGAGGCCGGCCTTGTGCGCGCGGACCATCACTTCGAGCGTGGCGTTGTCTTCCTGCGCCGTCGTCGAGTAGTTGCCCTCGCCCTTGGTCATGAGCTTGGTGTAGTTGCCCCAGGTCTCGGAAAGGAGCGTGCCAGCAAAGTAGGCGTCCGAGCAGAGGCTGCGCGCAGTCCTCCAAGATCAGCTCTGTCGCGCATCGAGGCGGTAGTCGGGAACGAGAACGCACGCATCACCCTGGAAGACCTTGGGAGGCTCGTTAGCAGGCGCATAGTTGAAGCGCTTGCGGTACTCCTGGGCGGTGGTCGAGTCGTTGAGCTTGACGCCCGAGGTGATGTTGAGCACGCGCGAGAGGAGGTTCGTGTTGAGCTCAAAGACCTCGGTGCCGTAGAGGTCGGAGGGCTGCGGGGCGAGAAAGCGGTCAGGAAAGGCTGAAGGGGAAGGAAGCGGAGAGGACGAACGTTGGGGAGCTGGCCCGGCGCTTTCGTGCCCAATGCCCAATACCCCGTACTCCAATTAGCGGGCATTTGACGAGCGTCGAGCTCGTAGGCTGTCGAAAGAGCGGAGTCAGGACAAATCGGAGAAGTCGGGACAGTTCGACGCGTGCGACCTCGCGGCAGCAGGGATGTTCTCGACGAGAGAGACGCACCAAGTCCAGACTGCACGGAGAAGCGAGCGAAGCCAGCTGATCCGAGGGTGCCCATGTAGGGGTTGATGCCGGCGATACCGGCGATGAGGAAGTACTGCGAAGCGAGTAGGCGTCAGTACAGGCTGAGCAGCGCGTTGGCAGCGTTGAGGCATGTCAGCTTGCGCAGCGGTGCGAGCGTTGCGCAGCGAGAAGGAGGAGGGCAGAAGCGGGACTGACAGTCGAGGTAAGGTCGAACTGCGTCGAGAGCGTGAGGGCCATGACTGTGTGCCGTCTCGAGCGTCAGAACAAGCCTGTCATGCGCGCAAGACGAGCGTAAAAGGAGACCCACTCGTCGAGGCAGCGTTGATCTCAGCCTCGCCAGTCGTGACGATGCAGACGGTCCGGTCGCGACGGCACGAGACGTTGGGGAAAAGCGGCGAGGCGCCCATGAAAGGATAGTCGACCTCGAGCTCCATCGGTTGGAGCCAGACCTCGCGCTCGGGGGAGAACTGGCGAGGAGGAACAGGAGGAGGTCAGCGATTGCGCCACCCCAGCCCTCGAACCGCCTCGCTGAAGGGACTGTACGCACCATGGAGATGATCATGACCTTGGGGGAGATGACGACCTGGCGGCTAGCGAGTTCATTGCCGGCTGAAGGGATGGAAGAACGAGCGACGGCAGCGGGAGCAGCGAGCGACGAGCCGGCGAGGGCGAGGACGGCAGCAGCCTTGAGAGCACCGATCATCGTGACTAGCGATGCACGTAGCCGTACGAAGGAGGACAAGGCGAGAACGAGTGCGAGGGAGCAGAAAAGAGAGGAGGTGGTCTATCGCTCGCCGCGAGGTCAACGAGATCCGCTCGAGCCCGTGCGCACGCTCCGAACGCCAAATCTAGCGCGCTTGCGGGGTACGGCGAGCGGGGTACAGCCGTTACAGGGGGTAAAGAAGCGAGGAGGGAAGGAGGAGAGAAGAGGAGGTCCTCCGCCGGCGTTGATCCCGCTCAGCCACGCATGCAAAGATAGCGAGCAGAGCAGAGCGGGCGAGACGAAGCACGGCCGACCAAGGACAGCCCGCTCGTCGGTGGAGCAAGAAGCGCCCTTTCATCGCGCGGAGACCAATGAGAAAGAATGTCGCGAGGGGTTGTTGGCGGAGAATCTGCAATGCGAGGGATGCAAAAGTGCTGACAAGCGACAAGGGAGAGGTACAGCAACGAAGCGAACCGAGAAAAACAACGCCCCTTCTACTCCTCCGCCTTCGAGGATCCCACCGGACCCGCCGCCTCGTCCGCGCCCGTCTTCTTCCCGAACACGAATCCGACCTGTCCGCGGCGCAGGATGAGCGTCCCGTTCCCCTGCGGCTCGATTACGCCGTCGTCTTCGTCAGAGTCGCCCATGCGCATGTAGATGGCCGAACGCAGCAGGCCGTCCTCGATGTCGTCAATCGAGGCCTCGTCGGTGCAGTTGTAGTGTGTCCAGGTCTTGAGCGCAGAGAGGTGGCGGCGCTTCGTTTTGACCTGAAGTGCGAGCGATATTAGTTCTCGTGACAGTAGACACGGGCTGAGCGAGACAGACCTGTCGAGCAGCTTCGCCGTCCTGGTACTGCGACGCCTGCATGAACCCGCCGCCGTCGTCCTCCGACTCGGACTCGTCGCTTCCAGGCTCGTCCTCCTCGTCCTCGTCGATCTCGCCAAAGTGGCAGCGACATCCGAGCAGTTCGTGCGTTTGGCACGCGACGTCGTCGTGCAGGGTAAAGAGGTTGCGGAGCTGTGGCGGCAGCAGGATCTTCAGCCGGGTAATCGTGCAGAACGAAGGAAAGCAGGATGCACCTCGGCAGTCGTGAAGGTGTTCCTGCCCTTCGTCTCCGCGTCCTGATTGTTCGCAAGCGCTCAGATGGTCAGTACACAACCCGCTGATGATCAGAAACGAGGCTGAGCGCACCATCACCGCCTCGCTCACGTCCTGCTTCGTGATCTGCCGCTGGTAGATGACCTCGTCGATCGTCCCGACGGTCAAGAAGCGGTAAATGACGCAGGTGCGCTTCTGGCCCTCGCGGTGTATGCTACGCGTGTGCGAGTATGAGGCATTGGCGCGAGAAGGTAGGAGGGTAGGGGAGGTCGACGCACCGAGCCATAGCTTGCAGGTCGTTCGAAGGGTTCCAGTCGCTGTCGATCTGGACGAGGCGGGAGGCGCCGATGACTGCGAGAGCGAAGTCAGCATCGACAATGACCGCCGCGCGGCGTGAGAGCGCGACACACTGTTCAAGCCCGTTCCGCCGCCCTTGCTCGAGAGGAGGAAGACGACTGCGATGCACGGCGTCAGCTTGGGCGCCGTCAGCGTGAGGAGACGACGCACAGTTGTTCTTGTGCGAGCCCCTGTTGAAGCCGTCGACCATCGGGATGCGATCCTGCTGAGGCGTCTTCCTGCGGGTGAAACGGAAGTTTCAGCTCGGCCGGCGGGAGAGGACAAGGACGGCAAACGCACCCGTCGAGGCGGCAGTACGGGTACTTTTTGCGCTTGCAGTACGCCTCAATCAGGTCGAGCGTCGCGGTAAAGTTGGAGACGACGACAATCTTCTCCTCGGTCGTCTCGCGCAACTCGGCAAGCATGGCGGCGAGAAGGAGAAACTTGCCTGCGAGCACCCAGCGTAAGCGCGACCGAGTTGTCGCTCAAGACGGACGGAACGCACCGGAGAGAGCGACGTCGGCTGCGTCCATACCGGCCGGGAAGATGTCCTTGACGGACGGGTCGAGCTGACCGAGGCCTTTCGCCTGCGCCAGATCGCCAAGTCAGCAGCTATACTGAGCGCCTGCGAGTTGACTCGCACCTCGATGTGCTTGAAGAGCAAGCCTGGCGAGTTGGCCAGCTTCCCGACCGTCTGCAATAACGCCAAACCGGCCGCAACCTCGTACCCTTCGAGCATCGACCTGACAGCCGAGCTCGACAAGACTTGCGCGTAAAGATCGACCTGCAGCTTTGTCGGGCGGATGAAGACGGTATACTCGACTGCGGACAGCGGGGAAGGTCAGCTCGAGCGAGCGAGACCAGCAGGCGCGAGGACGCACGCTTCGGCGGAAGGTGCTTGAGTATGACCTCGTTCGTGCGGCGAAGGACAAAGTTGCGCTGCATCGAGGTAAGGAGCTCGAACGCTTCCTCGCCCGCCTTCTTCGCCTTGGCGGTCGCGTTCGGCTGGCGAGAAGCGAGGATCGGCGCCTCGAAGCCTGCGAGAGCGCGGTCAAAGTTCGTTCCGGCGGGTTTACGGCAAGACGGCACGCACTGCGCTTGAAGTAGTTGGCGTCGTTGAACAGGCCCGGGTTGACGAAATCTAGAAGTGTCGAGTGCACGATGAGTATGACTCGCGGCTTGTATAGCCCGCGAGCAACTCACCCATCATCGCGAAGAACTCGCCGAGGTTGTTCTGGATCGGCGTGCCGGAAAGAATGACCCGCCTCATGCACGAGAGCGACTGCAAAGCCTGCGTCGTCTTGGCCTTCTCCGATTTCAGGCGGTGGCCTGCAGGAAGTATACGTCAGCAACGATGCGAGACAGCTCGCCCGAGGACGCACCCTCGTCGCAGATGATCAGGCCGACCGGCGGCTGGGCGAACTTGACGTCGTCGGCGCAGTCGCGGATCTGCGGCGAAGGGAGGTGTCAGTGTTGTGGGCAGATGTTAGGAACAGGCCCACGCACCTTCTCGTAGCCCACAATGAGGACGTCGTAGTTTTTGCTGGTCGCGAAGGTCCTCACCGGGTGCTGCGAGTCGGCGACGTACACCCTCAGCCTGTCGCGTCCGAGCCACTTCCTGATCTCCTGACTCCAGTTCTGCGAGATTAGAGCGTTTTTTGAGCTCGGGAGCAACGGCGTTTCGCGAAAAGAGTAGATGCACCTTGATGAGGGTGACGGGACAGACGATCATCGCTCGGTCGACAACGCCAGTCTTGTCCCCTTGGTACGGGTTTTGCTCTGCCGCCCGAGCCGTCAGCATACGAAAACGTTTCGGTAGCGGAGGGACGTACTAAGCATCGTCCAGATCAGCGTGATCGCCTGGATCGTCTTGCCGAGGCCCATGTCGTCTGCGAGGATGCAACCTTGCCCTGCTGTCCGCATGCCCATGACGCACTGTCGTAGTGCTCGAGTGGGTTAGCGAAGGTGAGGGAGGACCGCGCAAAGACTCGCGCCTCACCTCGTACATGAAGGCGACGCCTCTGCGAAGCGAAGCGGTCAGCTGGGCTGTCGGGCGAGAGCAGTACGAGTCGACGCACTCTTTCTGGTGGTCGCGAAGCTTGTCACCGAGGATGGGGTCGATCACGACGTCGACGACAGGCAGGTTCCTGTGGAGGTCTCGAGGTCAGCTGCTGTCGTCGAAACAGATGGCGCAGTAGCAACGCCAAGCCCTCGAGCACCCACTTCGTGTTGTACTGCTTTTGATGCTGCTCGTCCGGCCTGCGCATGACCACCGCGCCCTCCCTCTGCGGATCAAACCTTGGCCCGCTCTTCTTCGCCTGCTCCTTCAACGGGGTCGTCTGCACAACCGGCTGCTTGACGAACGCAGGAGACTTGAACTTAGCGGGAAGAGGAACGAGGGCTGGCGGGAGGGCGAAGCGAGCGGTTTCATGAGGTGAAGGATGGGGTTCGACGACGGGCGAGGCGGAGCGGGCTGCGACGCGAGAGGCGAGCGGGTTTACGGCTTTAGCGGGCGCAGGAGGGCGGAAAGGCTTGAGAACGGGAGCGGGCCCCCAGGACGACTTCCAAGAGTCGTCGTAGGGACCGCCGTCAAGGTAGGTCTGCTCGTCGATCGAGTCTTCGAGCTGGACGTCGCGAGGTCAGCGTGCAGTTTCAAGGAGCGTCAGTGACGGGTGGAGCGCACCTCGACGACCATGTTCCCGACCTGCAGCTGGTCGCCATTCTCCAACTTGGCCGTAGCCGAGATCGTTCCGCCCGTCAAGCTGCGGATCGGAGCCGTCGGTGAAAGCCCCTGGCCAGAACGATCGCGTGACTCACCGCGCTCCGCCTTCTTTGTCCTTCAGCTCAACCTTGGTGCCCTTGACGACGAGAATACCGTCGCCTTCCCAGACTGGCTGCTTCTTTGTCGTGCGCTTGCGCCTGCGTTCGCAAAAAGCTGATCAGCGGACGAGAGACAAGGTGAAAGCCGAATCGGCGTACCACTGACACTGCAACGGGTGAAGAAAGCGTCAGCACAAGCTATGCAGCGAGACGAAGACAGCAAGACGCACGGAGAAGTACCTCGTCCCGCTCGAGCCGGCAGGCGTTCCCGGCGCGCGAATCGGATTCTTCAGCTTGACCGGCACAGCGACAGCCTTGCTCGGGCCCGCAGCTGGCACCACCGGCTTCTTCTCCCCCTCCTCCTCGCCGAGGTCATCTCCCCAGCTCCCGTCGTCGATCCCTTCCAACAAGTTGTCAGCAAGCTCCTCTGTCTCGCCGGAGGTATCGAGGAAGACGTCGTCCATCGCCTCGTCCTTGCTATCCTTGCGGACAAGGGGCTTCGACGGGATGGTCGTCGAGGTCGACAGTCGCGACGGAAGCGAGACGGTCCGATTCGGCGGGCGCTTCTTCGACTCGGTGCTAGACTGCCGCGAGAGCGCCATCTCGAACGCCGCATCAGCGGCCGAAAGGCGGGCAGGCTTCGACACCGCAGCCGGCTGAACAGCCGCGACCGAGTCGACCCTCCTGCGCTTCTTGGCGGGCGACGAGCTGGTCTGGTCGACCTTGGGCGGGGAGTTTTCGGCCTCGTCTTCCTCCGAGTCGACAACCTTGGCTCGCGCCTTTCCCTTCCACGCCGCCGCGACAGGCTTAACCTCCTCCTCCCCGTCTTCCTCCATGCTCTTCGTCCGCACCTGCTCCGCCCTCTCCCTCAGTCTGCTCTGTCCAGGCGTCCCCGTCCGCGCACTCTCACCCATCGAGGGGGAGCGCTTCGCCGCCGAATTCGGCACGAGCGGCTTGAACGGTTTCTGCAGCTTCGGCTTCTGCTCGTTCCACACCTTGCCAGCGGAGACAGGTGTGTCGATTGACGAGGTCGGTGCAGCGGCGGGTGGGCGGGCAACGGAAGCAGGTCGAGGAGTCTGAGCGGTTGAGGTTGAAGCGGTGGGGGTGGAAGTGGAGGGAAGCATGCCGGGCCGGGTGAAGAAGCCTGGGACGGCGCGGGCGGGCGTTGCGGCGGAGGCGGTGGGGATGCCTTTCACGGTGGCGAAGAAGTCGGACATCGAGATCTGGCCGTCGAGCTGCAGCGCGTCCAGTCGTCAGTGCGGCGTTCGCCCATGGGAGAGAACGACTGATGCGCACCAACACGTCCTTCTGGCCGACCTTGAACTCGTCGCCCTCAACAGGCGGAGCAGTGAGCGTCTTTGCGCCGAGACTGCGAGTTGGCGGACCGAGATCAGCCTTCGGCAACATGCGAGGGAAAGGACCGCACGCACTGCTTCCCGCTCTCGTCGTACAGCGTCACCGCAGGACCCTCGATTAGCACGTACTGCGGGCGAAGGAGACGGTCAATCGGGGTTTCCTTGCTCAAGGGCAGGAGAGGCTGGACGCACGCCATCGCTGCGAGAGAAAGAGGTTCGCGTCAGTCACATCCATTCCTGCGAAAAGCAGCCGAGCAAGCGCTTCCCTTCGCTCGCTTAACCGCACACAAACGAGCGAACCGACCGAACGCACCTCTCCCACGACTTGTTCTTCCTCGCCTGCTGGTTCCTCCACTGACACGCGTGCGCCCTCCGTCCTCTGCCCTCCATCTGGCGCCGGGCGCGAGGCTCGCGAGGCGCTGAGGAGGTTGGGAGATGAAGATGGATCGGGGGAGAGGGGAGGGTTTGGCGAAGCGCGAGGAGTCGGCGCGCGGTTGGCTGTAATCTTACAGATCTTAGTTGAGCTCACGCGAGGCCAGCAAGCACCCTCACAGCGCGCGCGATGATGAACGAGTGCGACCAAACACTCGAGACGCGTCGCTCCTCGTCAGGGTGCGCGCAAGTTGACATCCGTTGACATCCTCGTTCGTCGTCTTGCACGCTCATTGCTGTCGCCTGCTCGACTCTCCAAGCACGGCACACCGTGACTTGACTCGCCCGAACTTGGTCCAGCGCCTTGAACCCGCTGCTTCCTCGAGACCGCAAGGGCTCCTCCCGTGAGAAAAGCCTGAGCGAGTGATACAGAGCAGAAATACAGATCTCTAGCACTCATACAACCCAATGACGATACCGCTACGCCTAGCGCTCTACCTCTTTCCCATCCTCCTCCCCCTCCCGCTCCACCTCTCCCACAACCGTCGTCCCCGTCCCCGGTCTCTTCCCCTCCCCCATCTCCCCTCCCTTCTCCTCCACCTCCTCCTCCACCACTCCCTCCCTATCCCTCGCCCGTCTCCGCTCCGTCCGAACTTGCAACCCCCTCACACCCATCGTGAACAGCGCCAATAAAGGACAGAAGGCGATGATGAGAGACGAGCCGCGCGTGAAGGCGGGTGAGGCGGAGGCGGGGAAGAAGGCGATTTGGAACTGTGTGCGGGCGAGGCGAGCTGTGTCAGCGCTGCGAGAAGGGGAGGGAGGGAGGAAGAGGAGGGAAAGGGAACACACCCAAGCGTTGAATGCGTAGCTGATGACTGCTCCCCATGCCCGAAACTCATCAGCACCAGGCTCTTGTCGGGTACAGACCCAGAAGGCGAGAGAGGGCGGAACGCACCGTTCATCCCCGCCAGCACGACACTCCTCGCCTCCTCATCGTCCCTCAACAACTCGTTCGCCCACGCAAAGTTGCTCATCTGCCCCGCAAACGAGACGCTGCCTCCCCAAACGCTCCCTCATCAGCCTCGGACTTCGCGAAGAAGGAGGGGAGGAGAGACGCACGCAGAGAGGTAGAAAGCAAAGTACACCGCACCCCTCGACACGGCTCCAACAGGTCTGAGGCCGGAGATGAGGACGATCAAGCTTGATACGAGGACGGCGAGTGCGACGACGAGGTTGACGGCGTAGCGGTCTTGTGTCCTTCGGTCCGTCCCTATCGCCTGTTCCCGCAAACTCCTCTATCCATCAGCTTCTCCTCGCGCGAATGAAGGTAGAGACGCACAGTGCCCAACAGCGCCGCAATAGCGACCGCCGGCATCCCAAGCGGGTGATGGTTCAGCTCGGCAACGGTATACCTCGGCTTCCCCTGCTGCGTGCGCTGGGCTTTCATCCACAGGGGCATGATGCCCCATGAGGAGTACGACTCGAGTGCGCCGCCGGCGGTCCTGTACGCGCCACCTTCGTGTTAGTCTCGGTAGGGAGGAAGAAGAGGAGAGAGAGGGGGCACGAACCAAACCAACGCCAATCCCCACAGCTCCCACCTACCCAATACCCTCCTCACCAGCGTCCAATCCACCCCTCCTCCTGCCGTCTTCTGCGCGCGAGAAGGGTGTGAAAGACGGGCGATCGCGAGTGCGCGTTCTTGCGGAGTGAAGAGCGAGGAGCGAGTGCGGAGAGGCGTGTCGGGGAACGAGTAGATGCCGAAGAGTGCGATGGGGACCGCTGCGAACTCGCCACTATCTCGTCAGCGGGAGAGACCGGAAAACGAGGAAGGAAGCAAGTGAGGGACGCACTGATGATCCCGCAAACGATAAACAGCCACTGCCACCCCTCCAACCCGCACGCTCCATCCAAATTCGTATACAGCGCGCCTGTCTCCCCACCCAATAAGTACCTCATCGCGTGAAGTGAGCGAAGGTGCGCACTCTGGAGCGAACCGGAGAAGATGGATGCGATTTGGGCCGAGGCGGAGAAGAGGGCTGCGCGGCGGCCGATTTCGCTGGGACGGTACCATGAGCCAAGGCTGTAGTGCTGCGAGCGCGGTCGTGAGCGAGATTTCTACGAAGGAAAGAGGAGGGGAAGAGCGTACCGCGCCGATGAAGGTCGAGCATTCCGCCATTCCCTGCTCGTCGTCTTATCAGTTTTCCTGTAAGTGAGGTAGCTAGGTTCGCGCGCACCTGGAAGAACTTGATCACATAGAGATGCTGGACCTTTGTCGCTCCCGCTCCTGCAGCCGTCAATACTCCCCACACGACTGTTCCGACTCATCAGCCTGACTCTCCACGATTCAAGAGAGAGCGTGGACTCACCTCCGTTGAGGGGGAAGAGGTACCGTGGCGGGATGAGGAGGAGGAGGAGGTTTTGCGGGATTTGGGCGATGGCGAAGCCGGCTGTGAAGCAGGCGATGACGCTGCGCGCGCAGGGGCGATCGTCAGTAGCTGCTGAGTGAAGAAAGGAGAGGAACGGGGGACGCACGCATTGTATTCGCGGCCTTTCATGTGCAGGGCGGTCTGCGCAATCGAGACGAAAGTCAGCCCGGGACTCGCGCAAAGTTCAGCGAGATGTTCGTACCCCCATTCCCGATACGCTGTGCACAAGGGAAAGCAAGAAAGAATCAGTACGACCGGTTGAACAGTGCCGGAGGGAAGGAGCGGCGGGGGACGGACTATGCATTGATGACTGTGCGGCGTCAAAGGGGAGGTCAGCTGACGTCGAATACGTCGTAGAGAGCAAAGAGACGCACAATTGACCCTGTCGAGATCTGGCCAGCCGCGCGAGAGAGTTGTCAGTTACCGGTCGTGTGAGACGAGCGAGTCGCGGTCGGCGCACAGTTGATGCAGAAGCTGTGTGCGTTCGTCATTCAGCGCTGTTCTCGTCGCCAGTGAGTGAAGGTGTGCGCACTTGAGGCAGAGGTAGGAGAGGATGAGGGCGTCTGCCTTTCGGAGGAGGGATCGTTCGAGCGGGTCCTTTGGCTCTGGCCAGACGAGGTTGCGGGTGCGACTGAGCCAGCGCATGGCCCCCGTTGCGTGTGCTGCCACTAGAGCCCAGTCACTTGGCGAGTTAGCAGTCAGAGCGAGCGTTGTGCTGCAGGTCGCTGTGCTTGATCGCCCGCCAAGTCGCCTAGATGCACGGGGCTGAAACACAGCCAGCTCGGACAGCGGGGCGCCACACCGCACCCGCATTCTTCATCGCACTCACGCTCGCGCTTCCATTAAGTGAGAACCCGGCCATGGCGTCGTATTGGGCATCATGGACGGACTACTGCGATGCAACCGTCCAATGTGGGCACACCTCGCAACCCAGGACCACCCTTGCACTGAGACCCGCTCGAACCGGTGTGAACAGCCCTCGTCCCCTCCTCACTCGCCAACGCACTGCCATGGACTGCGACGAACAGCCGAGTCACCGACGCCCTCGCACACATCAACCCCTACCCTCCCCTCCCGAGCGAAGTCATCCTCCGCATCCTCGCCTTCACCCTCCCCGCTCCCTCCTACACGCACGCACACGAGCGCACCCGCCTCCTGAAGCAGTACGCCCTCTTCTGCCGTGACTGCGCACGCTGGGCTACCCTCCTCCTCCGCCGCGACGTCGCATGCACGTCCGTCGACGCAACGACGAGCTTCCTCCGCTGGGCAGTCGGGCCCGCGAAGGACTCTCGAGGCGGTCTGCTCGTGCAGAGCGTGCGCTTCGGGACGGGGGGAACGAAGAGCAAGGCGAGCGACACGGTGTGGGACCGGCATGACTCGTTCAACGCCGTCCGCCATGCCGCGATTCATTGTCCGAAATTGAGCGAATTGTGGCTGAGCGGGATGGACCAGCTCGAACACAAGGTGTTGCGGTACACGAAGAGTGCGCCCTCGAGATCCTTCTCTGCGCCACCAAACTGACGAATACTTTGCGGTCGCAGACCTCCGCTCGCTCTACGTGCACGAAATCCGCCTCTTTCCCCTTCCACTCGCCGACACCTGGCCCATCCACCTCTCGAACCTGACAACCCTGCACCTCTCCGCCATCCTCGCAGCCGGCCCATCCTTCTCGCAGCTCCTCTCACCCAAGACGCTCCCCTCCTTGCGGCACCTCGACCTAATCTCGGTCCACCGCTCGCTCATCCCATTTGAGGAAGTCCAGCAACACGCGGCGATGTACCAGAACGACCCTGCGATCCCGGCACTGGGCGGCACAGGCGCCGCGAGCATCACTGCTTCGCTCGCCTCGCTTTCTCCGCCCTCCTCCTCCTCCTCCTCCGCTGCCACGCCCTCGCACCCACTCCTCTCCATCGCACCGCAGCTCCACTCCCTCACCCTCGGCCCACACCCAACGCGCACCCTCCCCCTCTCACTCTTCCCCCCTCTCTTCAGCCTCTCGACCTCCCTAACCCTCCTCTCCCTCCCTCTACCAACCCTCCTCTCCACCGAATTTGCCCACCTCTGCCTACCCCCCTCGCTCGCGCTCCTCCGACTAACAAAAGACCCCTCGGCTCTCACGGCGCACTCGTCGCCCGAAGCGCTCTTTGAACTCGAGACCGAATGGCGGTCCTCTGCATTCGACTCTGCTCTCCCAGATCTAGATCTAGAAGGGAAGGGCGTATCGCTGGAAGTAGCGTTCGAGGACCGGCTTGCGCGGAGGAAGTTGTGGGAGGTCCGAAGAAGGGGGGAGGAGGTTCGGAAGGGACGGGAGAGGGCGGTCGAGGAGCTTCGACACCTTGGTGGACGTGGGAGGAGGTACCTCGTCTTACCTGGCGGATTGAGCGACGGCGGGAGAGAAGCCGACGAGTACGGAGGCACAGGCGCGGAACTGCAGGAAATCGTCCGCCTCAAAGACGGCGGCGAGGTGGTCATCTTCTCCGAAGACCCGGCTCAGGAGCGGAAGGACGGCGCGTTCAGATTGGGCACGGAGCGGTGGAGGCGGTTCGTCGAGCGTCCTTGTCCTGATTCGTTGTTGTAGCGTCGCACGCGGCAAGGGGATGGGGTACGACGGTGATGACCTTGCAAAGAGTTCGTTTATATGTTTCTAGAAGTAATACAAGAACCTAAGCAACTGCGAGACAGAACGTAGAGGGATGCGAGAGAGAGAAGGGAGCGCAGCCACGCCGCCTACAGCTTCGACCAAGCCCTGACGCCCTCCTCCTTGCCCACCTCCAGCGCCTCGTCGTTGACATCCACATTGAACCTCGTCTGGTTGAGCGGCTCTCCCTGCGCGAACCTCACAAGCGCAGGGTAGACGTCCCCGTCCTTCCTGCCGAGCGCAGAGTTGAGGAGGTAGTCGGGGATGTTCCACGAGTCGACGAGCGGGACTGCCTGAGGCCGCAGCTCGGCGAGGAGCGCGTGCACCCGGTTGCGAAGGAGCTCGTGTTGCTGAGGCGAGAGGTAGCGCGAGGAAAGGAACTCGGACGCTTCGGCGTCCATCGTGTAGCAGGCTGTGGATCGAGCGAGCGTCAGCGAGTCGAGCGCGCACGAACGAGAGTGTAAGTGCGCACCGAAGAGCTCGAAGCAGGTCGTCATGATCCTGTGCAGTGCCGGCTGGGCCTTGAGCTCCTGGTCGTGCATGATTGCCTGAGCAAAGTTGTACACGAGGTAGTACTGGGCGTGTGCGGTCCTGTTCGCCCTCACTCATCAGTACACGCCTCGAGGGAGAGGGATGGATGGGCACGCACGAGCAGCGGAAGATGTCGATGAGCAACGAGTTCCACGTGCGCTTCTCGATGTCACGCTTGCGGAGTGCCGTGGCGGTGAGGTACGCGGCGCGGTGTCCGAACGCGTCGATGAAGAGCTGCGGGTCCGAGAGGTCGCCGGCGTATTTGAAGGGCGCCTTGGCTTCCGGGTTGGCGATGTACTGCCGGGTCCGCACAACGTCAGCGCGAGAAGCGATGCAAGGAGGTGGGAAAGCACACCTTGCGGACGTAGTGGGCGGTGAGGTTCTCGCGGGACATCTCGGCGTTCGGGTCGGAGAGGATGGTGCGGAACGTCTTGAAGAGGTAGCGGCCGGTCTGCTGCGTGAGCATGTACGAGTCGCCCTCCCTGTGTCGCACGTACCCCCGTCAGCACGAGTAGCGAGAGGAAGAGTGAGCGGCGGACGCACCAGGTGACCTGCGGGAGGTAGTCGGACCAGAGCGACGCCAGTCCCGACGAGAGGGAGTAGCCATGTCCACCGCACGCGCGCCTGCACTCCTCAATCGCATTGCTCGCCATGAGCGTGCACAGACTCTTCAATCCGGAGCTCGTCGCATGCAAGTCGGCGAGGAGCGAAAAGTCTCCCTCGGCCATGGCCGACTCGTTCGACTCGTATTGGCGCATCATCTCGCGACCGGTGTAGTGGCACGCGAAAGCCTGCACGAGGGGAGGGAAGATGCGAGCCTGGACGAGCTGGTAGTTGACCACGGGCGTCTCGGCGGGCTTGCGGCCGTCGTCCGTCACGGGCGCGTCGCGGTCGGCGAACTGGCGACGGACGGAGCAGTAGCGGATGGCAACGGTCGCTGAGCGGGCGAGGATCATGCGGGCCTGCTGTACGATGCCTGCGCGCTGTGGGATCGTGAGCGAGGTTAGCTTTCGCTCAGCTGCGAAGGTCAAGCGTTCTCCTCGAGACGTACGATGCTGCGAGCGACGACATGATCAATGAGGCATCCTCGGTGAGAAGAAGAGAGGCGAAACGCACTAGATCATGGTCCCGTACGCCAACTTGTCATGAGGAGGTTTACTGAACCTGCCAGACTCGACATCGACGCTGGCAAACTTTGCCAAAAAGTTGACGTGGGGGATCTCGACGTTGTTGAAGATGGCGGTGCCGTTGTCGGTCATGGGGTACCCGGCTTTCGGGCCGATGTCCATGATTGTGCGGCCGGGGAGGAGCTCGCGAGTCTTTGTGTCGCGGAGGGGGACGACGAAGGGGTAGGGACCGCGGCGGACGAGCGAACCGTTCTTGCCGTCCTGCGTGACGAGCCAACCAGTACTCTCGTCAGTCGGAGAAAGTCGGAGGGAGGAACGGAGAGCGAAACGCACGGGAGTGTACAGCTGCGCCATGACGACCGCATGGTCTGCCGTCCGCCCAAGTCCGCCGATCCACCACTTCATGGACGACATGCCGGGGGTGTTGATGACGAACGATTTGGACTCGGGCTTGTACATCGCGGTCGTCTCGAGTCCTTGGACGTTCGAGCCGTGACCCAGCTCAGTCTGCGTGAACGAGCGAGTGTCAGTGAGGGGGAAAGATGGTGGTTGATGTGGAGAGGGGGCGCACCTGCGCATAGCAGCCGATGATCTCGTAGTTCTCCGCGGGCTTGAGGAAGAGTTCTCGCTGCTCGTCCGTCGACTGCGCGCGGAGGGTTTTGAGGAACATGCTGTGAGGCGGGCGATGGTCAGAGCGACACTCGAAAGGGGATCACGCTAAGCGGGAGACGCACGAGTTGTGAAGTCCGAAAGCGGCGGGCATGTCTGCGCATCGTCTCACTGGTCAGCTCGCCGTCCCGTCCATTCGTCAGCGACACTCTCGCACTCACCCAGCAACTCCTCGGCGGTCCTGACATCCTCGGCGGTCCAACCGAGTTCGCGGGTCAACTGGACGAGGCGCTTCTCCTTTGCGAGTCCGTGGCGGTACTTGGCTCCGCGGTCCATGTAGTGGATCTGGGACTTGTCGAACGCGGGCTGTCATCGTTTCCGAGTAGTGGCGAGGACAGAGTCGGGACGGAGGGGGTTGCCGGACCGGGTCGGGACGAGGAGGAGGAGGAGGACGACGAGGACTCGTGCTGTCAGCCTCGTGCCTTGGACAAGCTACTCCTCGTGTACGCACCTCGTTCTCCACGACGGGCAAGATCCTGTTCCTGCGCTCGATAGCAGCGTCGCCGTAGATGTACTTTTCGAGATCGGCCGGCGAGAACGAGGCTTTCGAGCGCTCGATCTCGAGGAGCCTGCTGCCTGATGTGCCGAGGGGCTTGAAGCCGTCGGGGATCTCGACGGGCACTGAGGAGGGGGGTTGGTAGCTCATGGCGCGGGGTGGAGAGGCGAGTCGGAGAGTGGAGGAGAAGAGCGGCGCGGGTGAAGGTGAAGCGGTGTGTGCGTGTGTTGTAGCTGTGTCACTTTTAGTGGGTAGCTCGAGTGAAGGGAAGAGCGAGGACGAGGGAGCGGGACAAGTCTCCTCGGCTCGGCAAACCCTCCGACTCCGAGCGACCCGACTCGCCCTTCCCCCTGACCATCGGCAACAACCCCTTCTCTCCTCTCCGGCTAACTGCTTACAATCGCAGTTGTATTGCGGGTAATGCGACGAGAACTACGCCCGAGGAGGACAGCGGCCCATCGTCGGAGGCCCACTCTCGCCCGCCTGCAACAACAAGTTGATCTGCACCATCCGATCCTCGTCAGCACTGTACCCTCGAGAGGAGCAAGCAAGAAACGCACGGTTTGAGACGTAGAGAACACGGCTGCGACGACTCCAAAGACGAGGAGGGCGAGGTCGGCGGCTTTTTGTCGGCGCGTGCGGGCGCAGGCTTTGTAGTGCAAGAAGGCCGGGAAGATGAAGCCCAGCGGGACGCTGCGCACACCCGCTGTAAGTGTCCAGGAGAAGAAGCGAGGGGAGGGAGAGCGGGAACGCACCAAGCCAAGCTCCCAATCAAGCTCACAAACTTATCCAAATCGCTCGCTCCCGCCCAACTGATCCCCGCACACCCAACCACGACCGCCGCGCGGAACCCATTCTTCTCCCACTTGACTTTGAGGCTTCTCTTCCCGCTTCGCTGAGGCGGGAAGAGCCCGTTCTCCATGATGCGGACAGCGGGGAAGAGTTGGAGTGGTGTGGAGAGGAGAATCGCGAGAGAGTAGAGGAATTGAGAGGTTTGGACAAACTTGTCGTCCGAGGGGAGGTTGACGAAGACGACCGTCTGTCCACAAACTCCCTCCCATCAGCGTCTCTTGCTCAAAGGCAGATCACCCGCACGCACCTGTATCTTACTCCCGTACGCCAAATAAGCGAGCACGCCTCCACTCGCAAAGAGCACCATCGTGCCGACCATGACACCCGACAAGACGGCCGGGAAGCGGGACGGGTCGCGCATGGATTCGCGGACGGGGAGGACGAGGCCGATCCCTTCGAAGGCGAAGACGGCGGTCCTGCGGGAGCGAGCGTCAGCGAGCGCGGAAGAGGGAAAGGGAAAGGGGACGCACCCGATGAGGAGGGGAAAGTCCCTCGGGTTGAACAACTTGACATCCGCGATCCCGTGCTGCGCCAAGACTTTCGCCTCGTTCGAAAAGATGTACACGAGGCCGAAGAGGATGAAGGCGTCGGCTACGAGGGCGGTGCTGGACAGCTTCTGGATGTTGCGGATCATGGCGAGTGCTGCGGGCGCGACAAGGGCGTTAGGGAGGAGGAGGGACGGGGAGGGAGCGGACGCACGGAGGAAGACGACGAGTTGCGCGAGGATCAGGAGCGGCGTCGAGATGTAGGTCTTGCAGTTCGAGACGGCGAGGAAGAACGCTTGCAGGTTCTGGGCCTGTACGTCCGGCACAAGTACAGCAACGTCATTCTCCTCCGCACACAGAAGATCTGACGACCGAAGAAGCCGGACGCACGACAAAGATGGTGTAGGCGGCGACGAATCCGATCTGCGACGAAGGTCGTTAGTCGAGGCGAAGGAAAGGAAGCAGGTCCGAAACGCACCTGGGATAGCACAATTGCGAACAAGATAGCCCAGCGCATCCAGCGTCCGTAGAGCGCGCCGCCGATGTCTGCGCGCGAGCGGTTCCACCCACCATCAGCTTCTGAGACTCCCGCAAGAGCCTGGGAAGCAGCAAAGGAGGAAGACGGCGACGCACCTCCGAAGGAACCGGGCACGGCCTGCCTCGTCTGTACGAGGAGGAGAAACGAGTAGAGCGAGATCATAGCGACGAAGCAGAGGGTGATGGTCGAGAAGAGGATGCCGCCGTTGAAGAAGCTGCGATAGATCAGCGAAACCGAGAACGCTGCATCAGTATCGCCGTGACATACTGAGCGGCGACAATCCGAAATTAAACGCACGCCTTGCCGAGGAAGAGCACACCCGTCCCGACGAAGCTCTTGAGGAGCATCAACACCGCCTGCGTAACCGTCGCGTCTCCGACCTTCTCCGCATCTCCCGCAGCCGCCGCAACCCTCTTCCTCGAGTCTCCCCGCATACTGCTTCGCGCACGAATAAGCGGCGTTCGCTCGTGCGGTCCGCGAGGGGTTAGTCCGCGCTGTCCGCCTGCAGACTCGAGCGCGGCTTCTTCGTCTTCCTCCTCTTCTTCCTCTTCTTCTTCTATCTCCTCCAAGTCTTCTCCTCCAAAGTGTCCGTAAAGGCTGAGGAAGTCGATGAATGAGCGTGTAGGGCGGGCACGAGTCGCAGGCAAAGGCGACGCAGCGCCGAGCGAGATTCCGCTCGCATTGCCGTTCGCACCCTGCGAGCCGAGGGAGGCGAGCGACGTAGACGAGGGGTTCGCGCCGATCGCTGCTGAGGCGTATGCGGAGGCAGAGGGCGACGATGTGGGCTGCTGGTCTTGCGCGGCCATCTTGCGGAAGACAAAGTCGCGCCTGAACCCGCCAGGCTGGAGCATTTCTGCTGTGCTCAACAGCCCGCCTTCGTCTTCGACGTCGGACGCGAGAACCTCGTCCGCGCCGATTCCTGCCCTCGCCGCAGCTCGACCTGCGTCGCCTCCTCCCGCACCGACGGCGAGCGACGTCCTACGCGATGCGACGCCTTCGACGATCGACGCCATCGACCTGCTGCGACGGACGGAGGGCGCCTTGCCGACACCCAGACCGGGTACAGGCGTTGCGCCGGACGAGCCTCCTCCGCCTGAAGCGCTTCCTCCCGCCTCTTCAACCGCCTGCTGCGCCCACTTGTACACTCCTGCAACGACGTCTCCGCCCTGCAAGTGATACGGCGTCGGGAATTCGGGGTCATCTTCCGCCGTCGGCTGCGGGAAAGCGGATGACGAGCGCGGCGAAGACGACGTGAGAGCCTGGTCTGCTGCGAGTCGCTGCTGTTCTTCGGCCGTAAGGAGGTGTCGACGGATGACTTCGGCCTTCTGGGCTTCTGTGAGCGGGACGGGGGAGGGTGCGACAGGCTGGACGGCATTCGGCGGGAGGGGCGAATCGGTCCGCGTCTGCTGGAGGGCGCTCGATGCGGCGGCGAGCAAGGGACTCGGAGAGCGTCTCGGTGAACCTGCGAGCGGCGAACCAGCGGCGGGAGGAGTCGAGGATGAGGGTGCGTTGTGGGGAGGGATCTGGGGGACGGCGAGCGAGATGCCGGACTGGACAGGCGTGTGGCCGTCGTTGAAGGGGCTCGTCGGTCGTGGCGAGGCCATCCTAGCCGTCGTAGCACGCAGGTGAGCGAGTGGTCAAGGTGAGAGCGCCGTCCGGTTCGCTCTTGACGACCGTCGTCCCACTTGGCAGCGACGACAGCCTCAAGCGGGGCTACGGACGGTGCAGTACAGTCTTCAACGTAGCCTCAGTACGGCCCACCCCCTTCCGGCGCCCAGCGAAGCGTCCTCCCGCTTTCTCGGTTCTCATCAGTCGAAGTTGGCGGGCGGTACTGGGACAACCGTAGGCTGGTACGAAGACGCCAAGCTACCAACGAGCAGGTGACAGGAATGTGCAGCTGTAGCGGAGAGCCGGCGAGGCGAGGGTTGCGGAAAGCGCTCTCTTCTCGACTCGAGGCTCCAAAGGACACCTCCCTCGTCATGCGAGAAACCAAGTGTCCATGCAGCACGTCCCAGTATACCCAAGTCCCGCCCTCACACCGGCCCGCACCTCAGCTGCGTCGCCGGATCCACGTTCGACGGATCAAACACGTCGTCCCACTCGTCTCCCCAAGTCCCGTCTCCGCGCTTGATCCGCTCCATCGTCGAGTCGCGCAGTACGCCCCTCCACGGACTCCCCGTCCCCTTCTGCAAGTCACTCGGCCCGTCCTTGCGCTGCACAACGAGGGGCGGGACGACGCTCCAGCTCCTAACGAGCGGGGCGTGCCGGATCCCATCGCCGTGGTCACGCGACGCCCAGCGCGGGTCGAGTAAGTCTTGGATGTGCAGGAGAGAGGGGATGACGAGGTCGACGGCGGTGGAGAAGGCGGACCAGGGGTCGAGGAGGTGCGAGAGGAGGGTGTGTGCGCCGGTTGCGGTGAGGGCGTAGGCGTGCAGGCACATCGGTCCCGTCGAGCGATGCAAGAGAGGATGCAGGTATTGCGGTTCTGTGCGTCGCGAGCGAAGTCAGCGGAAGCTCTCCGGAAGCGAAGCAGTTCACCTACTCTGGAACTCGCCGCCCCAGCAGTGTCCGAGATAAGTCACGTCCCACTCCTCTTCCGCGGTCTCCTTGTTCCTCGGCAGCCTCCTCTCGATCCCCTTCCACAGCCGCTCCAAATCCCACTCGATATCGACATCGTCCTCGAGGATCAGCGCCGTCCTGTCCCCATTCTCCAGCATGCGCTTCATCGCCCGCGTCTGGCCCCAATACGTCGAGATCACTCCCTCGTGTACTTGCCGCACGCCGAGCTTTTCTCGCGGGTCCCAGAGGAGGGAGGAGACGTTCAGGTTTGGGTCGGAAGGGCGAAGAGAGGTGTGTCGTCCGCCGGCCGAGTGGAGCGACTCGAGGTGCGAGACCCAGGTTTTCGCTCCGCCGGTGTAGGAGGGAGAGGTGAGAGGGAAATGAGGGAAGCGGTCGGGGAGGGGTTTTGAGGAGGAGGGTGTGAAGGCGGAGAGGTCGCCTGGGAAGGGGGTGATCCAGTCGGAGCCAATCTTGAGCCCGCCTATTGAGCTGGGCGAGCGGTTACGAGCAGCGGCCTGTCGATACTGGCAAGTCAGTGCCGCGCGAACTTCGTGACGACGAACAAGACCCTGCGCCGAGCGGAATCTCCGTTTCAACGCGACGAGAGATGCGGGACGTACCATGACTTTGCGGCGCTCGTCGCGGCTCTCCTTGACGCGCTCGGCGATCCACTTGAGGAAGGGCTCCCTCTTGTCGGCGGCGTCGACGAACTCGATGGTCACGCCGAGCGCATCCGCTATCCGCCTCATGTCTGCCCGCCGGTCCTGCCTCGCCGGGAGCGACAGGACATAGATGTGGTCGAATGTGAGGGTTGGAGAGTGTGTCGTGAGGTTTGCTGGAGAGGTGGTTTCTTCAAGGAAGCGACGATAAGCGAGGGGGTCCTTGCGGGAGAGGGAGGGGGAGGACAAAGAGGTGAGGGAAAGCGAAGGGAGGTATGTGTCGAGGTGGCGGCTCGCTGGATCCTTTGTCGCGCTACTCCCGACCCACAGAACCACCAATACGAAGCATCCGACGACGATGAGTGCCAGTCGTTGTCCTCGGGATAGGGTCGAAGGTGAAGGCGGCATCGCCGTGTCGTCGCCTCGAGCGGCCGTTCAAGCGCGTAGAGTCGAATGAGAAGTCCAAAAGAGTGTGTCTATCGAGCCAAAGCCATACAAGGAGCGTGTCGATGCGAGCAAAGAGGATGTCGAGGTTCAAGGGGTGTCTCTCAGGCCTCTTGCGCTCACCACTCGCTCGCAACAGCTGGGACCTTGTACAGACCACGCTAGCAGCTTGAGGAGAGTGCCCCCGCCAGTCTACTGCTTTACCAGACACCCGCTGGCCCTCTTCTCGTCCTCCCCGTTCTCATCAGTCGAGGGGTCTTCCCTTTCGACTCCGCCGCGCGCCCGCTCTAGGATATTGCCTGAGCTGCAACTCGCACGTACGGACTGCTCGATGGACCAGGAGTGCGCCCCAATCGCCTGTCGCGCTCCCGTGTACGGCGACTGACTTCATCGGATCTCCTCGCAGCGGTCACTCCCAACAACAGTCTTCGCCGACTGGCGGCGCACCTTCGTCGAGGAGCTCAGCCTCAACAACGTCCCGCGGCAATCAGCGCGGCAAAGGACGTCGCGGACGGAACCAGGCCGATTCGCGCACTGAGCGCGGTGGAAGGGGAGGCAGGTTATCGAACCTGGTGTCTCGTGGAAAGTCGGCGCATCCCTCGGGCGACGTACAAGCAGGCGCAGGTGGCGCCTCGCAGCGACCGCAAGCTGCAGCCTCTGTCGCAGGAGGGTCTTCGGCGAGCAGCCCTCAATCCCTCCCCTCAATACGCCGTACGATGAATTCCACAAGCTCAGCAGCGCTTGCACATGCCTCCGCCTCGCAGTCTCGTCGCTTCTCTGCCTCTGCCGCGACAGAAATGTTGCTACCTTCCGATCCTCTCTCGGCGGATCCGCCTCCAACGCTTGCTCTCGTCTCTCGCGAACCTCGCACAGCTGACCACTCACTCACCGAACGCATCGAGCGCCTTGAAGCTTCCGACGGAATCACCCTGTCGCGCCTTGAAGCCTTCGAGCAGACCATTCCGTCACGCCTTCGTGCTATTGAGCAGGCTCTACAGCGCGAGGTCGAACAGCAATGCCGTGTGATCGAACGGCCAAGTCAGCGCGTTGAAGACCTGGTGGCGGATCTGGTGGCGCGAGTTACAGAGCCAATCAACAGGCTGGGGGAGCGCATTTCCGCGCTGTCCGAGGACGTCGCGGCGTAAAGAAGGGAGACCGCAGAAGTGCGCGAACGGGTGTCGTCGCTCGAAGCGGGGATGGACGCGATAGCCTCGATCGTCATGCCGGCACACTCTTGGCTGACCGGGAAGAATCCCGCCGGCGACATCGTCCGCCTCGAGAAGCGAGTCGAGCCGCTCACGAAGGCCCAGAAGGACGCCAATACCAAGCAGCGCATGATACTGCACCTTGTCGATGACGACTCCGCCCGCGCTCTGCACGCAGCCGCACTCGAGTACCATGCGGGTGAGTGCGGAGCAACTCGAACTGTGCACTCGTCTAGGTCCGCTGACGGCCTGTCGTATGCAGCCTTGCCGCCCTACCTCGAACAACTTTGCGACGTCGACTTGGCGAAGGACGACGAGAAGGCTGAGGTCTCGGAGGCGAAGCACGACTGGGAGAGGCTGATACAGACGGCGACTGGGCTCCGTGATGATTGGTTCAAGCGCGAGACGCGCAAGGGTCAGCTTCCTAGCGCTTTGCTCATGCAGGATCGCCTCGGTACGTGTTCTCCTTCCCAACTTGAAACCTGCTAGTTGGTGGCTTATACATCGCTCACGTCGCAGTCTTGCACATCATGGATCTCCTGCGCAGCCAAGACGACCTGCGTTTCTTCTTTCGGAAGCACGGCGTCGACACATGGGCTCTGCTGCTCTGGACCGCGGCGCGCGAGATCATCAAGAACCGCCCGTTCGCCAACTCTCCCTCCAGCCAGTTGTCTGCCGGCACGAGCTGGCACTCGAGCGTGCAGACAGCGGTCGCTGTGTTCCGCCCTTTCCTCATCGAATTCGAAGCTGCTGCGCCAGAAGGAACGACCCCTGTCGCAAGACTCTTCAAAGAATTGGGCGCCAGCAAAGCCACCGCACTCTACGCGCCATCACAATCGGCGTTCGCTTGGGAGGGCACTCTCGAGCCGGCGAAGGAGGACAGCTTGGAAGAGCAACTTCGCGAGATCTTCTTTTACGCCCGCGTGATCTGGAAATTCGTTGACTGAGGTGGTCGCTGTACTCGCATCAGACTCTCGCATTCTAACTCTTTGACCTCAGTATGCGTCCTTGCCTTGCGAGATGACCGCACGAGGAGAGCGAAGGGGTTCGTCCTCGACTTGCTACCCTAGCTGGCATCGCCGGCTCCCTGAGATGCTACGATGAGCTCGACAGACTTATACGACGGGGACTTGGGCAGTCTGCGGCTGTCCCCGCCGCTCGCTCGCTCGACTCCCTCCTCCTCCCCACACCCCGACGAACCATCGAAACGTCGCTCGTCACAGTACGGGACGACAAGCGGCATCGACGGCAGCGGCCTTGCGGATTCAGAAGATCGACCGATGCGACCAGGACACTCGAAGCAGCCGACGTTGACGCGCAAGATCTCGTTCCCCTCTGATCAACTCGACCCCGTCCAGTGGGAACGCCTGCGCCGCTGGATCGTTTGCTTCGCCGTCGTCGAGTTCGACATAGACTCGGGTCCGGTGCGTACAGACTGGGGGTAATGCTCGCAAGGACTGCGCTGACGTCGCTTTCCCTGGCAGAACCTCGATAACGTCTTTCCTGCGACTCGCTTTCCGCCGGCTATCAAGCAGAACATCGCCTTCTCCTCCCTACCAGAGGGCGCCGACATCCCTCCTCCCTCAGCATTGCCCGATGGCGGCTATTCTTACCATTGGCGGATACCCTATCCTCCGGAAAGCCAGCTCTGGAGGATTGACGACAAGCTCGGAAAGGGCAAGGAGGTTGAGCGGCTACCGAAAGTCGACGAGGATGCAGAAGGACCGGGTGCCCTGCATGGGTTTGTCTGGTTCGTGCGGGAGAAGGTGAGCAGGATGGCGAATTTCTCGCTAAAGTCAGGCTGACCCCCGAGTCTTCCCAGGACGCTCAACTACGCCGCGGTTTCGCGCAACGGTCCCTTGTACTTGTACGTGTCTCCAGCTGCACTCTTTCGCTGCCGGTCTAACGCCTTTTGCATGCAGATCTCGCACATCCCGCACCTCGTCGGCCTCTTCTCCTCCCTCGTCTCCATCCTCGGTCCGCTTCACTTCAAGCATGCGCAGGCAGGAGGCACACAAGGAGGGATGGTCGAGACTGCGTGCCACAACATCGCCAGCTGGTGCGTTGTAACGGCGACGGTCGTATACGCCAACGACTGATCCTCGTAGCATTGGTCCGCAATCAGGCCTGACCCCGTACCCGGCGCAACCCTCGACCTCCCCTTCCTCGGCTCCGTTCTCACCATCGCCTTGCCCTTACCTTCGCAAGCGCAGTTCCCTCCTCCTGCCACCGGCTCTCCCTTACCATATACGCACGCCCCGTCGCCCTTTCTATCACAACAAGCGTGGCAGTCGTCTCGATCGTCGCCCTCGTCCGCCGCAATGCAGAAAAGGCCGTCCCTCCCACCCGTCACTGGCCCACCTGCCGTCCTTCCCGCCTCGCTCCCTCTCACACCTCTCTGTCTCCTCCTCTTCCCTTCGCCGACTTCCACGGCTCCATCTTCCGGCTTGCTGTCACCGACGTCCGCCTCACCAAGCCCGGCAAGCGCCAAGATTGGCGAGGTTGGATTCAGCAAACTCCTCCTCCTGTGGGAGCTCCTCGTCCTCGGCGAGCCGCTGCTGATCTGGAGCGGCGACGCAAAGGTGGCGGCAGAAGTGCTGGAGCATCTGCGCTGTCTTATCAAGCCGGTGCACTTCTCCCTTCGAACGAGCTGAAAACCGGCGCGCTGATGAGAGGCCATTGCCGCAGGTCCCGCTGGCGGGAGACTATCGACCTTATCTACACGTACACGACCTAGACTTTCCCTCTCTATGCCGACCAGGCGTCAGGGTTCGTGCTGTCCTCCCGACCGCTCCGCTTCGCCTGCTAAGTCGGCCTCGCGCAGCCTCACCTTGGTCTACTTATCGCCTCGACCAACCCGCTCCTCCTCACGACCTGCAAACACTGGCCGCACATCCTTCGCCTCGAACGCCCCGCCGCCCTCACTCCCTCAACACCAACCCGCTCGCCCTCCCTCTCCTACTCTTCCGCCTCCTCACCGAATCCGACCACTTCGCCTGTCAACCCTCGCCGAGCGGGCTCGCTGGACGTCCCGGCGGGCGACGAGAAAGGCAAGGAATTTGGGCTGAAGAGCGAGCGGAAGAGGCATGTCAAGAAGGATGACAAGGTGTTGAAGGAGATTGAGGATGCGTGGGCGCGTGGAGACTGTGCGTTCGTTCTCCTTTCGATGCCTTGCGATCGCTGACAACGCGTTGCGCAGACGCTGCTTGCGACGCCGTGATCTACCGGTACTTCGCCAGCTTGACGGAGCAGTTTCTTGCGCCGCTCAATCGATATTTCGGCACGCTCTGGGTCGGAAACGAGGCTTTCGCACAGAGGTGAGTCATGGGGGCCAACGGTCGGCCCTGTGCTTTCGAAGAAGCAGCGCGCTGACTCCCACCATGCGCGCAGTGCCCCTCTCCTCTCGCCTGGCCTGGCGCCCTTACCTTCGACGCAGTTCACCCTTCCCGGCTTCCTCTCCTCCCTCCGCACGCACGGCTCGTCCCTCCAGCTACGCTCCTCCGCGCCCTCCTTCTCCCAACCCGGCTCAACACCAGTCGACCGCTTCTACACCCGCTTCATCTCGTCCTCGCCTCACTTCCGCCGTTGGCTCAACCAGCGAGTGAAGATGACGGGTGGAGAGGTGAGGAGGCGGTATGTCCGCGCGCTCGGAGAGGTCGATGTGGATGTTTGGGCGAGAGGGCGGCCGGTGAACGAGATGGATCAGCTAGTGGACCAATTTGAGCGAGAAGCCGGGGTGCGTTGTCCCTTCTACGCAGACTCATCGACTCCATTCCAATTGACTTGGTGTCTTCCCGCAGCGCCTCGAATCGCCAGCCCGCTCAACACGCACGGCCGGCTCCGCTTCTCCCGCCGCCTCGTCCCCCGCCTCCTCAGTCACCGGTCTTGGCCTTTCGGCAGGCTCTATCGCAGGCGCGGATCCGCGCCGCCCCTCGCTCGACACGCCGGCTGGGAGATTGAGAGCGCAGGCTGAGCGGTTGAAGGAACTGCGGGACGAGAGGGTCAAGTCCAGAGGTTTGAGTGATGCGAGGAAGTAGACGGTCCGCTGGGGCACGCTGGTAGAGCGCGGCAATACTGCAGACGTTGAGGAGAGAGGATGAGGAGGAGATGGCATCGCAACACAGACACTCTCTGTCGTCCCGTGCATCCTCGATGACAGTGTCCGTCCTGTACACTTGTACTCGGCCGTAAAGAGCGAAGAAAGCGTCGTAGGGAGGACACCACGCCTCACACGAACCTCCAACCACCCTCTCCCTCCTTCCTCTCACGCTCGCTCGCTCCCTTCGTCTTCGCGCCGTCTCCAACCTGGCTTCCCTGCTCTCTTCCTGCTTCGGAATCTTCTCGCCCCTCTTGGCAAGCGAACGAAAGGGCGCTTCACGACTTGACGATCCTCATCAGTTTCGGGTCGTCAACGAGGCGGGAAACGGGAGTACCGCACGGGGAGGCGCGAACGAGGCGGCAGCGCGACCAGATTGTGTCTTCTGCGGGGTGACGAGAGACTCGCCTGGTTTTCGGGTGGTGCATGAGGTGCGAGCAGGCAATTCCCTCGCTTCTGCCGAATTCCTCTCTGTGCCCCGGTCCTGAAGCTTCGAGTACGTTTTCTTGTGACCGCACAGGATGACGAGCTGGTTGTCTTCCACGACCGTTCGCCGGCGAGTCGGGTACACCTGCTCCTCGTACCCAAGCGACATATCGGTGCGCTCCTCCCGTTGCATCGACCGTCCTTCCAACTGCGATTGGCTTGGCTGATGACGAAATGTGACGAGACGCAGATAACGTCAAGACTCTGCTTCCGGAAGATGCAGCACTACGTACGCTCCTCTCTTTCGTCAAAGCGGCAACATTCCCTCGCCCTCGCAAGGCCGCGAGCTCACTCGCTCCGCTGCTGCATGTCCGCCGTCTTCGCGCGCTAACATGTCATTCCTGCAGTACAACGCATGCGCAAGACCGGCCAAGAAGTCCTAGAAAGAGTTGGCGTTCCGCTGTCGGAGCAACGGTGCGTACACGCGACCTCCGCTACCGCTGTTCCGACTACTCGGAAGTCCAGGTTGCTGAAAGTGGCTTGGTGCCCGCAGACTCGGCTTTCATATCCCTCCGTACGCTCGCGGTCGTTTCCCTTCCCGTGCTCGCTTAGGTATCTTGACTGAATTGCTCGTTCGCCTACGCATTCCTCAATATTATGCACGCCCGCAGCTTCTACTCTGTTCGTCGTTTCCCGCCATCTCAAGCGCATCCCCCTCGAGGCGCAGGATGCTGACCTGCCCTAACTTCCTCCCGCTCGTCTCGCAGGTCAATCATCTCCACCTTCATCTCCTCTCCCTCCCCCTTCCCTTCCGAGGCTCACTCAAGTACCGACCAGCCCTCCCGAGCGAAGCAGAGCGGAGCAGCGGGAAGCTGAAAGGATGGAGCTGGTTCGTCGAGGTTGACCAGGTGAGCTCCCCCACGACTTCCTGCATCGCAGAGGGTACAAGTGCCCTCGCACAATGCTGCAGCTACGCGTTAGCGGCCCGCTGACGGTCTGCTGTAACTGTGCAGGTCCTCGACATCCTCCGAGCAGGTCAGAAGGTCAAGGTTGCGTCTGTTCGAGCGCCTACAGCGGCGGCGTAGCCACCGGCGACGTGCCCCGTCTCGCAACGAGATCAAGGGCATCTCCGAGTCCTTCTGCCAAGCTGCAGCGCTTGACTTGAGCATGAAAGACGAGCGACAGCCGTTTGTGAGGCCGAAAAGCGCCGACTGGAAGCTGTTTGGACGGACTGGTCCATTCCTAACGGGTTCGCAACGGCCGTAATAGATCTCATGCTGCATCCCAAGCCATTCCAGCCAGTTCGAGTGAGCCGTCGCGAGCCAACCTTTGTCGTCGTGCGGTTCCGTCACTTTGTCCTCAACACCACGCTCGCCTCGCTCGAACAGGATGGCTGGATTGCTGAGCTACGTCGAATTCTCTCAAAAGAGCTTCTGGGTGTCGTTCGCGTCCATCATCTTCGTGCGTCGGTGCTCGCTTCGTCAACCCCCACTCGACCAACACGCGGAAGATGAGCGGTGGACTCGCGGCGCTGTGTTGGGGGTGTCTGACAGCGGGACTGACGCTGGACAAACTCGCAGAACCCGCTGGCATGGAACATTATCGCTAGGCAGGGTGAGCAGGCGGTCCTGTCCTCTCGCATCTCCTCCTTGTCCGGATGGCGAAGGCGATTGCTGACAAGTGGACGGCCTACAGAGTACCGCAACAGGATCCTGACGAAGCTCGCCGGCGGCAACCGCTACGCGGCATGCTACGGACTGGCCGTCGCCATCTTTACCGCGGGTATCTTCCGCGACCACCTGTGCGTGTCCTCCCTTGCTCTTCGTCTCCCATGTCCATGCTGACGAGCTCTTCGTGCAGCTACCAAACCGCCCTCGGAGACCAGCCTTCCCACCCTTTCCTCCACTACACCGAGTTCAAGATCCTCGCCGCGATCCTCTTCCTCACCGGCACAACGCTCGTCGTCACGTCGACTTGGGCGCTTGGCATCACCGGCACCTTCCTCGGTGACTACTGCGTGCGTCCGCGTTCGCTATCGTGCGGGGGAGCGCGAGCTGACGGACCGGACGGGTAAACAGGGTATCTTGATGGACCACAAGGTCGAGTCGTTCCCTTTCAACGTCACCTCGCAACCGATGTACCTCGGCTCGACGCTCAACTTCCTCGCGACCGCGCTGTGGTGCGGCGCGCATTCACCTCTCATGCTCGCCCTTTCTCGACTGACCTTCGCCTTGTCCGCAGGTACGAGAGCCCCGCCGGACTCCTCCTCACCCTCCACGTCTACATCGTCTACCAGATTGCCCTCTCGTACGAAGAGTGCGTCTCCCCTCCTTCCCTTCCCTTCCCTCGGCGCTGACCCTCCGCCTGCCCGCCCGCAGCCCCTTCACAGCCGCTATCTACGCCAAGCGCGAGCAAGAGCGCGCGAAGGGAAAGGGGAAGGCTATCGAGGATGCTGAAGGGTCGTCGACTGCCGTTCGGGGCCACAAGGAGCTCTAAGCTTCCTTCCCTCACCATCGGAGTCCGTCAACCGGACTCGCTTAACGACACTGCCGCTTCTTCAGAAGCGCCGAAAACGTGATATACCTCTCGCTCAACCGTAGATAGATACCCCTCTTCACCTTTCCCTTCGTCGTCTCGAGTAGTCCGCCGCGTGCCGCCGCGCAGTCAAAGAAGCAGTTCACATCGCTCGCGAGTCTCGCTAGGGCTGCGCAAGGACGAAAGGAATGCGAGAGCGCCCAGCGCTGCGAGGTTCCTGCCGAGAGGATGCGATACGAGGACCAAAGAACGAGAGGAGCGAACGACACCGTAAGATGCGAGGGCGTGCGAGGGGATGCGTGCGAGCCAGGAGAGTGGGTATAAGAGGCGAGGCTGGGTAAGTGAAGCTGGTACAACATGCGTGACCGAGGGGTGTCTGTTGAGCGGGTGAGGGATGGAGGGCTAGTGGCATTTCCGCGTTGTGCCGTAGCTGTGCGCACGAAGTGGGTGCCATCAGTTCACGCTCTCTGGTAGAAAGCGAGAGAATCGAACGCCGCGCGAGCCCGCACGCACCGGAAGACCGTCGCCGGGTCAAGGTTGTTCTCATCGTACATATCCTCCCACACCTCCAAGCCCTTCGCCCTTCTAATCCTCTCCACCGTCGAATCCATCAACAACCCTCTCCACTTGCTCCCCACTCCCTGCTGGATATCGCTCGGCCCGTCTTTACGCTGGATAATGAAGGGCGGGTCGACCGAGAAGGAATTGAGCAGTTTGAAGGAGATGAAGGAGGGGAAGGCCGTGTCGACGGCGGTTTGGTAGGCGGTCCAGGGGTTGAGGAGGAGGGAGAGGGCGTGCGAGGCGCCGGCGGAGGAGAGGGCGTAGGCGTGCAGGCAGAGCGGGATCGAGGAGCGGTGCAAGTTTGGATGCAGGTATTGCGGTTCTGCGCCGGCGAGCGTGTGAATTGGACAGGCGTGCAGTGAAGGAAGAAGTGAGAGGGGAACGCACTCAGCAGCTCCTTGCCCCAGCAATGACCCAAGAACGCCGACTCCCAATCTTCCGGTAGTCGCCGCTCTATCCGACTCCACAGCCGCTCCAAATCCCATTCGACATCGACATCGTCCTCGAGCACAAGCGCGCTCCGGTCTCCATTCTCGAGGATCATCTTTATCGCCCTCGTGTGTCCCCAGAACGTCGAGATGACACCCTCATTGACCTGCCTCCCTGCAATTCGCTCGTTCGGGTCCCATAGCGCCGCCGTAACGTTCAGTTGCGGGTCGGAAGGCACGAGTTGGTCGAGCGTGCCCGCTGATGCGTGCGCCTCGAGGTATTCGACCCAGTTTCCGCCGTGCGAGGCGTAGCGCGGGTCGTTGCGTGGTGGGAAGGGTCGAGGGGAGTCGGGAGAGGGAGTTTGGACGAGCCAGTCGTTCCCGATATGCAGGCCGCCGAGTGTCGAGACGTCGACTTTGCGTGCGCGGGCCTGCGAGCGGTCCTCGTCAGCTCGCGCTCCGTAGAAAGGGTTCCCACGCCACGCACCATGATTTCTAACCGCTCTGCCCGCACCTCGACGGCCCTCTCTGCGATCCACCGAATGAACGGCTCTTTCTTGTTCACCGCGTCGACGAAAGTGATCCTCAGCCCGTGCGCTTTCGCCAGTTCCTCCATCTGCTCGCGCCTGTCCTGCCGTGTCGGGAGCGAGAGGACATAGATGTGGTCGAACGTGAGCGTCGGCGAGTGCGTGATCTGCGACGAGGGTGAGGTTGTCCGTTCGAGGTGGTTGCGGTAGCTGAGCGAGTTGGTCGGGTCGCGCAAGAAGACAGTCGGGTTCAGCCTGTCCAGGTGCGAGTCTCCACCGCTGTTCCACCGGTGCACGGTCGACGAGAGGACGACGAGGGCGATCAAGGCGCCGACGAGCGAGTAGGCTGTCCGCTTCGACGAGGTGGTCGACATGGCCCGCTCGAGCGAGTTGGGCGAGTGCCAGAGCAGCAGTGTGCACCCGTCGAGGACAACCAGCACACGCCAGGACAAAGCGAGATCGAAGGCGAGCTGAGCGAGAAGAGGGAGCGTGCAGCGACGCGCAATGGGCGAGGAGAAAGTTGGCCAGCGTTCTGGGCGAGGCATGCTGGGCTCGACAGCGCTCACAACGACGCTCTCAAGGCAGCGGACCGCGTACCGAGACGAGCGAGCGAAAGAGCGAGGCGGGAGAGCCTCTCCTCAACCTGAAACGACGACAAAGGGTTCGAGGGCGAATGAACGTCGAATGCAGCGCGCAGACGACGCGAGACGTCGTCGACTAGACCTCTGGCAAGACCGCGTCCGTCTCCTGAGCCGCCGCGGCGTCGGACTTGCGCTGCGCCTTCTTCTCCTTCCGCCTCGCCGCCTTGGCCGACGTCTCCTCGCCTCCCTTGCCCGCCTTTCCCTTCGCCGGCGACTGCCCACCCTTCTTCGAGCTCGCCGCACCCTTCTTGCCGTCCTTCGCTGCCCCGGCAAGCCCCGTCTCAGCTGCCTTCTTCGCCTCCCTCTCCGCCTTCTTCACCACCGCCTCGGGCACGTTCCCTCCAAACTCGTACGCCAACACGGGTTTGGGAGGAGCAGGGAGACCCTTCTCGCGCGCCTCGTTGCGCGCTTTCTTCCACTCTTGTCGCAGCCGGATCTCGTCTTCGGTCGGCTTGACTTTCTCGATGAACTTCCGCTTGGGAGGCGGGCGCTGTCTGCGGTCGTTCGAGGCTACTCGTCAGTACTTCCTCGATAGCGGACGCGAGAGAGCAAACGAGGACGCACGGCAAGTCTTCTCCATTCTCCAACTTTCTCCGCTTGATCCGCTCATTCTTCTCCCTCTTGGCCTCCCTCCGCCTCTTGTTCTTCTCCTTCTTCTGCAACCGGATCTGCTCGCGGACGGAAGTGCCGGCTGAGGAAGCAGCTGCGACGGCGTCCGGTTTCGAGAACTTGGGTTTCGCTGCGGTAGTGGCGGGAGTCGTGGTAGAGTTTGTGGCGGAGGGTTTCGCGGGAGGGGCGGAAGTCGAAGCGACCGGCGCCGTCGACGCAGGAGCAGCCTTGTCCTCCTCCTTCTTCGCCTTCTTCGCCCCTCCCTCAGCAGTCTGCCGGCTCAACCTCTCAAACACCATCTTGTCGATCTGGCTCGACACCCACCGTGCGTCGGCGTCTGCGTGTTCGGGGGGACAGTCGGGCGAGGAGAGGTGCGCTTTGAAGCGGGCGAGACGGCGGAGGTGGTCCTGCGCGAGTCGAAGCCCGGTTCAGCCAACGCCTGGTTCCAGTGAGAGAGAACAACAGGACGCACCTTCGAAGCGAGATGAACCTCGACCATCCGTCCCTGCTTCAACACCTTGTTCGGGCACACCACACAGACGAGCGGCAACTCCTCCTCCTCGTCCTCCTTTGCCTCCTCATCCGACCCCTTCTCCTCCTCCGACCCATCCTCCTGCTCGGCAATCAAGAACTTGCTCGAGACGATCTGGTTCTCGAGCGCTTCTGTGGCCGTCGGGAAGCCCTTCGGAGGGGGCCTCGGAGCGTCGGGGTCCAATTCCTCCTCGTCCTCATCCCTTGGCAAGAGGTCCTCCTCACTGTCCTCGTCGCTGTCCTCGTCTGACTCGCTCCCAGACTGCTCAGCGACCGACGAGCGGTCCGAGTCGCTCAAGTCGTCGTCTTCGTCCGAGAGGGCTTCCCTCCGCCCGCGCTTCGAGGCGCGCTTCTGTTGCGCCTGGACGTGCTTGTAGACGGTCATATTGGGCTGGCAAGCGGAGTAGAGCAGTGAGAGAGCGTGTGCGAGCGTGTGTGAGGAGGAGGAGAGGTTGATGAGCTTGGAGTTGGGCGAGAAGGAAATGTTGTGCGAGGCGTGAGAGAGAGTTGCGCGTTCCAGACGACGTGAAGGGGTACTGATCAAGCGAGCGTGCCATGTACTACGAGAGAAACGAACGAAGCGCAAACACAGAACAAGCGAAGCGACGAAGCAGGTCTCGACGACCCTCCTTTTCCTCCTACTTCTTCCTCCTAGACCTCCTGAGGGCCTAGAGACTCGGCCCAGCCTCGAGGAAGACGACGATGGCGAGTATGACGGCGCCAATCAAGGCGAAGAGCGAGGTGCAGACGAGTTTGGCGGCGCCGGAGGTCGAGGACGAGGCGAGGTGGACGGTGTCGGACTGAGCGACGGCGGTGGCGGTCGACAACGCGGAGCGAGCGGCGGTCGAGGTCTGCGGAACGACGAAACCAAGCGGGTTAGGGGGGGAAGGAGAAAACGGAGGCGAGCGGAACTCACGACGAGCGGCAAGACGGTGGTTCCGGGCACCGTGGCGACCTTGACAGCGGCGGACGAGTGAGCCTGGTCCCACATGGCTGCAAGCGCGAGAGGACCGTCAGCCCAATCGCGAGGAGAAAAGGGTGGGCGCGAGCGGACGTACACGAAGTCGAGGCGGCGTACGAGCAGGCGGCGTCCCATTGCTGCTGGCCCTTGGCGGCGTCCGCAGGGTTCGACTGTACATGCATCATCCAGACGGAGACCGTCAGTCAGCTCTCGCTTCCTGCCGACCAAGCCCTCGAGGGATCCGCAACGCACGCAAGTCTGATCCCAGCAGCTCTTCAAGGCGCTCGTGAACCCCCCATCCGCGCACCAAGCACGCAACGATCCCGCCTCTCCCGGCTTGATAGCGTCGTACTGCGTGAGGGTGGAGGCGTAGCAGGTCCTGCAGCAGGCGGGGGTGTTGTCGGTTGAGAATTGGGCGTGGGCGAGCGGGGCGAGGAGCAGGGCGAGAGGGATGGAGAAGAGGGGGAGGAGCGAGAGGCGGAGCATGGTGTTCGAGGGGAGAAGGGCTGCGGTGAGGCGAGCGGAGGCAATGAGGAAGGGTCAGTTTGCGGCGGGAGAACGGTTGAGAGGGTCACGCACCGAGTATCAAGGCTGTAAAGTAAGCGTGGGAGGGCGAAGGAGCCGTTGAAGACGGAGCGAGCGAGGTGAGGGAGAAGGAGGAGGGAAAGAGAGGAAGAGCGAAGAGCGACCGTGCGAGTCCCCGCCTCGGCCACGTCACGCGAGCTCCTATCGACGACTGCGTCGCGCGTCGGGTGACATCGCGTCAGGCAGAGTGACTTCGCGCAGGAGAGGAGGCGGAGGGTCCGTTCGCGAGCGAGAGGAGGTCGATGTTGCGGCGGCCAAGCGGGCCAGCGGAGGACCCGGAGCAGCAGATTAACAGCGTAGGCCCTACTCATGCGCAGCGAGAAGTACAGGAAGGCGGAACAAGCGAGGGAGAAGCGAAGAGACCAGGTCTGCGAGAAAGCAAGAAGTGAGCGCGTCCACGGCGGCGAAGGAGCTCAGTCCGAGTGCGCACCTGGTGAAGAGAAGCGTTCTGAGGCGTATCGATACGCTTTCCCAGCCCCGCGCGTCGTCTTCACACCGTCTGTCCCTCATCAATTGTCGAGGAGAAGCGGGTCCGGTAGCGTCGACAATCGCAGCGCGACGCTTGAGAATAGCTGAGAGGAACCTTCAGCACGGTCTTGCATCAGTGAAGCGCCTCACAGCCGACCAGGTCAAGACGGGAAGAGCCTGAGCGAGTCGTCGAGCGCAAAGGAGCGGTTCGCCCTCGTCCACAACCTCGAGTTCTCTTGATACAGCTTCGCCTGGCTCGGCCATCGCTGGTTTGTGCTCCGAACAGGACGGCGACGCTGCTCGAGTACTGCCAAACCCGACTGTTCGCGGCGAGGTGAAGTCGCACTCGTCGTCCTCCTTGACGCGCTGCCACGCTCCGCCGTTCGTTGCCTTGCGCGGTTTCTTGCGGTCGTGCGGACGGAGCGGCTGCCAAGTCGGCTCAGACGCTCTCCACCGGCGACCTCTTCCTCCGAAGCAGCCCCACCTCGACCTCGCGCTGCTTGCCTCTCACTGTCCTCGCTTGGCGCATCGCAGGGCTCACAGACACGCGCACGCTGCTACCATGGCCCCACAGTCGACGCTCGACATCCAGGCCGCCCGCCAGCGCGCCTCGTTCGACCCTCATGTTCTCCACCGCGTCCTCCTCGCTGGCTCAAAGGATCCCGACATGCGCAAACGCGTCGCGCAGCTCATCTCGTCCAACCCTGCTTTCGACAAGACCTCCAAATCGTACCTCTCGCGCCCGAAGCAGATCGAGCGCGGGTTGAAGGCCGCGAGAGACCTCTTCCAGGCCGTCGACGAGCACGATTTGGACTACATCGAGTATCTCGAGGCACTCGTTTCGCTCATCGACGATCCCATCGGCCTCAATCTGCACGAGATCGCCTTCACGCCGGTCATTCAGGCCCAGGGATCGGACGAGCAGCAGGCTGAGTGGCTTCCGCTTTGTTACAACCACGCCATCATCGGGTGCTACCTCCAGGTACGCCGCGTATCTGCTCCTCGATTAGCGCAGAAGCTTACAAACTCTGCACTTGGGTACAGACGGAACTCGGACATGGTTCGAACGTCCAGCGTGAGTTTCCTCCTGCCCCTCCCTACGCTTGTGTCTCGCTGACCAGTCCTCCGTGTCGCAGAGCTCGAGACGACTGCAACGTACGACCCGAAGAAGGACGAGTTTGTCATCCACTCGCCGACGATCAGCGCGACCAAGTGGTCCGTCCGGCATTTCTCCCCCCCCCCTTCGCCGCCAAGTCGGGCTGACCTTCTTCTCGCGACCAGGTGGATCGGCGCTCTCGGCATCTTGAGCACGCACGGTGTCATCCAGGCGAGGCTGTTCATCGGGGGCAAGGACTACGGACCGCACCTCTTCATCGTGCAGCGTATGTCTCTTTTCCCCTTCACATTGCGTCCCACAACTCGCCACTGATCCTCTCCGTCTCATTCACCATGCGCAGTTCGCTCAATGAAAGACCACTCCCTCCTCCCGGGCATCGAAGCAGGCGAGATCGGCCCCAAAGTGCACGGCGCCATGTCAGCGCTCGACAACGGCTGGGCGCGCTTCAACAACGTCCGCATCCCGCGCAAACAGATGCTGTCGAGGTTTGCGCAGGTTGAGCCGAGGAATGGGGGGACGTATGTCAAGCCGCTGCATTCAAAGGTGCGTTCCGTTGGAGTTCCTGCGTCTCGATGCTACGTGCTGACCATGGGACGACCGATGCAGCTCTCGTACGGCGGCATGATCTTCATTCGGAGTCAGATGATCGGGAACCTGAGCTGGCGTCTCGCAAAAGGTTCGTCTCGCTCCCCTCCTCCCGGCATCCCTCGCTCACAGCCTCTCGCGCAGCCGTCACCATCTCGATTCGTTACCTGCACATGCGCCGGCAATTTGCAGACCCCGAACTCAAGCCGGGCGAGGAGCAGCACGGCGTCGAGAGGCAGGTCATCTCGTATCCTGCGGTCTACATGCGCGTGATCCCGCAGCTCGTCAACACCATCGTCTTCATGACCGCTGGAAAGGACATGGTGCGCAGTTTTGTCCCTCGAGGTCGAACTGAGCTGACGTTGCGCCCCCCGCAGGCCAACCTCTACCACGCCATGTCCGCCGAACTCGCCGGCGGCAACACCAACCTCCTCGCCGAGACGCACGCTGTCTCGTCCGGTCTCAAGACATACGTCTCGAGCGCCGTCGTTGAAGGGTGCGAGACCGTCCGTCGCGCGATGGGCGGCCACGGCTTCCTTGCCTCGACGGGCGTCGGGAGGATCTACGCGACTGAGCTGCCGAGCGCGACGTACGAGGGCGACAACTATATCCTCAACTTGCAGGTCGCGAGGGCGGCACTGAAGTCCTTCAAGGCTTTCGTCGGGTCGACGTCGTCGAATCCGAAAGACGCACTCAAGAACCTCACTGCTTCGTCCGCCTACCTCGCCTCTCTCGCACCTCCTCCCAAGCTCCCTCTCTCCGCGCCGACCTCTGTCAAAGACTGGCAATCCCTCCCCCTCCTCCAGCGCCTGCTCGACCTCCGCGCGGCCCTCACAGTCGGACGTCTCGCTTCGCTCCTCGCGTCCGGCCGCAAGTTCGGCGAGATGTCGTGGGAATGCGTGCAGGTTAGCGAGGCGGTTGCTGAGGCGTTCTTGGCGGGCAGGATGGTCGAGGCGATCGGGAAGGGCGGGCTGTTGACCGACGGAGCGGGAGAGAGGGAGAAGGCTGTCCTCGAGAAGGTAGTCACCTTCGTACGTTCGCTCTCTCTCTCTCTCTACGTCAATCTTCGTACTCACGAGTTCGACGCCGCGCAGTTCCTCCTGCACCGCGTCTCGCACGCCCTCCCCTCCCTCCTCGAATTCGGCATCCTCGCGCCCTCTCCTCCCCTCTCGCTTTCCTCCTCGACTCCGCTCAAGCAAGACGCGCCACTCGAGCAGCTCCGTCTCTCGCTTGACGGCGTCGCGAGAGAGTTGTTGCCGGAGTTGGTTGGGTTGACGGATGCGTTTGGGTTCTCGGACTGGGAGTTGGACACCACAGTGCGTTCTCCTTGTGATAGTCGCACAGAGTTGCGGAACTGACGCCCCCGCGCACAGGTCGGCAACCACGACGGCGCAGCGTACGAGCGGATGCTCGAGAAGGCCAAAGCGGACGAGGAGCAGAACATCGGATCCAAGGCCGAGCAGGAGCGGATGTATCGCGAGTATATCCGACCTATCCTCGAGCGAGGGAGGAAGCTCACGGGCGGAGGGGGCGACGCGAAGCTGTAGAAGAACCTTGGGCTAGAGATGCAGAACGGAATATTACGGGTATACCCACGAACCGGAATTGCTAGTCGATAAGTACGAGCCTCTACTACCTTACTCACGTCTGACCAGGTCCAGGCGTTCCATTGCACGTCCAGCTCGAGTCGCGCTTGCCAGGCGAACCGACGGATTGGTATGGCGATAGGCCGAGGCAGTCGGCCATCGAGACGAGAGTCCAGCCTTTCTGGCGGAGCATGGGGATGACGGCGGGCATGACGGTCTTGATGGTCGACTCGTAGGTCTGCACGAAGTCCCGTCAGATCCGGAGGGAAGAAAAGCGGGAGGGGAAGCGCGAGCTCGCCTCGTGGTTGAGCGCAATAACGGGCGAGCCGGTCTTGATCTTCTTGTAAGCCGCAATCGACTGGCTGGCCGACTTGCCTACCGAGTCGCCGCTGTCAAAGTACCAATTGACGACTGCTCGTCCTCCTCCTTGTCAGACTTCTCGCTCGCATCGTCTCAAGCTCACTCCGACGCACCGGTGTATCCTCGCTGCTGCAACACCTTAAGCGCCGCACTGTTGTACGACCCGTAAGGAGGTCGGAAGAAACGCGGTTTGATGCCGAGGATCTTCATGAGCGCCGTTTCGACGAGGTCGAGCTGCTTGTTCAGCTGGGCGGGCGTGATTTTGGCGATGTCGACGTCTGCGTCACCAAGAATTCAGTCACTTGGCGCACGAGAAGTGCAGGAAAGCGGGGAGCATTCTCAACGGAGATTGAGAGCGGAAGTTCGGCAACACATCAACGACAACTTACGACCCCAGGTATGCGACCCAATGACATGCCCAGCCTTGTAACGCTTGATCAAGTCGTCCACCCTCGCCGGCGAGTAGATACAGTCCCAGTTGTACCCGTTGACGAAGAATGTCCCGCGCCCGCCGTTCGATTCGAGCAATGATGCGACTGAGCCGCCATAGAGAGCTGTTTTGTGCCTCAACGACGTCAGCTGGAGTAGTCAGGATGAAGGAGAGGGAGTAAACGCACGCCCGTCGTCGAAAGTCAACGCAAACTGTCCCGACTTCTTACACTTCGTCTGCACGCTCACCGCCCTCGCCTCGATCTCTCCCCTTTCCACCAGCGTCGAAGACGTCAAGTTCGCTACCGCTTGGTCGAAGTCGAAGTCGGAGGAGGACAAGCGCGCAGGGACCGCGAGAGCAGGGATAGCGGCGGAGGAGAGGAGCAAAGCGAGCGTCGTGAGGCGGACCATCGTCGCTGCGTCGTCTCTAAGGTCAAGTAGCAGCCAAAGAGCGTTCGATGGAGCGGAAGGAGGAGCACGGGACGTCCCCTTCCTCCCTTCGTCCACCGTGTTTCCGCTCGATTGACCTCGACGAGAGGATCGAGACCGGTCAATCTATGGCGGTCCATGGACGCCGTGGACGACGCGATGGAACATGCTATTCTCGTTGACCGCGTTCGCGAGGATAGGAGCGAGGATGGAAAGGAGAGAGCAAGGAGGAGGAGCGAGGGGAAGAGGTTGACCTTCCTAAGCTCGCGGAAGGACGAACGCCGCAGGCCGTCTTGACAGGCTTCGTTGCAGTTGCGAAGCCTTGAGACAACGTGATCCGCTTAAGTCGAGTCCATCTAGCTCACAGCAAGCCGGGAGGTGGACGTAGGACGAGGAAAGGCGGGTCCAGCGATCTGAAAGCCTTGCGGCTCGTCGTCGTGGCCCGTCCTGCTGACGCCGATGAGTTATGGCTGAAGGCAGGTGAGTGAGATGCGTCAGCGTGGTCGCCAGGACGCTGCGCAGACAGCGGACGCACCGGGGAACTCTGCTCTCGGGTCGTTTTCCGCTTCCCCTTCGCTCCATCTCAGCGTACTCCCATCCCCACCACCTGCCCTAGCATCGTCCATACCATCAACAGTACCATCACTCGCAACATCGAAGCACGGGATGATGCGGCGGAAGAAGACGAGATGGTATTGTCGAACGAGGCCGAGACTGTTGGACCTGTCGTATTCGAGGGTAGTGTCGAGGCGTAGAGCTGCGAGGGATGCGACGAAAACTGGTATCAGTACCGCGCTGCGGCAGGCAGCGGGATTGAAGCCTTCCGCCGTCACTCACCTCGACCCTCCTGTAATACGCATTCCCGCCCTTCGAATCCCAGCTCGCATCGCTGCCACCGAAGAAACTACTGAACAACACATTCGTAATCGAGACGTTGGGGTTTGTGCGGTATGCGATTCCCGTGTGTAAGAGCGAGAGGGAGGAGTTGGAGTAGAGTGCGAGGAGGCCGTTTGCGAGCGGTGGAGTGGAGAGGGAGATGAGTTGATGGATGGTCGTCCAGCTGCGAGAACGCGTACCGTGTCAATCAGGCGCGGAGACAAGAGGGAAGGTAGACGCACTCGCCCCGAGCGAACTTGAACGACCCGCGCGAGAGACTCGTCCCGTAATCTGCGTCGCACAGCACGTCTGCCTGCGCACAGAAGCCGTCGTACGTCGGTATGTACGCGTAGACTGAGCGTGACATCGACGGGACCCTAATCAGTCGCCGCCGTCATCGGGGGAAGAGGGGGACGGAAAGGGCCAAGCGAAAGACGCACCTTCGCCCGCTCCGCCCGTGCGCCACATCAACCTCGCGCTCCAGCAATCGTGCAGGTGATTTCCACCCGTACATAGCCCTTTGGCAGATGGTGACGAGCCGTACAGTCCGGGGAGCTTGCCGCCTTTCACAAAGTCAAACGAGGAGTCGAAGGCGACCTACTCATGCATTCCGAGGTCAGAGATGCCGAGAGTCTAGGAAAGGAAAGCGAGCACACCTCGTATTTGAGCAACGCAGTCTGCACCCTCGCGTTCTTCTGAAACGCCGCAAACGAGAACTGCGCTCCGTCTCTCGATCCTTCCGGGTAGGCGAGGCGTAGGACTGCTTTGGAGTTGCTCGAGTCGAAGGGGTCGGGTACCCATGCGAGGTTGGCGAGGCCGGAGATGGAGGAGGTCGCGGTGGAAGAGGAGGTGAGAGCCCAGGATGAGGAGAGCAGGGATTGGACGAGCGAGGGGTCGGCGGTTGCGGCAGTGGATGGAGGGTCGGAGGAGGACCAGGATGGCTGGAGAGAGAAGAGCGACGCGAGCGAGGCGGACGAGGCGATGGTCGAAGGGAGGGACAGCTGGGTCGCCGACATCGTCACGGCGACTTGCAGCGCGATGCAGTCGATTCGTGTGGCCAGGCTGAGGAGCAGAAGAGCAGTTTAGGCCAGCCAGGCGGGTGCCGTCGCGCCCTTGTTCGCTCGGAGAAGGTGTGAGCGTGCGGGACGAGTACTTGGCGCGGGACGACGGGGACAAGCCTGAGCGGTGCAGAGTGAGCAGGACAATGCAGCGAGTGCGACGTTCTGCTCTACGAAGGGCGTGCGAGTGGGCAAACGCTGCGAGAACGACGTCCACCAGCCAACGCGCGCAGACGCCAACGCGTCGCGCCGCTCTTCAACCTCGTCCTCACGCTCACACAGCTTACTCGGCTCGTACGAGCACATTCAGAACATGCGCATCCCACTCACACCCTCGCCCGCCTTTCTCGCACAACTCGCCGACCCCTCGTCGACTCCCAGCCCCTCCGACCCTCCGCTCATCTGGATCGACTCGCAGCCGTTCCTCCTCGAGCTGCAGGGCATACTCGAGCCGCCAGCCGATGAGAAAGGGGCTGGTGAGGCGGGAGACGCGGCGGGAGCGAGTATGGAGGGCGTCAGGGTCGGGAAAGTCGACTTGGCGGATCCGGTGAGTCGCGCCGTCCTCTCTCTTGCGTTCGTTTGGACTTTGCAGTCTCGACAAATGCTGGTAGATTGTGACGGATACCTCACAAACAGCCTTCCACCCGCTCGCAGAAGAAACCGGTCCTCCGAATCGCGCACCACCGCCTCGAAGGCAAAGTCGAGAAACTGCTCACGCCCTACGCCCTCCTCCGCACCACTCGCTCGTCCTCCTCCGCCCCCACCCGCGACGACGACGACGACACCGATCCGCGCTCAACAAAGCGTCGCAAACTCTGCCCTACTCTTTCCTCTCCCTCCCAGCCCCTCTCCTCCTCCTCCAGCAGCGACCAACCACAAATATCCCTCGCCGCGCTAATAACTCACAAACTAGTCTTCTCGCGCCGCCCCGAGCCCTTGATCGATGTCTCGTCCGAAGCGGATCCTGGGTTCGGAGAGAGGAAGAGGGAGGCGTTGGAGAGTTGGGGCAAGAGGGGGGCTGGAGGGGCGGGGGCGAAGAGGGGAGGTGGAGGGGGATTGGGTGGGTTCTTTGGGAAATCGGCGACGGGGACGAAGGGAAAGGAGAAGGAGAAGGCTGGGACGAGTGCGCCGGAGACGGGGAAGGATGCTGGGGCAGGGTCAGCGTAGTGGAGCAGAGTGACCTATGAAGCGGAGCTTACTCGACTGAGCAAGCGAAAAACGAGCGAAGTACGCTTCGCTCGATGCAGAGGACCACTCGCCAGTATCTCCCAGCTCTTCTCTCGTCTCCTTCGTCGAGGCTGAACGAGCGACGCAACACCTGTATCACTGCTCAGCTCCGAACAATCTCGATAACCGCGCTACGATGCCTTGTCCTGGCCCACTACTCTGCTCGTCCGCCTCAAGCCTACGGAAAGACTCGAAGCTGGTCAGCCTAGCTAACCTTGCCCGAGAACGAATACCAGTGCACCTATCTCCAATAGCCTCCCTCGTCTCCCTCCACAAATCCCTCTTGGCCCAGCCCTTCCCTCCCTCGCCTCTCTCCAGCGCTCTCTCCGGCCTTTCCCTCCAACTTTCCCACCGCCTCCACCCCTCTCCTCCCTCGCCTTCCACTACGCCAACCACCTTGAGCGCGAGTCGAACCCAGAGTCGCGCTGAGCGTGTGTCGTGCGATAGGACGCAGGTCTTGAATGCCGGAAGGAGGAAGAGGGAGGTGCAGAGTGGCGAGAGGGAGAGGAGGTCGAGGAGGTCGAGTGCGCGGGAGACGTGTCGGAGGATGAGTGTTGGGTCTTGCGAAAGTGGGCGGAAGAAGGAACGGGGAAGGGAGTCGAGGATCGTCCGTAGTTCGGCTCGAAGGGCCTCTTCCTCCCCTCCCTCCCGCTGACACGCCTCACAAGCACACTCGAAACCCCACCCTTTCTCCAACCTCTCCCTCCTCTCGTCCTTTCCAAGTCGCACCAACTCCCCAGGCGGCAAATAACTACTCCTCACCTCCTCACCCTCCTCAACCCTCCTCACAACCCTCACTTCCATCCGTCCCCGCGAAGCGACGAAAGAAGTCTTGACGTTTGGCGCGCAAGAGTGGTTGATGCGGGATGTGAGGCGGAAGAGGCCGTATTTCCCACCGTGGGTATCGAGAGCGAAGGCGTTGGTGTCGAAGATGCCTTTCTCTGCCTCGGCTTCGTCCGGGAAGGCGTTCGCCAGGCTCCAGAAGGCGGTACGCGTTTCGTCCGTCGAACAGGAGAGGGTGGCGCGCAAGTCCCGCCAGGACGAGCAGGTGAGGAGTGGTGGTTCGGAAAAGAGGAGGGTGCCGGGTTCGAGAGGGCGGGTGGCGAAGAGGCCGAGCGAGGGGGTGGTCGAAGAAGATGTTGAGGGCGAGGATGCGAGGACGAGGGAGGGCGTGAGCTGGACGGAGGAACGCGGAAGGGAGGAAGTCGAGGAGGGGAGAGTCGAGCGGGAGGAGGGAGAAGATCGGCTGGATGAGGTGGAAGTCGAGACGATTGAGGACGTTGTGGGCTGCCGGTGGAGTACCTGTCAGCAAGAATGACACAGGCAAGGCATGAACAGGAACTCACCTCGAGCGGGTCAAGTCGAGGCACGCTCATCCCGCTCATCTCGCCCTCCGCAGAAACAGTTGCCCGGCGAAGTTCAGTCTCACACAGAACGTCCAGAGCGCGCGCAAGCAGTCGGCGAGTCCAGCGGAGCGCAAAAGGCGGCGTCAGACGTTGCTCGAGTTGGTCGGGATGTGGGGAGTTGAGGAAGAGTTGTTGAGGGGCGGGAGAAGGCGCTGGGCGTCGTGAGCGACGATAGTGGTCGACTGGGGCTCAGAGAGTCAGCAGCCCGGAGTAGCCCGGAGTAGCCAGGCTGCGAAGGAGCGAGGCGAGGAGGTCCGAAGTCGAGGTTCTTGGCGCAAAGGGCCTGATCGCCCTCCCCCTGTCTCCTCGTCGACGAGAGCAACGAAATACTCGATACAACAATCACAGAGACTGCTGGGCGTGCGTACGGATGCGAGAGAGAGAGAGAGGCTGGTCAAATGAGCTCGACGTCGCCTGCTTCGAGAAGGGCGCGGACGGTGCTGTAGCGGCACATGTGCTGCGAGCCGGACATGAAGGTGATGACTTCGCCGCTGTCAAGCGCATTCACAAGGGGTCAGTGAGTAGTGAGAGAGAGGAGGAGCGGCGGGACGTACTCGGGGAGGACGACGGGCGGACAGTCTTTTCGCGCTCGGAGGAAGACGGGTTTCGAAAAGTCGGGTGTTGGCACTGCAAGCCAGCGGGTCAGCCATCGTCCAGATAGAAGAAAGCATTGTCTGCTCACTCGGCGGAGGTTGTCGAGTGACCTGCTCGGGCATGGCGTCCATCGCTGACGCGTCTTGGTATGCCTTGACGAGGCGGACGTAGCTGCGCGGCGCAACAAACGGGTCAGGGCCCGTTGCGGGGATGCGAGAATGTGTACGTACCCCTGAGCATGCGCAATCTCGTTCGCGTATAGCCGCTCATGCGCGTCCGGCTGCGAAAGGTAGTACTCGGCGCACTGTTCGAGCTGTCGAATCGGCAAAGTCAGCGCCGCATGCCGCCGTTCGCATACATACTCGCACACACCTTCCATATCCGTTCGCGTGTGTACATCTTGAGGGCGTGCGCGACCCGCATGTTCTCCACTGCGACGATGCTCGCTGCCGTGTAGAAGGATTCGTCCTGGCCCGCCGTGGACTGCGCCTTCCGAACGAGCTCGCGCTGTGAGAGAGACTGTCAGCAAGTGCTTCAGTGGTGGAAAGAGAGCGGCACTCACCCGCCGCGCGAGGTCCTTGACCACCTTCTCGACGAGCTCGCTCGGAAAGCGGAGGAGTTCCGGTGCGCCCATCTCGTTCTGCCACGCCCGCAGTAGCCGCTGCACGTTCCTGGCCTTGTCCCTGCCGCTGCCCTCACCCAGGATATCCTCGAGAGACGGGCTGTCCCCTCTCGAACTCTCCCACCCTCGCACCGAACTGCCCGCCGCCGCACCCGTCACGCTCGACACGCGGCCCGCCGTCCTGCTCCCAGTGCCCACCGAGCTCCCTCTGTCCTCCCTGACCGGCGCAGGCCCGCCGAGCGGCGAGAGGTCGCGTCCAAAGTCGAGCGAGTCGTCTCCTCCTGCGACGGCGGCGGTGGTCGACTGGTACGACTCGGGGAGGTCGTCGTCGTCGTCATCGAAGAAGCCTCCTCGCGCCTGTGCTTTGCTCATGGCGGCCTGTCGTCCTGGTTGCGAGAGTGTGAGCGCGAGGAGGACGCGACGCTCGACTTCATCAGTTTCGGAGGCGTCGACCCTTGTACTCGCTCAAAGTGCTGCTCAACCGCCTTCGCAGGGCTCACTGACACCGCAGACACGCTTACGAGGACGCACACCACCGCCCTGGCCTTGTACCGTGATCCGACGAGTGCCGCTCGCTCCGCACTCGCCTCCTCGTCCACGACAACCTCTCCGACGGCTTGCCTCGACTCGTACGGCGCAAAGTGACTCCATTCTCGCACCATTCGACTCGTACAATCCGTGCAAACCCTTGTCCGAAGGCGTGCTCGACCCCAGCCCTCCGCTGATCCCGCCCGACCCCGCACATTCGACCAGGCAGAGCTTTTTTTCTCAAGCCCCGGCCTGCTGGCGTGCTTGCCTCTCCTTCTGCTCCTTCGTCCTGCTCTGCACACTTTCTCACTGAGTTGCACCCGCCCCGCCCCAGCTGCTGAGCCACCACCTTGGACTCTCGGCGCCTGAGCTCCGTTCATCCCGAGGAACGCTCCGGCTTGCTTCAAGCGCACCCTCATCTGCAGCTCATCACTCGTCGACCTCGTTCGCACTCTCGACACTAAGTTACCAGGGCGTCCAGTCAAGCCGCCTACGCCCTTCGCCACTTCACCACTCCCTCTCTTCCTCAGCCACTTCCCTTCGCCTCCTTCGTCGGCCTCACCATGTCCCCCTCCTCGCCCGTGATCGACCACACTCCCTCCATCCCTCCCGCCCCAGCTGCCTTTCCAGGCGACCACAAGAGCGACATCGAGAAAGCCAGCCCAGACGGGTCGGTCCTCCATGGCGCGGCGGTCGATGGGGTCATCAACCCGGAGAAGGGGGGGCATGCGAATCTCGCGCGGACGTTGAGTCGGTACCACATCACGTTCATTGGCTTCAGCTCAGGAATCGGAACCGGTGCGTTTACTTTCTCGCGTTCGAGGAGGAGGGAGGAGGCCTTGTCGAGGTTCTCCCGCTTGGAGCTCTGTAGCTGACACTTAACCCTCTTTCTCAGGTCTGTTCATCGGTGCGGGAAGTGCTTACGCGAAGAGCGGACCCGCTGGACTTCTCCTGTACGTCTCGCTGAGTATCTACACCTCTCGCTTCTCGACTCCACGCCATTCGTTACGCACCGCTCTCAATCGGCACCAAAGCTGACGCTATACTTATCCAACAGCGCATACTCGATTGTCGGCACGGTTCTCTGGTCGATCATGCAGTCCATCGCTGAGTACGCACTTCAGTCGCTGCTCTCTCAGCTTGCTGTCGGACTCACAGCGCCTGTCTACTTCAACAGACTTGCGACACTGATACCCACCGCTGGTTCCTTCCCTCACTGGGCGAACCGGTTCATCGACCCCGCCGTCGGCTTCTCACTCGGTAACTTACTTCCCTCCGTCCTTTCTCCCGCTTCTGCCGCGTACTGACGCTCTCTTCTCTGTTCTACTAAGCGCTCTCGTACGGCTACTGCGTGAGTGTCGAAGCTTTCCGGGTCTCGCTGCGTTGCGCGACTGACAACCCTCCCTCGACGCAGTACACCATCGCCATCGCCTCCGAGGTCTCCGCCGCGGCTATCATCGTCTCGTACTGGACCGACATCACACCAGCAGTTGTCATCTCCGTCGGTCTCGCCCTCATCATCGCGATCAACCTCATGCCCGTCCGAGTCTACGGCGAGACGGAGGTCTTTACCGCCATCGTCAAGATCCTGTGCTTCCTCGGCATCATCATCGTCTCGCTCGTTATTACTCTCGGCGGAGCGCCGAATCACAAGCGAACGGGCTTCCACTACTGGAATGAACCCGGACCTTGGACGAACTACAACGGTGCGTTCGGCTGGCTCTCCCACTTCCCTCTGACGCTTCCTCGTGCGCTCCAACGTGCGAGCTACTAGTACAGAAGTACTGACTCACATGCTGCACCCCTCAACCCGCCTTACCGCCTCACAACACTCCTTTCCTTCCCAAAACTCAGGCATTACCGGTCCTAAGGGCCACTTCCTCGGCATGTTGAGTGCTCTAGTCAACGCTAGCTTCTCATACATTGGCGTGGAAGTGGTTGTGATTGCAGCAAGCGAGGCGCAGAACCCGCACCGGAGCATCCCCAAGGCTGCGGACCGCGTTACCTGGCGAATCGGCTTCTTCTGTGCGTTCTTCCACTCTTTTCGCCTTATCGTGACTCGTAGCTGACGCATTGATGCCCTGTGCGCCCCCCTTTACACCTCGCAGACGTGTACGTTGTCCCCCTTCGCTCGCCGACGCTCGACCTTTCCCAAGTTCGCCGCCTCATGTCCTGACTCTCTTCCTTCGGCAGTCTCGGCTCGATCCTCATGGGCATGGTCGTCGACCCGCGCAACCCGGACCTCGTCTCGGGCGCCGGCAACGCGAACGCGTCGCCATGGACCATCGCGATGAAGGCAGCCGGCATCAACGTCCTCCCGAGCATCGTCAACGCCTGCGTCCTCGTCTCGGCGTGGTCAGCAGGTAGTTCGTACTGCTGGGTCGGCAGCCGCATGATTGTCTCGATGGCGGCCGACAAGCACCTCCCATCCGTCTTTGGCCGCACCAACAAGTACGGCACGCCCTACGTCGCCGTCCTCACCTCCTTCGCCTTCGGGCCCCTCGCGTACCTCTCGCTTGGCTCGGGAGGCGCCAGTCAGGCGTTCGCGTGGCTCCAGTGAGTTCCACGCTCGACGAGTCGAAGGACGACCTTCTCATCCTTTCCTCCCGCAGAAACCTTTCCACCGTCGCCGGCCTCATCGCCTGGGCCACGCTCTGCTTCGCATACATCCGCTTCTACCGCGCCTGCAAGGTGCAGGGCGTCGACCGTTCCTCCTTCCCTTGGAAGGGTCGCTGGCAGCCGTTCACCGCCTGGTACGGCTTCGTCGGGTCGGTGATCATCACGCTCGTCTCGGGCTTCTCCGTTTTCCTCAAGGGCAACTGGAACGCCAATGATTTTATCGCGTCCTACATCGGCATCCCCATCTTTATCGTTCCCATCCTGCTGTGGAAGCTCTTCAAGGGCACTCGGGTGTGTCTGAGCGTCTCCTCGCTATCCTGCGCAGTAGACTGATGATTATGGCGCTCATGCAGTTCGTCCGCGCGCGCGACATGGACCTCTGGTCCGGCCGGCTCGACTCCTCGAAGCTTCCCGTCCCTCGCGAACCCCGCAACGTCTGGGAACGCTTCGTCAACTGGCTCTTCTAGACGTGCGCCCTCTCTAGATCTCCCCTAGACTCGCTTTAGGCGGTTCTCCTCGGTGGTGTTCTCGGTTTTCGCTCTCCAACAGAGTGTCGTTGTACAATACTTCGCATTTCTAGCTTCTTTTGACATCCAACTGTCAAGTCTTTCTACACGTCTCGCGTTGCGTCTATCAAGCGAGGAGAGGCCGACCGAGCTAGGAAAGAACCGACCTCCGCTCCGCCCGTCCCTTCTTCTCCTCTCCGCGTCTATTCCTCCTTCTCCATCCGCATCCTTCTTCGACCCCCTCGTCTCCCTCGCTCGCGTCGCCTGGTCCGTCCCCCCCTTGCCCGTCCAGACCCCTCGCCCTCCTTTCAAGTCGCACTGCCAACCTCTCGCCAGCTCCGCCGCGGTCCTGTCATCCCCTCCTCTCTCGCCAAGGACATCTCCCTCGCCTCGTCTCCTTCCTATCGAGCGAGAGACGCAAGGAACTTGAGGAGCCGGGACGTTGAGAAAGGAGGAAGCGAAGAATCCAGTCGTGCGGGTGGAGGACGAGACGGAGGCGAGCGAGAAACGGTGTTCGAAAGAAGGTGAAGGTATCTGGAGGCGCGTGAGGCCGTGAGTGGAGAGAGTGACGCGAGCGAGGACAGCCAATGCGGAAGAAGCTGGTGAGGTGGGGAGAAGGTCGAGGCCTTCGGGCGAAGTCGAGGATGCGAGACGCGTGCGAGCGAGCGGTGCCGCGAGAATGTGCGGTGTTGGGTCGGGAGGGTATCGAGAGCGGGAGCGTTCGAGCGAGCGAGCGAGCGAAGATCCAGCCACCACCCTCACCCTCCTCATCCTCCCTGCCTCCCCTTCCTCCGCTCGCTAATCACCCTCCACCGCCATCCGCTCTCCCTCCACGTCCTCCGCGCGCGCCTCGCTCATCTCCCGCCCTCAACTACGTCAAACACTTCTTACCCTCCTCCCGCACCCTTTATGTGCCCGCACGCAAGCCTTTCATCGACGGGAACGGAGGAGGTCGAGAAGTCGTCGACGACGAGAAAGACGGAGAGGCGAAGAAGCGGACAGGATCGAGGTGGTGGTGAGGCGAGAGAGGACGCGGGAGGGGCGAGAGAAGCGCGCGAGCGAAGTATGCGAGGTCCGGAAAGCCGTTGTACGACGAGGGGAGAGGCGCAGGGAAGTCGAGTCGGTAGTGTGTGGTCGAGAGAGAAAGAGACGCGTGCGATTCAGAGTCGGCGCACGACGAGGACCTGAGAGGACGTCGAGTAAAGAGCCAGCTCCGCCATCGGCCTTCCTTCTGCACCTCCGTCCTCGCTCTTCACTTTCCCCCGGCCCACCGACCTAAGTCGCACTAGTCCTCTCATCCCCCTCCCTCCTCCCAACTCTTCCTCCCAACACCCTCTCCCCCTTTCCCGCTCCTCCCTCCTCCTCCTCATGAATCCTCACCGCCTCCCTCACAATCTCACTCCACGTCATCTGTCCCTCCGCGCTTCTCTCAAACCCAACTTCTTCCTCCCCTGGTCCCGGAGGCGCAGCGCTAATCGCGGTTTCGAGCACGATATCCGCCGTCAACCCCGTTACTGCGCTCGGTGTGACGAGTGGATGGGGGTGGGAGAAAGAGTGGAGGCGGTAGGGAAGGGAGAGGAGCCAGGTGAAGTCTTGAGAGGAATGTTGGAGGAACTCGGTGCCGGGCGGAGGGCGGGAGCGAGTTTGGTGCGGATTGGACTTGTCGGAGGAAGGAGGGTCGCGCATGAGGAAGCTCCTGAGCGGAAGATGGAACACCGCATCTACTTCGTCCTCGTTCACCCTTAGCGTCTCATCCAACCACTTGTCCGCGCTCGAGGGCGGTTCGAGCAAGAGGTACACGACGGGGAGGACGACGAGAAGTGTGCGGGATGTGAAGGCTGGGAGGGTGGTGAGGTAGAGGAGGTGTGGGGGCGTCCCTTCTGTCGACGACGAGGAGGAGGATGGGCAGGTTGAGGGGAAGGAAGGGACGGAAGAGCGAGGAGGGAGGGGGAGACCAATCTCTTCGTTTGCTTCCCTCAGCTGTGGAGCGCACGCGGAAGTCAGCCTCGCCCTTCGCTTCGCTCAGGCTCGACGCGCCACGCACCGCAGTCCACACTCCCCCCTCTCCGTCTCCCTCCTCCCATCTCCCGCCAGGCAACGCCGTCTCGCCCGGATGACTCCTCAGCTTCTTCGAGCGCGTCGTGAGGGTCACGCTGAGTTCGCCTCGCGGGTTCAGGTGGAGGAGGAGGAGGACGGCGGCGAGTTTGGGTTTGGGGTACCTGCGCCGGGTCGCTCGTTAGCAGGAGTAAGGAAAGTCAGGAAGGAGAGAGAGGGGGGAGGGACGCACTCGATGGTAGCAGCCGGAGCGCGGTACGAAGTGAGTCGACGCAGCTCGTCTTTCGTGCGGTCTGTCGCGTCTGCTAGCGTCGTGCGCAGGGCCTCTTCGAGCGAGGAGAGGTTCACGTCGTTCGTCGGCGCTGGCTGTGCGCTGGTTGCGGGCGTTGGGAGGGGTGCGAGTGCCGTCATCGAGTCCAGCGAGTCCAGCGGGTGGTCGTGCGAGGGAGAGGCACAGGGAGAGCGAGCGGTCCAGTCCAGTCCAAGTCCAGCCAAGGCAGTCACAACAGCCCAGTCGTCGCTCGTCAGCGCGAGGCGAGTGAGTGAGGGTGGTGGGTGGTGTTGCGCGAGGAGATGCGCGGGTTCACTGCAAGGCTTGCCGTCGTCGTCGTTTGTTCGTTGGCGGGGTTCGCATCGTTCTCTCTCTCGCTTCATCCTCCTCACTCGTCGCTGTCCTCCTGCTTGCACTGCTCCCTCGATGGCAGTTCTCGCTGGCTGGCTGGCCCTCGCATGTTTGCTCCTGACTGGCCTCTGTCCCGGGCTTGACTCCTGCCCATCTTTTCACGCTCAGGCAAGAAGAAGCCGGACCTCTGCTCTCGCTCGACTCTTGCTTCCCCGCCCAGTTTGCACTCTCGCTTGCACTCATTATCCTTTGCAGTACACTCGCCCCAACAGCAGCAGCACGCACGGTGAGCTCGCAGTCCCTCCACTCGGACGGCCATCCCGGCGCGCGACCGCGGCACCCAGTCGTGTGAGGCTGCCGCACCCCTTCGCACCCCTCGTGAAGCCCTCGCACGCACCTGGGACGCCCTACAAGCACCCCAGCATCCCAAGCCGAACACCCACTGACCACCCGAGCGACGCGCAGTCACAGACACACGATCCCGCTCGCCCCATCCCCTCGCCCGGAACGCTCTCTTCCTTCATCCCCCCCAACTCTCTCTTTCTCTCTCTCCTCTCACTGAGCGTGCCCACCATTCAGTCCGCCACACGCCTCACCTCGCACGCAGCCAGCCCCGCGCTCCGCTCGCTCGTCGCCCGTCGCTCGCTCCATCCCGCCGCCGCGCCCGCTATCCCCGCCCGCCGCTCCTCCTCCTCCCTCACCATGCCCGCACACTTTGCCCCCTCCCAGCCCCTCCAAGGCGGCCCCTCTCCCTCCCAACTCGGACCAAAAGAACTCCTCATCGAGCGCGCCCTCACCCGCCTCCGCTCGATCCCGAACGATTTGGAGAAATATACCTTCCTCGCTGGATTGAGGGGGAGGAACCCGGATGTGTTTTATGGATTGGTTGGGGGGAACATGAAGGAGTGTTGCGTGAGTTTGAGCGAGGTTTCGAGTGCATTTCCGGGCGGAGTGGAGGAGAGATGGCGCGGGGTGGGCGGAAGCCGGGCTTTTCCGAGCGAGCGAGCGTCGTGTGAGGAGTGTACGGGGTTGGGGTACCCTGCGAAGGCGAGCGGGATCCGCGCGCGAGGGCGGGCGCCCGGGGAGGAGGAGCGGGCGAGATTTCGAGCGGACTTGCAGTTCGCGGTGGCTTCTTTCCTCGACGCCTTTCTCGCACGACCAGTCTCTCACAGCCTCGAGAACGACGATAACTGACGCTCTCACCACTCCCGCCTTCCCTTGCGAACCCACAGCCGATCATCTAGTGCGTAACCCGCTCCCGTCTTCCTCCCTCCCGTTCCCCCTCGCTAACCTCCCGGCGCGCGCAGCACCCCCGTCATCGGTCTCGCATGCCAAAACTGGTCCCTGATCCACCCTCCCCCGCCCGAATCAGACCCAACCATCGACGCCCTCTACCTCTCCTACTCGGACCTCCCGAACCTCCCCCAACTCATCGGCGGACTCAAGACTCGTCTCCCGCACGACCAGATGCAGATCAGTGTCGTCACTGATGGGTCGCGCGTGCTTGGACTTGGAGATTTGGGCGTCGGAGGGATGGGAATCTCGCAGGGTAAACTCAGTCTGTACGTCGCAGCAGGCGGAGTGAACCCGAAAGCTACCCTGCCCATCGCCATCGATTTCGGAACCGACAACGAGACGTTGCTTGCGGATCCGCTTTATGTCGGACAGAGGATCAGGAGGTTGTCGCAGGAAAAGTGCCTCGAATTTATGGAGGTGTTTATGAGGTGTATGCATGAGACGTTCCCGAATATGGTGCGTCGCGACGTCCACTCCTTACTCTCTCTTCCTCGGACTGACGCTCGCCTCGCCTCGCCCGCGCACCCGCAGGTCATCCAACACGAAGACTGGCAGACTCCGCTCGCGTTCCCGCTCTTGCACAAGAACCGCGACTTGTATCCGTGCTTCAACGGTGCGTTCCCCTCTCTTCCCTCTTCCTGAACTCGGCTGACGCCGCCCCCCTCGCACTCGTGCTCGCAGACGACATCCAAGGCACCGGCGCCGTAGTCCTCGCCGGCGCGATCCGCGCCTTCCACCTGAACGGCGTCGCGCTCAAGGACCAGAAGATCCTCTTCTTCGGCGCGGGGTCGTCGGGCGTTGGGGTCGCCGAGACGATCTGCAAGTACTTTGAGCTGCAGGGGATGAGCGAGGACGAGGCCAAGAGCAAGTTTTGGCTCGTGGATTCCAAGGTGCGTCGCGCGCTTCCTCCTCCCTCTCAAGCCTCGAGCAAAGCTGATGAAGGAGTTACATGGGCAGGGCCTCGTCGCGCACAACCGAGGCGACACCCTCCCCTCGCACAAGAAGTACCTCGCGCGCTCCGAGCCCGACGCGCCGAAGCTCCGCACGCTCAAGGAGGTCGTCGAGCATGTCCAGCCGACTGCGCTGCTGGGGTTGTCGACTGTCGGTGGGACGTTCACGAAGGAGAGTGAGTGCCGACCGCTTTCCCTCCGCTCGCCTCGGGAGAGTGCGTGGCTGACGGGTGGGTAACGCGGCACAGTTCTCGAGGCGATGGCAACCTACAACAAGCGCCCGATCGTCTTTGCGCTCTCGAACCCCGTCGCCCAAGCCGAATGCACTTTCGAAGAAGCGGTCGAAGGGACAGACGGGCGCGTCTTGTATGCGAGCGGGAGCCCGTTCGACCCGGTCGAGTACAAGGGCAAGAGGTATGAACCGGGTCAGGGGAACAATATGGTCCGTCCCGCGTTGTCACTTCTTGCGTGTGTGGATGGGTGGCTGACATGAGATCGACGCGAGCAGTACATCTTCCCCGGCCTCGGAATCGGAGCGATCCTCGCGCGCGTCTCCAAGGTTCGTCCCCTCCCCGCTCTCTCTCTCTCCCTCTCGCTTCGCAGCTGACTCGCCGGCACCCACAGATCCCCGAAGAACTCGTCCATGCTTCGGCGCAGGGTCTCGCCGACTCGCTCACGCCCGAGGAGACGGCTCGCCACCTCCTTTACCCGGACATCGAGCGCGTGCGTACCCCTCTCTCCCTCCTCCTCTCCTTGCCGCGCGCGCACTCGCTTGACGCTCGTATCGTACACATGCCAGATCCGCGAAGTCTCGATCAAGATCGCCGTGACCGTCATCCAAGCCGCGCAAAAGCTCGGGGTCGACCGCAACGAGGAGCTGCGCGGCAAGTCGAGTGCCGAGATTGAAGCGTACGTCAGGAAGGGGATGTATCATCCGCTTTTGGAGGCGGAGCAGCAGGCGCAGTAGACGCCTAGGCGGTGATGGTGCGAAAAAGGGACGCGAGAAAATCGTCCCGCTACACTCACTCTCCTTTCGGTTCTTTTCTCCTCCTCGTCTCCGTCTTTTCTTGTCGTAGATACAGTTCCGTTCTTACAGACGTTCGGAAGAACTCGCGTGGCGCACTCTCCAGGACTTGCGGAGGCGGTCGAGAGAGGCTTCCGCTCGCTTGCGTCTACGTCTGCATCGCTTCTACCGCTATCGACGGCCACCACGATTCGGGCTGCCAGACACCCGCGCCGAGCATCGCGTTCGGATCCATCGTCGTCTGCGCCGCTCCCGTCGACGAGCCTGACGAGCCCGGACCGCCGTCTTGCGGCGAGCCTGTATTCGACAGGAAGGCGAAGAGCGAGAGCGGGTCGGCGTGTCTGAACGAGGTCGTGGCGAGATGTTCTGCCGCAGCGATGTTTTCGAGTCGGGCGATGAGCGCGTCGCTTGAGGGGTTGGTGAAGCAGAAACCGACTTTGAGAAGTGCGCCGGCGAGTCTGTTTAGGTGCTCGTCGAGATCAGCTTGACGTGCAGGAAAGGGAGGAGGTGAGGGAACGCACGTCTGGCAGATCCCGCCTAGCCTTTCACCCAAACCTCCTGCCCGTCCCGCCTCGACTTCCTCAACCAAGAACTCTGCCCACTGATGGATTAGACGAGGCTGGAGGTGCGTCCAGAAGGTGATGTGAGGCGTGCGGTCGAGGGCGGCGAGGATCGAGTCGAGGGCTGAGAACGCGTATTCGCGCGATTGCGAGAGGTGGAGGTGTAGTCGCTGTTGCTCGAAGCGCTGGAAGGTTGTCGCTTCTCCTCCGAGTCCGACAGCAAGCGAGACGCGCCGCTGCAGCTCGCGGTACAAAGCGAGAGCAGGCGAAGTCCATTGGACGGCGACAAAGAAGCGGATGTGTCGGAGAGCTTGTCGACGAGAGAAGGGGACGCGGCGCATCATGCTCGATTCGGAGGTGCGGTCGTCGTCGAGGAGGCGATCTGTGAGCGCAAGAAAGAGGGAGGCGATCGTGCTGAGTTGCTCTATGTCGGTGAAGGCGCGGAGGAGGGCAGATTCGTCGAGAGACGCTTGTCGAGCGTGTACTGTTGCCAGTGTAATCAGCGATGCCGCGTCTCGAGACGGTGAACGGCCGCTCACAGCCCGTGATCTCCTCGTGGACTCGAGCAGCCGTATCGAGGCCTAACTTGACAGCTATGTGAGGCAGTCGTCAGTTAATTTGTCTGCGGCAATGAAAGTTCCAAGACGCACGCGTAGCAGCGTCGGGCCAAACTCCAGTATTGAGCGGTTGATCAAGTCCGGCTCGCAAAGATGCTTCGAGGGCGACAGGATCTTGGGCGACCAACTTCACCAGCAAAGCGACGTCTCGACTCGATCTATATGGGTGACAGGTGAGCAACTCATTGGGAGGCGAGCGAAGCGAACGAACAGGCAGACTTCTCCCAAGTTTGCGAGGTTGTCGGTTCCCTGCGCGCACGCACGTCGTGTCAGCGCCGCCGACGTCTTGGGCCGATGCCTCGAGCTGCACGACGTACGAGATTGAAAGCCCAGATTGTGTCGTCGGACCAAGACGCGCTGTTCAGCGGCTGCGTCCAGCGCAGGCGGCGGATGTGCGAGAGATAGGCGGCGTGCCAGGGCCGAGGAGTATGACGGTCGGTAGCTAGAGCGAAGAATGTCAGCGCATAGCGCTTGGACGAAAAGGAGACCGCAAACGCACCTTCAACCGCTTCGAGGTAGTCCAGCAGCCAGCACGAAGCCGCGTTCGCGAAGCTGGGATCGACATCGACACCCAGAGCCCTCGCCCTCCGCTTTGCTTCGCTCTTGAGCGCAAGGTAGGCGTTTGACCGACTTTGACCGAGGGTGCGCAGATCGGGACCGAGCGACTCGACGTCCGCGAGAGTCTGTACGTTTCCTGCATGATTGGCGAGGATAGCGGGATCGATCGAGAGCAGTGACCCCATCGCCATAGCGCACAGCGCAAGTACGGCGAGTTGGGGAGCGAGCAGGTCGATGTCGCCATTCGCGTCGCGAAGAGCGGAGGAGACGTCGCATGCTCGTACACATGGGTGGGCGAGGCGCGGACCGGCGTCTGTGCGAGGCTCAAGGGTCAGTGCTTCGTCAGACAAGAGGAAAGCGAGCACGAACTGTCGAACAGGCTCAAAGCGAGCTTCGAGGTGAGCGAGAAAGGCAGACGGTCGCGCCAACCCTGGTTGCTCTCCATCAGCGGGATATGCGTTCGGGGAAGGGATGTCTCGGTTGACGCCTGCGAGTTTATAGCGGCGGACGAGCCGCTGGTCGAGGGGACCCGAAGAAGCGGAGCAGGCGAGAGAGCAGAATTTGCGACCGACGCTGATTCTGCGACGGCGGTTCGTACTCGCTTCCGAGGAGCTCGCCGCACTGTCGGCGTCGTAGTGCACCTGCGAGAAACGTCAACTCGTCAATGCATGGGCTCGACGAGGGTGAGGAGGAATCCAACGCAGTCGACGCCCTTCTCGACACACCGTGGACACCCAGCTGGATTGGGATGGCACAAGACCCGCTTTGCCTGCGCTCAGAGTGTTCAGCTCTGTTTTTCGAGCAGCTCCACGTCGCCGCGCACCTTGCACCGGTCGCAGGCAGGCGGCTTCTTTGGCTTCGAGGCGGTCGACGAGGCGGACGGAGACGGAGTCGCCGCGGGCTGGAGGCTGGCTCCATCAGCTGGCATGAGGTTGTCGTGGAGGCGTGCTAGCTAGCTACAGCGCTGCGTACGCCGACGAGCTCTCTCTTCGCCTCCCATCAATGTCTCACTCGAGGAGCGAGGCGAAGTCGCGGACATCGACCTCGCTCGACTTGACAACCGCTGCTTGATTACGCGGAATGCTTCTCCTCCTCTTGCATCCGCACCCGCGCATAGACCATGTCCAGCCGGTCGCTTGTTGCCGCCTTGCTTTTCGCCCTCGTTGCGCTCGCTCGCCCTGTTCGCGCGGCGGTACGTACGATTCCCTCCTTCTTGGTCAAATTGTGCCCAGCTGAAGATTGTACCCTCACAGGATGACGCCCCGCACACCATCGAGACACGCAAAGGACCCGCCATCATCGCATTCGTGCTGTTCGGCGCCGTCTTCCTCGTCCACTGTTTCCGTATGTCTGACAACATTCCCACGCGCAAGCTCGACTGACTCTTCACCCTGCACAGAGTACATCCGCAACCGGCGAAGGGGAAACAAAGGGATGCTCACTTTACTCATCGGCATGTTCTGTACGCCCGCACTTCTTTCACCTTCTCCCTCGCCGGCTCACTCGACTTCGTGACGCTTGCAGTCATGTCTCTGGGCTTCTTGCTTCGAACGTCGAAGACGCAGTATGCCTGGCAGTTCCTCGTGAGTTGACGTTCCGAGTCTCGAAGCCTTCACTGGACTGACAACCTCCTCGTGTTCCCAGTTCACCTGCCTCGCCGCAGGTCTAGCAACATGTGCCTAAGCTCCGCCGTCTTGCTAACGAAGCCCCGCCCTCAGTCCTGCGCATTCCTCGCAACCGACTACATTATCCTCGCCCGTCTGGGTCGAGCGGTTGGACCCGAAGTTGCGAGACGCTGCCTCCCTATCTCGCCCTCCGCCATCTCTTGGCTCTTCATGCTTTCCGACTGCGTTACTTTCGCTGGCCAAGCGACGGGAACGGTTTTCATCACCATTGGCGGAGACTGGACTTCGATCGGGAACAAGGTGCGTAAGCCGAGTCTGCATATCTTCCATCCCTGCCCCCGCGCTACTGACAAGTCTTATCGCATGTCCAGCTCGCAATCGCTGGTTTGATCCTCCAGGTCGTCTCTTTCGTCACCTTCACCTTCCTCCTCTACCTCTTCGCGCGCAGACTGTGCATGTCTCTCGCCTGTCTCTCCTCAGTGCACCTCTGATCCTGGCTGTGCCCGTAGGGGCCCCCGGTACCCGAGCATATACGCTTCACCCGAGTCAGGCAGCCACAACCTCCGCCGACCCTTTGTGTTCGAGCCAGTCAACGACGTTCGGTTGCTCGTCCGCATCGTCGGGCTGACCTGCACCGGTCTCATGGCGTGTCGGGCATTCCCTGGGTCTGGAGCTGACGTCTAAGGCTGACTAGGCATCGCGCAGATTCGAAGCGTCTTCCGCCTCATCGAGCAGTGCGACGGGTGCGTTGTTCTCCTGCTCTCTCTCTCTCAGCTTTTGACAAGAGCTCCAGCTGATCGTGACGCTCGACACAGCTTCTTCGGCACCATCGCAAGCCACGAAGTCTTCTTTTACCTTTTTGACACGATCCCGCTCCTCCTCTCCGTCGCGCTCTTCGGGCTCGTCTGGCCGCCGCGGTACATCGAAGGGTGCGCGCTGGCGAGCGCCGAGAACAAGAGGGGAGAGAGCGTAGATTTGCAGAGGTTGTGGAAGTAGAAGCGGGACGCCCGGGAAGGGAAAGGCCGCATCTCTCGCTCGCCATGTAGAGAGACGGAGGCAAACTCACTCCGATGCAACAGACACTAAGCGACGGAACAGAGACCAAGCGAAAGCGAAAGCGAGAGGAGAGGGGAAGCTAGACCGGGTGTACTCAAGTCGCTCTTCCTCCTTCCTCCTCGAAAGGGCGGCCAGTACTCACGCCCTCCTTTTCCCTCGACTCACATCCTCATCGACCCATCCTGGCGCTCCTCCATCGCAATGACAGGCGCCTCAAACTCCTCCCTCTGCTCCATCTTCCTCCACGCCTCGCGCATCTCGTTCTGGTCGAAGCGGTAGCGGTGGATCGGGACCCGCACCGACTGCTTGTCGGCGAGGCGCATCACGCGCTCGAGGTCCTTGTGCGAGAGCGGAGGGGCGCCGCGGATCGAAATCGACTTGGCGATGAGGTTGGCTGCAGGCGAGAGAGTGAGAGGAAGAGGTCAGCGAGGTGAGTTGGAAGGGCAAAGGCGCGAACGCACCGATGGGGACGGTCATGTCGTCGTCCTTGCGCGGGTTGAGGCAGATCATCGACGAGCGGTAGCGGCACCCGTCGAGGAGCTGCTCAAAGCCCTCGCGGGGCATGTCGGTGCCTGCCAGCGTCTCCGTCAGTTCACTCCTCTCGCGATGAGAAGACGCGCGACGCACAGATAACGCCCTGAGCACCGCCGTGCTTCTTGAGGAACTCGCGGAGGTTGTTGTCGTTGGCGCGCATCATCTCGTCGTCCTTGACGCCGTAGTCCTTGGCCTGCCACTTGTCCGAGATCGTGACGACGAGCATCTTGCGCTTGACGCCCTCGGCGCGGAGCGAGTCGATGGCGAGGCGAACGAAGCCGCTGCGTGAGGCAAGTCGAGGAGGGTCAGCGAGGAAGAGGAGGAGGAAAAGTGGCCGCACCCCTCGCCGTAGATGACGATACAGCCGTCGCCCTTAAAGCCGAGACGCTCGTTGTGCTCGCGGATGAGCTTGCGCTCGTGTTCGCCGAGGTGCTTGTGCTCCTCCTCGCAGCGCTCGTGCGAGACTGCCCAAACATCAACCCGTCAGCGCTCGTTCGCCTGGAGAGAAGGAATGGGACGCACTGACGACGCGCGACATGTCGAGTGGGGCGCACTGACGACGCGCGACATGTCCCAGGCAAAGATCGGGCCCATGTACATCTCGTCGCCTTGCCTGAGCTTCTGCGGGAGCTCGACGACCGACCACTCGTCGGCGAGGACGTACTCGGCGCATCCGCCGCGGTAGCAGAGGGCTGCGCTCGAGCGTGTCAGCACGAGTTCGAGGCACAGAGAGAGGAAGTGAAGGCACCGGCGACGTGAGAACCCTCCTTGATGCGACCCTCGCCGCGCTGAGCCTGGCGGACGACTTCGCCGACGACGGCCTGGCCGGGCGTGAGCGGGAACTCGAGGCCGGGAAGGAGGTCGTGACGGAGGATCTGGTCACTGCGGGCGAGATGAAGGAGAGTCAGCTTTGAAGGCGAGCGGAGGAGGAGGACAAGGTGGGACGGACGTGCTGTTGAGGGCCGAGGCGTGGACGCGGATGACGACCTCTGTTCCGGAGCGTCGTGAAGAGCGTCAGTACGTCGTCAGCAAGCGAAAGGAGGACGAGGACGCACCCTCCGGACGCGGGTCCTGCATGCGAGTCTCGCGCAACTCGAGCTCGCCGCCGGACTGGGTGAACTGGGCGGCGCGGAACTGCTGAGGGATGTCGCGGGTGGTCATAGTGGTCGTGCTGTAGAAGAGGCGGGTGAAGCTGCTGAAGTTGAAGGCGGAAATGGTGGGCGAGCGTGAGGCAGGAGGGAGAGAGAGGGAGAGGCGAGCGGGAGGCCGCCCTTTTGAGGGCGGGTAGCACGGGATCTCGATGCATGCGCTTGAGTCCGAGTGCATGCATGCAGGAGGCGAGGAAGCTTGGCAGGAGGAGGCGCTGGGTGATGTCCCCCGAGACGAGGTGAACGAGGGGGAGTGAGCTTGTGAGTGGGCGTAGCGGTGAAAGGAGTCTGGCTGATGAACCCAGCCAAGCGGCGAATCGAACGGAGCACACGGCGAACCAGGAGAGCCTTCGACAGATCTTGGGAAGGTCGGCCTGGTACGAATCGTCCTCCTCGTTGCATCTAGTCCTCCGACTGCTCGAGGATCATCGGCCAGAGCTGCGAGAGACGTTTTCAGCCAGTCCCAATAAGCAGAAGCAGTGAGACCGTCGCACCTTGACACTCTCGTCGTTCTTCGCGACGATGACTTCCGCAAAGTCCTTGAAGCCGGCTAGCTGGTACATAGGCCGACCCTCTACGAGCACAAAGCGTCAGTATTAGCCAGGGAGACTGCGCGCGAGACGCACCCTCGGTCGCCTCCAGCGTGACGGGCAGTCCAGCCGCCTTGCCAGCGTCGAGTACCGCCTGCATCATCTTCTTGCCGACACCGGTTCCCTGCGCTTCAGGCGCGACAGCAAGGACATGCCACGCTGTGCCGCTCGAAGTCAGCCCGAACTTGTAAGACGGGGAGGGGAAGGACGCACCTAATCTCGCAAACTCGATCCCCTTCACCAGCTCCTCGACCTGTCCGAACAAGTCCTTTGTCCGCTCTTCATTCGCGCCCTCCGGCAACTCCCTCGTCTCCTCGTCCTTCTGCATCTTGTCCGTCTCCGCCTCGATGCTGTAATAAGCCATCGCAACAACCTTGTCTCCCCTCTTTCCCGCCAGCACTTGCATTTTATCCCCCTTTTCGCGCTTCTCGAAGACGCCTGTGAGGCGCTTGATAAACCATTCGTCGAGTGCAGAGGGGGAGACGGAGCTCCAGCAATAGCGGGTGACTACGCCGGGCGAGAAGGCGCGGCGGTAGACGGAGGCGAGGGAGCGGAGGTCGGCTCGTGAGGCGGGGACGACGCGAAAGGGCGGGCGGTACATTGGTTGCAGCTGTCGTTCAAGTCTCGTCAGTGGCGAGCAGGAAGGAGGAGAAGGAGAGGACGGACGTGGATTTCTGGGTCGAGTTTCGGGATGAAGGGTTCACCAAGACGCTCGAATCCAGCTTGCTCGTACAGCACGAGTCCGTCTGCGTCGCAAGGAGTGTCAGATGAGCGCTTGATTAGCGAACGCAACGCGAACGCACCGTCTGAAGCGCGCAAGTAGACGGGCAAGCCTGCGTCGTCTGCCTCCCGACAGCCCCAGCGCAACAACGCGGCGCCGACTCCTCGTCGCTGGTAGCGGGGGTCGACGGCGAGCGTACTCAGGTCTACGAAGAGACTCGTCAGCCTGGCAAAGCGAAGGAAGCGTCGAGTAACGCACAGAAGTGAGGCTCCTCAACGGGTTCCTGCGAGAACATCTCCGCCGCCAGCTCGAGGTTCGTCCCGGCAGGGTACTGCAGACCCTTGCGTGCCTTGACATTGCACCCAGGCAGCCGCCACGACGCAAGTCCCACGACCTCTCCCTCGAGGACCGCCTTGAGCAGGATCCTTCCCTCGTGCCCGACTGCGCTCGCGTACATGCTCGTGCACATCTCGCGGTAGTCGTCATCGCTGACGCCGCCGAACAGCCGCCTATCGAAGAGCGACGGCTTGAAGGCGCTCGTTGACGCCGCGACGAGGCGAGGGAGGTCGTCTGCGGTCGCGGGGAGGACGGCGATGGATGGCGCGGTCATCTGCAGGACTGTGCTGGTCTGAAGAGTGTCTGCATCGCCTGCTCGACCTTGTCAGCCTGTCGAGTCGCGCTCACCACGCGGTCCCTCCTCACCTCCACCTCTTGCGGGGACCGTTGCATGCTCTCTCGCTTCGCACGCTCACTGACCATCATGGCTGGCAAGACTACCGCTCAGTACGGCGCCTGGAAGAGCCCCATCTCGACAGACCTCGTCCTCGCTTCCGCCGTCTCGCTCGCCGAGCCAAAGGTTTCCCCCACTCGGTCCGCTCTCGCCTGGCTCGAGGGACGCCCGCAGGAGAAGGGACGCAGCGCCATCGTCTACCAGAAGCTCCAGGGCGGAGAACAGGAGCAGGTCCTGCCCGACGCGAAGTGGAACGCCAGGACAAGGTGCGTTCATTCTCCTCTTCAGCTTATCGAATCCTCGCTGAACCTCTGCTTGACCCGGTGCAGGGTCCAGGAGTATGGCGGCTCGTCGTGGTCATTTGAGAGCGACGACTCAATCCTCTTCTCGTCGATGGAGGGTCCCGCTTACCGCGTCAAGAGGTCTGCCGACGGCAAGTGGAGCGAGCCTGAGCAGGTCACTCCCGGTACGTACGGTCCTCTTACTCGCTGTAGACACTGCTGACGCTTTGCAGGACCTCCCGCAGAAAGCTCCGTCCTCCGCTACGCCGACTTTGCTCCTCACCCCTCGCCTTCGCTCTCCTCCTCGCTCACCCTCTCGATCCTCGAGGACCACACGAACGACACTCCCGCGACCGTCGTGACGACTCTGGTCGCGCTCTCGACCTCGGACCGCAAGTACTACGAGGTAGCGTCGGGCGCCGATTTCTACGCGGCCCCCGAATGGTCGCCTTCCGGCAAGTACATCTGCTGGGTGCAGTGGATGCACCCCGACATGCCGTGGGAGGGCAGCGAGCTCTACGTCGCACGCGTCAACAATCCCGAAAAGCCCGATGCTGCGAACCTCATCGACCAGGCCTCGATCCGCAAGGTCGCTGGCAAGCCCAAGAACGGCGAGTCGATCTCGCAGCCAAGGTGGGCCGAGGGAGACAAGGACACGCTTGTCTTCCTCAGTGACCGCACGGGCTTCTACGAGCTGTACAAGTACGAGCCCGAAGGCGACAAGGAGGTCAAGCTTCTCCTCAAGGAGCCGACCGGCGCAGACGTCGGCGGTCCCGACTGGGTTCTCGGTCAGCAGACGCACATGCCGCTCTCGTCAACTCAGTGGGTCTCGAACGCGTCGGGCGGCAAGTTGCGCATCATCTCGCTCGCGGACGGCTCGTCCGAACTCGTCGACACGCCTTACGTCTCGGTCGGCCAGGTCGACGTCGTTTCGCCTACTCAGGTCGCTGTCCTCGGCGCCCCTGCGACCGCACCGAGCGTCATTTCGCTCCTCGACCTTCCGAAGGGAAGCGGCGAGGCAAAGGAGAAGGTCCTCAAGGTCTCGTCTTCCGCCTCGGTCGACTCGGCATTCATCTCCAAGGGCGAGAAGATCGAGTACCCGACTCGCGACGGCTCGAAAGCGTACGGCCTCTTCTACGCCCCCTCGTCCGGCAGCCATGTCGCCCCGGAAGGTTCGCTCCCTCCCCTCGTCGTACGCTGCCATGGCGGACCCACCGCCAGTGCCCGTCGCGGCCTCGACTGGATGATTGCCTTCTTCACCTCGCGCGGATTCGCCTACGTCGACGTCGACTACGGAGGTTCGACCGGCTATGGAAAGGAGTTCCGCGAGAGGTTGTCGGGAACTTGGGGTATTGTCGATGTTGAGGACACGATAAGTTGCGTCGAATGGCTTGTTCAGCAGGGCAAGGTCGACAAGTCCAAGGTCGCCATCACCGGTGGCTCGGCAGGTGCGTCGCCACCTCGCTTTCGTCGAGGCTCTTGTTAACGTGTCTCGCCCCTTCTCACAGGTGGCTTCACTGTCCTTGCCTCGCTCTGCGACTCGAAGGTCTTCACCGCCGGCACGTCGAGCTACGGCGTCTCGGACCTCAAGCTCCTCGCCGAGGACACGCACAAGGTGAGCTGCTCTCCCTTCTTTGAAGACTTTGCGCTGACGCTCGTCTTTCAGTTCGAGTCGAACTACCTCTTCAAGCTGCTCGGCGGAACGCCTGCTGAGGTCCCGAAGAACTACCACGGTTCGTTTCTTCCTCTTCATCTCGCTTCACTCTTGCTCATAGCCCCGTCCGCAGACCGCTCGCCCATCTTCAAGGCCTCTCAGATCACCGCCCCGCTCCTCCTCCTCCAGGGCACCGAAGACAAGGTCGTCCCGCAGTCGCAGGCCGAAACGATGCTCGAGGAGGTCAAGAAGAACGGTTCGACGTGCGAGATGCTCCTTTTCGAAGGCGAGGGCCACGGATTCCGTGGACGCGATGCGAGGAAGAGGGCGATGGAGGCCGAGTTGGGTTGGTACAGGAAGACTTGGGGAATCGAGGCGGACGAATAGGCGCGGAGAGGAGAAAAGGGTCTGTATTGCCAATGTCCGTGTTGTACCCCACCTCACCAACCCACGAGTGAGGGCTACGAGATGGCTGCTTCTTTTCCAGCGATCGGCTTGAGTGTCTTTGGGTCGAGGAGCGGGAGGTTCCGGTGCGGGTAGCTGAAGAGGCGAGGGAAGGTCAGCCAAGCCTTGGCTCAGCGCGCCATGACAGCAGCGGCACCGAGTCAACGCACGAGTCTGCGAAATTGGCAACGACGTCTGGCTCGAAAACTTGGTCGCGGTCGCCGAGCTGGTTGCCGAGCGTCCACCTGACACGGCAAATACGCTCATCAGCTCAATACCATTTAACAGGTGCGGAACAAGTACGCACCAGCCGTCCCGCAAGTTGTGCTCCCTGCCGAACAACTCGACCTTCCGCCCTTTACCCTTCCCGCCGAGAATCCGCTCGATCATGTCGTACAACTCGTCTGGCTTGCGCGAGGTCTCGCGCACTTCGGCGAGGAGGACTTGCGTGTCGAGGCCGCGGTTGAACCAGCTGGGCAACCGTGGTGGAGCCGTCGAGGAAGCGGGTCGGCGGATCGCGACGAGACAGTGCTGCTCGACAACGGAGGTCAGCCTGGAGTCTCGCTGGACGACTCTGATAACCCACCTCCTTCGAGTGATTGAGCCAGTGACCCGTTCGACCTGGATATCGTCGTCAGCGCGATGAGCGAAGCAGGAGACCTGATCGACGTACCTGTTCGTATCAAGCCCTGCAGCTGGTTCGTCTTCACCCATACAAGCTCGTCTATCCGTTCGTATCTGCATAGAACCTGCGATCAGCCCACGTTAAGGAGAGCGACAGGAGAACTCGTACGCACCCCCAAGCCTTTAAGCACTCCCGACCGAGCTCCATCGCTCGTCCCGTCACCCAGAGGAACAGTAAGCCTCCTTCGTCCTGCATCGCGCCGACCGGCATCCGCATCATCTCGTCGTCTGTTAGGGTTCCGTAAGGTAGCTGCGCGTGCGCAACATGTCAGCTTCGCAAACAGGCCGGAGGCAACGGTGTAGCGCGCCTCTTGGTGGATTGCCCAAGGCGGGTCCGCCACGACGACGTCGTATTTGCCGAGGACGGAGACGTCGAGCTCGCGCAGGTCGGCGTTGATCCACTGAGGCGGGAGGACCTGCGAAAGACCTCGTCAGCCCGTCTGCCGTGGAGCGAAGAGATAGCCGAGACGCACCTCCTGTGGCTGCAGTACCGGATCATCGTCCTCCTCCGCCCATCCCTTTGGCTCAGCAACCTTCTTCGGCGCCAGGTCGGGATCCTCGAGGACCCAGTGCACGTATCGGCAAGTCGCCATGCGATGGCAGGTATTGAGGTACGAGCAGTCGCCGAGCGAGACTTCCGTGTGCGGTCGTAGAGAGCGGACGAAGTGCACGCTCAGGCAGGATGTGCCGCGAGGACATGCTTCGCGGGTTGTCGAGGAGCAGATGTCGACGAATGGGCGGGAGAGCGGAAACTGTCAGGTTTGACTCGGGTCAGCACAGCAGCTGAGCCTTCGGATTACCAGAATGACGCACAGCCTTTCGCAAAGCCTTTGCCTGGGACAGTCGTCGAGCATAGTCGCCGTCTCGCTTCGAGGACGAGGAGGAAGGCTCCGTCATCTCGCGCACCGCGGCTGGTCTGTGAGCATCAGGAGTGCGAAATTCTGTCAGCAAGCTGTAAAAGCACGGCGAGCGCCTGTGCGAACGACACACCTCGCGACCGCTACCGGATCCATCAAGAGAACGGCGACAACGAAAGAGCAAGGTCGGTGTGGGACGCTTCTGGCTCCGTTGAAGAACATCTCATCGTCTGTCAGCCTCGCATATCGTCCAAGCCAAGTTGGTGCCTCTGTGACCTCCTCACTCCTCATCACCATCCTCATCTCTCGTTCGCTCCCTCGCCGTCTACACCGCTCGAGACCCTCCTTTGGGCCCGCTGGCCTACTCTTGACCGTTCCCTTGAGCGACTCAACAAGCCGATACCGCTACGCACCTTGTCAGGATGCTGCTTCCTCCCACGCACTCTCAGGGTGTTGGCCCAAACGAGACGGCCACAAGCGAAAGTCGAAGACTGAGCGGGATCAGAGGCGGGGCCAGCAGGGAGCAGCAAGGACGAGACTTCCTCAGCAGCGACGGTAGAAGCAGAACAAGGCGTTGCAGACGTTGCCGGGGGACCTTCGCCCCCTCGACTTCTGAGGCGAGATGCTGCTATGATAGGCTTGGGCCTTCGACGGGAGGTTCTCTGTGTTCCGACGAACCCTTGGACTCGTGGCAATCGACCCTTGCAGCGGCGCTTTCAGCTTGATGAGGCTCGGCCACACGTCGCCACTTTCCATACGAGGTCGCCGGCGACGTCGGTGAACTTTCCAAGTCGTTGCGGCGCCCCTTCTCTCGACGCTGCCACTCTCTCTTCCACCACTCACATCTGCTGAATCTCGCAAGCTACGATGACTTCAACAGCAGCCCTCGCGACGGGCGTCTCTGCCCGCGACAACAAGCTCCGCCAGCCCTATCGCCGCAACTCGTCGTCGTCTGTCGACTCGGACAGTTCATCCGAGACGCCCATCTCGTATGCCACCGACCCCGACCGCCCTCCCGGCCAGCCTACTCCCCGCACAACCAAGCAGAAGGTCGACCGCCGACCGCCGTCGACGTTCTACCTCAAGCGGTGGAGGGATCAGACTTGGGCGGAGCGCATCTGCAACCTCGCGACGTGCCCTGCGTCGATGCACGAGTTGAAGGACGAGGGTATGGACCGTGGCATGCCGCCTGTCCAGCCCGTCTGGCGCGAGAACCTCTTCATCCTCTCCCGCGCCCTCGTCCCCGTCCTCCTTCACCAGGGCGCTTTGTGGGCCTTCCCCAGTGCGTAGAGCTTCCCTCACACCGCGTAGAGACCGTACTGACGCTGCTTCTCGCGCAGACTACCAATGGCCGTTCTACGTCATCTACCCGTTCTACTTCCTAGCCTTTGTCGGCTTCGCCATCGAGATGGTCCACCGCATGTCGGACTACTCGATCAAGTTCGGCACGTTCGACGAGAAGCAGATTGGGCGCGACCGGACGCCCGACAAGTCGGTCAACCACCTAGCAGTCGGCATCCTCGGTGCGTTCCCCGTCCTCTCGCCGACGTCGGCGACTTCGTCTCGTGATCTGTACGACTGACTTATCGCTCTCCGCAGCCTACATGTTCGTTAGGACGGCCTTCTGCTTCTACCTCCAATTCGACAAGCAGGCTCAGCCCCTCTTCTCCTTCACCTGGTCGTACCCACTCCGCCTCGCCGCGTGGGAGATCGCCCTCGACTACTTCTTCTACGTCTACCACCGCGCATCGCACGAGGTCGACTCCCTCTGGTTCATCCACCAGCACCACCACACGACCAAGCACCCGACTGCCATCCTCTCGATCCTCGCTGAGGAGTGGCAGGAGCTCCTTGAGGTCTTCCTCGTCCCTCTCGCCGCCACCCTTCTCGTCCCGATGACCTTCTCGGAGGGCTACATGACTCTGGTCTACACGATTTACGTCGAGATGATGTGCGTCCGCCCTCGATCTCTCCATTCTTGCACGCCCATTGACCCGTCTTTCCCATCGCAGGGGCCACTCCGGCGTCCGCGCTCACTGGTGCCACCCCGTCCTCTGGCCGCTCGAGTACCTCGGCATGGGCCTCGCCGTCGAGGACCACGACTTGCACCACCGCTTCGGCAAGTCGGGCAAGAACTACGGCAAGCAGTCGCGCGTCTGGGACCGCATCTTCGGCACCTGCGCCGAGCGCATCGAGACTTTTGGCATGTAAAGCGGCGAACGCTTCATCCCCTTCCCTCACTCTGTTCTGGTATCGCTCGTCTGTCCCTCACGTCGTATATCCCCCCCTCTGCATCTCCCTCGCATATCGTTCGTTGTTCTCCCTCACACTCGTGTTGATAGCATTCCCTTCCCTCCGTCATTCCCAGCGTTGTAGCGCTCTCCGTCGTACATCCTGACCCCGAAAAAAATCAATCAGTCCCGCACTTCTCCTCTCGTTGCGCGCTCGAAGAGAATGGTCACAACACAAGCTAGATTTACGTATAGATAGCCAAGACTAGACACAAGTGTGTGGATACGGGCGTTCCGGCGCCCGCTCGACAACATACGGCTCCTCCCACGTCTCGACGCTGCTAAATGGCCATCCCGATAACGCCGACGTTGTAGTTGCAGCTGATTCGCTCGCCGAGGCAGACGACGCCCTCCTCGAGCTCGGTCGAGTCGAAGGACAAGTCGGTCAAGTCCGATTTCTGGCTGTCGCTGCGAGGGATCTGCTTGATCTGCGCCTCGACGACAATAGCCGAGTCAATCGACGACTGCGAGTCGGTATGGCCGTGGCGAGAGAGGTGCTCTGATGCAGTCGATCCGCTCGAGTAAGTCGAATGCGAGCCGTCGTCCTCGTCCGCGCCGGCGAGCGAGGCGAGCGTCCTGTCAATCTCGCCTTCGATGTCGACATCCTCGTCGTCCTCGTCCGGCGAGGTCGGCACATCCTGCTCGTGGCCCTCCTCGGACGACCAGCTGCGCATCCCGCCATGCCCATGATCCGAGTCGACCGGCAACAAAGGATGAATGACGGCAGGCGAAAGCGGCTTGGGCGAGTCGAGAGCGAGAGGGATCACGTCTTCGGGCTTGTACAGCTTCGAGTACCGGCGAGAATCGTGTCGCGAAACGGAACTCTGCCTTCGCAACGGCAGGTTCTCCTTGTCGAGCGCGACGTCGCCCATCTCGCGCGCGAGCATAGACATGCGCTTCTGCGACGTGTTGTGCATTTCGAGGGCGGTCGAGGTGAGCGAGGGCGAGGCGGGAGCTGAAACGGTCATCGAGGGAGGAGGCGGAGTAAGAGGGCGGTTCAGGCGCATGAGCATGTTGTGCAGCGATTCCTCGCAGTCGGACGAGTCCTCGTCGGCTGTCTGCTCGACCGCAAGAGTCGAAAGAGCCGGGTGAAAGTCGGTACGAAGGGTCGTCGGCGGGTGGTAAGGGACAGCAACGAGTGAAGGCGGGACTGGGCAGGTCGGCGAGACGGGCGGAGTTGTCGAGATGTCCGCATACGACGGTGGTCGTGGCGCAAGAGCGGTCGGAGGCGGACCCGGCGCAGGAGGCGTAACCTCAACAGTCGGAGTCGACGGCGGCGAGAAGGAAGTTGGTCGAGACGGTGCGGAAGCGAAGGTCCGCGGCCGCTCGGCACGCTTCGACGGCGCCCTCGTCGACATCCTGACCATCCGCTTCGGCGGCAAGACCGTCACCTTTGTCGGACCGGCGATCATGGTGACGGGTCGAGCCTGGCGGGACGGCTCGCAGTACGAGTTGGCTCGCTGTCGAGGTGCGGGCGTCGAGTGGGCAGCGGGCAAAGTGGCTGCGCGAGTCGACACGGACGGTCGGGGTCGCGGCTGCTCCTCGTTGCCGTTCTGGGGCGGCGAAGGCGGACAGACGAAAAGCTCGGGAATGTCGCATGGTCGGAAGGTCGAAGTCGTGCTCAAAGCCGGCGAGGGTTGCGGTTCCAGCGAGTCCATGGGCATCGGTGAGGCGCAAGTCCTGGGCGATAGGCTGTCCTGCGAGTCGGACGGCGAAAACGGCGATGCCAGCGAAGATGCTGGACGCTCCACAGGCTGATCCCAGTGACTCGCAGTTGGCGAGTACATGGGAGCGGCAGGAAGAAGCGGTGCCGACATCGGCGACCAGCTTACGAGGGCGTTGGCTGCGCCAACATCGAGAGGAGCGGGACGCGAGGAGGTTCGTCGAGGCCAAGGTCGCGGGCGCGGAATGTCGAGAGGGAGGCCCTCTGTGTTCGTGCTGGACGTTGACTCTGTGCTGGCGAGCGAAGACATGGACGACGAGGCCGGCGTTTCGGGTTCTGCCGCGACAGGCGTCGTTTCCTCCGGCACCTCGACCTGCATTTCCCGCTCGCGCACGGCCTCCTCCATCACCGGGTCGCACAGACTCATCATGCGCGACCTGCGCTTCGCCATGTTGCCCTCCGGCTGCAACGTCGACGTTCCCGCCGCCAGCTCCTTGCTGATCTTTGCCTCGACTTCGGCAAAGACGGCGTCCATTGAGATGCCCTCGAAGCGGATCGATGGTATGCGCATCGAGCGAGCGAGCCTGCCGGCTGGTCGCGTCGGCGAGTCATGGATGCTGAAAGGGTGTGATGAGCGGCGCTGTCGAGGCGGCGAGACCTCATCATCCGCTTCGTCGCCGTTGGCGGATGCAGGCGACTCCCGCCGTCCTTCACGTTCAGTCAATTCGCGCGCACGCTTCGGCGAGGTAGGCGACGTGGTTGCACTCGAGAAGGGGTGACGTTTCGGGCGAGGGGGAGTTTCGGGCGCGAGCATGGCGGCGACGGCGGCAGGTATCGGCGTCGAGTTCCGCCGAACGGGCGTCTCCCTCCCACTGGAGAGCATGCCTTCGCAGATACTGCTTCGCAGGTCCTCGTTGTCCCGCTCGACGATGTCGGGCAGAGTTGGGAAGGCGTCCGATGCGAGACCCTTCATCCGCCATGCCCGCACGCTCTCGGGCGTCGAGCCGAGCGACATCGTCGTCGCGTCAGACTGCCAACCCCCGTCGTCCGCTGACGTGAAGAGGGAGGTCGACGCGAAAGAGGAAGCGGTGTTGACGGTCGAGAGGGAAGAGTTGCTCGTCGGGTGGCCCGGGACATGTCGCGACGTCATGGCGCTCGCCGACGGGTGCTGTTGTAGGCTGGCGAGAGAAGAAGACGACGGAGGTGCGGGGAAGCCGAGTGGGAGCGAGTTGGTCGTCCGGGAGGTGTCGGGTCGAGGTGAACGAGGCTGAGGTGTCGACGCTCGAGGCGGCGGGTGCGCGATAGCCTGACGTTGTGCAACAGCCTGCTTCTTCTCCGACCGCGACCAGGGAAAGGAGAGGAGCTTCTTCCCGAGTCCGCCTGAACTCGGACGCGTCTGCGTTCGAACCGATCCCTCGGTCGGCAATCCCATGTATCGGTCGAAAGCGGTCGCGCTGTACGGTGTGGACATCTTGTTGTTGTCTGACGTGCCGGGGCGGACGAAGAACGGGTCGTCATTCGCAGGAGCGGCAGGTGACCAGGCGACAGAGGAGGCTTTCTTGGTCCGCATAGCGGAGGACGTCGAATTCGCGAAGCTGAGTATCAGTCGGAGCTGCAAGCAATAGTTTGCGTCAGTCTCGGCGCGACTGGAGCTGAGGCACGCATCGCGAGACTTACGGGACGTCGGAGGGTGCGGGTGCGTCGAGCAGTGTTTGTCTCGCCTAGAGCGCTGTCTGGGCGGACGGTGGACGCTGCGACGGCAAGCAAGTGTCAGTTCAGAGCTCCTGTCGGCGGTCGGAACAGGACAACGCGCTGCTCACCTGTGTATCACGCCGCGAGCGGAGGAGGGAGAGGCGTCCGAGGAGAGGCGCGGGGCGCTGTGACGGGACGGAGAGCGGCCCGAGGCAAGTGTAGCGGGACAGCCTGTGTCGTATAGGTGCAGTCTCGATAGGTAGGCGCGAAAAGGGAGTGCAAGAGGGAAACAAACTCGAGGGAGCCAGGGCGACCGTCGCGTCGCGTGCTGGCGGCCGTTGAGCGAGGCATGCCTGATCTTGATCGACGTTCCGGCGCAGCAAGGGTTCCAAGCACTCTGAAAGAAGCGCTCCTCTGCGTGGAAGTCCCGATCCAGCATCCTGCTGCGAACGCTGTCCTGTCTCCCCTCGTCACCCATCTCGAGGTCGCTGAGGCCGGCACATCGCCGGCGTCCGCCCTCTTCGCCCTCCGTCCAGATCCATCACACTCGTACAACATTTCGCTGCCAAGCCTTGCGCCCAAGGATGACGAGGAAACGGGCGCTTGGAGGAGAGAATGAGCGGGGAGGACTGCCGGAAGACGGCAGCTCGCCCAAATCGCGTGTGCGGGATGAAGGCGGCTCTCGTAGCGGATGCACACGGCTCTTGCGTCCTCCTGACCGCTCATCAACTCGCCTCGATGCATTCTTGACGAGATGCGACCTCCTCAACCTCGCCAACTGATGAAGGTGTAGAGCGAGGCGAAGGGCTCCCAGGCGGTCGTGCGCGGCTGTAACTTGTAGACGAGAGTCTGAGAACGAAGTAGCTAGCCAGTCCAGTCCGCTCGAGCGGTGAGTGAGCGGTGAGAGCGTGTCGACAGCACCTTCGCCTCGTTATACCTCGTGGCCCTCTCCGTCTCCGTCAACACGAGCCTCTTGCACTCGCTCGCTCCTGCTAGATTGCTTGGCCGCTCTGCTAGACTTCTGTGCCGCGCGACAGGCCGCATCACCTTCCAGCCGCTGCGCCCTCGATTCCCTCGTTCGCCGCACCTCGACGCGACTGTTCCGTTCGATACTCCCTAAACAAGTGCGTGCAGGTCTGGGCAGTCACACAGGTAGTTTGTTGACCCCTCTAGCAACCCGCAGTGCTCGGCGACTCGGCGCAGCAACTCGTTGTCGAGGCGCACCGCTCCCAGCAGACCCGCTCCCTCCTCCCCTACAACACGAGCGGCGTCCGCACCGTCATCCGCGAGTCGCACTCGCTTTCTCAGTCCATCACCAACACCGCCGCACCCTTCGTCGGCACCCAAGGCGCGCAACCTACGCCGGGCGTCTCTGCCGAACTCACCATCTCCGCCCTCGCCTTGAACCGCAACAAGCGGGCGCTTTACGTGTACCACCAGCAGCGCATCGATGTCATCAAGGACAAGTTCTGGGAGAACGGGGGCGTGCTGAGCGCGGCGTTTGGAGCGGAAACCGAGACGAGGCGCAACATGACCACGACCGACGAAACGTTCGCGAAAGGCTATGCGGACCTGTGCCTTGCTTTTAAGACGAGCACGTACGGCGGAAGTGCGGCGAAGCGGCGCATGTACGGCGAAGACGAGGACTCGTACTTGCGGGACTTTGACGAGGACGACGAGGACGACGTCGAGTTCCAGCTGATGGAGGCCGTCGACATCTTGAGCGGCGGGACCGACCTCGCGCCGCCTAAGGAGCTCATGGTGGACGTGCGAGTGGTTAGGGACGTCGGCGAGGTCGAGCTGTTGAGTGGCAACACCCTCAACCTCAAGAAGGGCGCGCAGTACCACCTCTCGCGCGAGGACGTCGAGTCGATGATCGTCGCAGGCGACGTCGAGGTCATCGAGTGAGGGGGCCGCGCGCCTGCCGTACCGCCAAGCAGTCGAGTCGACTCCTGCCTCCGAGCGAGGTCTGCGTTGGACGAGGGTTAGGAGGTGAGCAGGCTGCCATTTCCTGCCTTCCTCGTTTTACTGACAGCTTCGTTCGCTACAGGTGGAGTCACCCATCATCTGGCGTCCAAGTCCCTCAAGCGAAACCGCCGACAATCGCCTCGCGACCTTCCTCTCCGTTCGCTTCCCGCCGCTCTGGCCGCACCAATCTAGCAAGCGTCATACATGAGGAAACGAATGCCTTGCAACAATGCATTGAAGGAGCGCGACCTGCCAGAAATGAGAGGACGGATGCGAAAAAGCTCAACAAAAGCTGGCTAAGCGATGATGCTGGGTGTACAAACGACATGCGAGGAAAGACGAACGAGCGAAGGGCTACATGAGTGAGTGAGGTTGATGCGTAGGGACAGTGGTAGTGTGCCGAGCGTGAGCGAGAGGGGAATTGAATGCCAAAAGGTATGCGGGCGAAAGGGTAGTCGGGGGAGAGTGTCTGTGGCGGTCAAGCGGATGAGGGCGATGCGATGAAGCAGTTGTTCAGCAGGCGAGGCCGATCTCGAGAGTCGGGCGAGGCGGAGCGCGAGGAGAGTCCGAAGGACGCTTGGTCGAGCGAGGAGGACGAGGCGGAGGTCGGAGTGGCTTGTGACAGGAAGGAATTGGGACAAGGGGCACGTCGGGATTAACGACCTGCACGAAGCGACGGAAGTCAGTCCGATAGCGAAGGCTAAAAGGGCGAGAGCGATCACGACGCACAACGAGTTTCCCGCGCTCCCACTGTTCCTCCGCCAACATCGACGCCGTGTCATGCCTCCAGCTCGGGTGCAAGTCAAGGCCAAGCCCGACAGCTTGTCCCTCAGACAAGGTGCGACGGTGTCCCCTCGTCCTGGTTGGCGAAGTGGAGGGCCTCTGCCGATAGTCGTGGCTTGTTGGACGTTCGCGGCGGAGCGCCTCGGTCGGCGACTCGGGTGGTAGGTCGAAGGAGACGACGGAAGGACGGCGGGGAGGCGTCGACGGTCTGTGGTCCTGAGACGGCTTGGACACGCATTCGCAAGCGAGAGTCGATATGGGCTCGGCGGTCGGAAGAGGCGGCGAGTCGAGGAAGAAGGGCTCGTGGCTGCAGCCGCTCGAGCCTGGCGTAGGAGGCATCGAAGGCGAGCTGGCCGAGTACGAGCCGGAGGAGGCGCTCGTCTGTCGCTCGAGCGGCGTGAGAGGAGCGACTGACGAGGAGCGACGGCGCGAGATGTGGGTCGAGAGGGCAGGAGGTTCGATGGGAAGTGTCGCGGCGGAAGAAGGTGAGGGGTACGAGACGCTGTGCCGCGAAAAACGCTTGAGCGTCTTGCGAGAGTGCAGCGAGCGGCGGTTCGAAGCTGAGCCGCTTCCTGCGTTCGAGCTGTTAGAGGAGCTTGACGGAGTGTGGAGGAGGGTGTTGGAGCGGGTGAAGTGAGCGGCGAAGGTGGAGCGAGTGGGCGAAGAAGGGTAGAGAGGCGGAGGAGGCGTGAAGACCTTGATGGGCTGGTGCTCCGGCGTCGACGTCGGAGTCAGGTGCAGAGTAGAAGACGCCGTCGGAAGGGAAAGTGGCCGGAGCTGCAGCGGCGAAGGGCGAGGAGGGCGGATCTGCCGAGGCGAGATTGGCGAGAGCTTGGGCGTCGCCAGGTCAACCGAGAAGCGGGGAGAGGTGGGCGTCAGGTCATCGGCGGCGACGAAGCTCAGCGTTGAGACGTAGTCGAGCGGAACAGAGGTTGGCGCGAAGCCGAGAGAAAGCGACAAGGGCGCCTTCTCAAGTGCCGTCAACTCGGGCTGCTCGTCCTCTGCGCCGTCGAAGTGTACTGCCTCTGTCTCGTCATCATCCGAGTCGAACGTTCCTTCGCTGTCCCCCTCCCCGACACCGTACGCCGCCTTTTTCTTCCTGCACTTCGTCGGCGAAGGTGCGATCGACAGCCTCCTCCGACTCGTCAAGACGCGGTGGCCATGTGAATCAAGGCGCGTGGAGATCGTCAATCCGAGTGCCGGTGCCGATGCTGGAATCGCAGACGAGAGGGAGGACGAGCTGGTTTGAGGCGAAGGGACGAGCGAGAGTTGCGAGTCGGACGGAGATGAGGGGGGCGAGTCGGACTGGGCGGGCGAGAGTGGGATCAGATTCGTGCGTGTTTGTGGTGTTGGTGCAGGAGAAGCACAGGCGAGCGGAGGATAAGGCCAGGAATCCGGGTCGATTTCCTCCTCGTCCTGCTCCGGAAACGCCTGCAACTCTCCCGCAACATCCTTCACTTCGCCCAGCTCGCGCAGCGCCTCCTTGTCGACGCTGCGTCGACGCTCGTGCAGCTCCGGCGTCGAAAGAGGCGAAGAATCGCAAGCGATTGGGCGTGGAGAGTGCGGATCTCGTTCGGGAGCATGGAGTTCGGTCGACTGGCTCGGGCGACGGCGTGTGCGGAGTCGACGGAGTGCAGTGGAGAATACCGCCATCCTGCTGTGACTCCGATGGCAAAGGGAGGGAGACGAGAGGCAGACGGGACGAGGCGAAGGGGTCCTGTGGGGAACGAGGAGATCAGCTCGCTCCGCGGATCTACGAAGGTCGTGGCAGGCGGACTTGCGACTCGCAGCGGCGAGCAGGCCCACGTTCGTCCGGAGAAGAGCCGGGACGAAGACAGCAAGGGAGATGAACGTTTCGAGGACGAAGACGAGCAGCTCAGTAGGTTGCGTCCGCGGATCTCTTACGTATGCAAGAGCAAGGACGACGCAGCGGTCGCCTCGCTCGGAGCTCCTACGAGAGCTCTTCCCGGCCGCAGCCCGAGCGAGAAGAGGCGGAGAGACATGCCTCGCAGAACCAGCTGCACTGCCTCGAAAGCCGTTCGTGCCGTCAAGCGGTCGAGGAACGGCTGGATGTGGCCACAAGCTCGACAGAGGAGGACGGAAGAAGCGAGAGAAGCGGAGGGACGAGGAGGGAGCGGAACGTTTGATATTTCAGATCGTAAATGGTCGTGACAGGGATAACTACGGGTATTCGTGGAGTGTCAGTGCGCTCAGTGAGCGATGGCGACCAGTGCGGCGAGACCGGCGGCAGCGACGACGAGAGCCGAGTTGTGCGAGACGGCGCCGGCCGCACTCGATCCGCCCTGCGTGTGAGTAGGTCCGTCAGCTTTGTGGTCGCAGGATCGAGGAATAGAGCGCGCCCACCTGCGAAGACGATGGAGCGCTGCTCGAAGCGGTAGCAGTGCCGGACGAGCCAGACGAGGCAGAGAGGCTAGTAACGCTCGCAATCTTGGATGAAGCGGACGCCGAGATCTCCGAGACGCTGTCCATCCAACGGAGCTAGGTCAGCTTGCCAGCTTGGATCAAAAGTACAGAGAGGCTAACGCACCGGGACGAGACGTCCGAGTTCAAGCTTGAGGTGACGCTGGCAAGGCTGCTCGAAAGGGACGAAGCGGCGCTCGCTGCGGCGCCGAACGAAGTCTGAGTCGAGGCGCTCGCGAGGGCGGAAGAGGCGGCCGACGAGGCCGACGCTGCGACTGAGGCGGCGGAGGACTCGAGCGAGGCGGCGCTGGAAGAGGCCGACTGCGCGACGGCTGCGAGCGAAGACAAGGTCAGTCTGAATGCACGCGACAGCTGATGCGAAGAGAGCGAGACGTACAAGCCGAGGAAGCGGCGGCGTTGCAGACCTGCTGGCCGAGCGACTGTCCCGTCTGCCTGTCCGCGTCGCTCTGCTCGGGCCGGCTAGCGCGTCAGCGACCTCTCCTCTCACAACCGGAGGCTCGACTCACGCAGTTGTCCGCAAGGCACTGGTCCCAAGCGTTGACGAAAGCCGGAGTCTGGCACAAACCCGCAAGGTTGCCGCTCTGAACGTTGGGAGCAAGCTGGCCTGCCTCGTTGATCTTGGCTTGGAAGCAGCGAGCGACGCAACCTGGAGCGGAGGAGGGGAGCTGGGCGAAGGTCGCGGGGAGGAGGGCGAGGAGGACAGGGAGGGAGAGGCGGAAGGAGACCATTCTGCGAGGGGACTGCGCGGAGACAAGAGGTCAGGGTTGTCTCGACAATGGTGATGACCGTACTCACCTTGTGCACTGTACAGAGAGCGATGCGTGAAGAAGAGAAAGAGAGAGAAGCGAGCGAGCGAGCGAGCGCAGGGAACAAAGCGGAAGAGCGCAAATCGGGACTGACGCGACAGCTGCGCCTCGCTCGCAGGCAAATTGCGGTAAGAGCGTCACAACAAGGCTCGAGCGGCAGCACATGGTCGAGTGTGACGCGTGCGAGCGAAGGATAGGAGACCAGGAGGAGGTCGGATCAGCCGGGCGAAGCGAAGACAGCGAGAGAATCTGGCGGCAGTTGTGCCCATGTGGACAGTCGACTGGCGGTCCGGCAAACCCGCCTCTGCTGCCCGCAAGTCAGCATTCGCCGTTCGCGAGTCCCCCTCCTCCTCGCTAGCCGCTGGCACCGCTCGAGGCCAACACTGCACCGGGACCTTCGGTACCCTCACAGACTGACACCTCGATGCCTTCTTCGCCGCCCAAGCCCCTTCAAGTGCCGGTTCACGCCACGCAAGTCCTCCCGACCGCCGACTGATGAGAATCGGATGTTGTCGAGGTCGGTTCGAGCTGGCGGCGGCACAGGCGAGTCGCGGCGAGTTTGTAGCAGCAAGTGAGAGATTCGGTGAGCCCAGCAAGCCAGTCAAGCGGCCCTCTCCTGAGTCAAGGCTGCTCGTCGAGTCGAGAGGTGGGGCGGACCGCATGGCGCGAGCTGTTGTCCTCGTATCTCTCGCTCGTTGGCCTCCTGCTATCCTGCACTGCTCTCCAAATATGCTACAGATCCTGCCAGCAACAGCTGAGGACGTCCCGCGCCTTGTCGAGATCGGACACTCCGCGTTCGCTGGCAATGCCCTCGACCGCGCTGTCTTCGGCGACGTCGACCCGCAGGTGCACCGCGAGCACTCGATCAAACGACAGACGAAGATGCTCGAGACGGGCAAGATGTCCTTCATGAAGGCGGTCGTGGCTGGCGAAATAGTGGGTGTCGCAATTTGGGCGCTGCCGAAGAAGGAGGAGGACAAGGCTGAGGAGAAGAAAGAGGATGGAGCAAACAAGGAGAACGAGTGGCCTCCTGGGACCAACGTCGAGCTGGCGACGGAGATGTTCATGCACGACGCAGGAATCAAGGAGCCGCATTACTGTGCGTTCGTTCGCTTCGCCTCCTGCTGACCTTACTGACGCTTTCCTGCAGATCTCGGCTTCCTCTCTGTCGATCCGAAGTACCAGCGGAACAAGGCAGGCTCGACTCTGCTGCGGTGGGGATGCAAAAAGGCGGACCAGGAGGGCGTGCCCGTCTATCTCGACGCGACCAAAGGTGCGTTTTGCCCCTTTTCACTCGCAAAGAAGCGCAACTAACGATCTGCGTGCAGTTGGCATTCCCGTCTACGAGCGAGCGGGGTTTGAGCCCTTCGGTCCACCACACGTCTCGAAAATCGACCCGCAACACGTGGTGCGTTCCGTCTCGCTTGCCGAGCTGGACTTTCTTCGCTGACCTCCTCGCACGCAGCTCTACCCTATGCGCCGACCCCCGCTACGCATCGAACCTGCTACTCTCGCCGACCTGCCCGCTCTCGCACCAATCCACCGCCTCGCCTTCTTCCCCGGCGCAATAACCCAGTATTGTTTCCGCGACGTCAGTCCCTCCAACTTTGACGCATGGTTCGTCAAGCGCTTCACAGGCGTATTGGAGAAGCGCGACAAAGGCGAGAAAGTCGAGGTATTGGTTGGCAAGAGGGCCGACAAGCCGGTCGCGCTGGTGTACTACGGGCTTGAGCCGGAGCTGGAGAAGCGCGAGAAGGACGACACGCCAAGGCAGTTTCCTGAAGGCGCGAATGTCGAGCAGGCGACAGACATCCTTGGACAGATGGACGCGCACATCAAGAAGATCCCGTTCGCTCATTGCTGTGCGTCACCTCATTTCTCTCACCTTTCTTGCCGTGCTGAGCTGCTCGTCACGCAGCCTGGCACATCATTTCCGTCCATCCAGACGCTCAAGGGACCGGTGTAGGGTGGAAGATGATGCAGGCTGTTCTGGACGCCGGAAAGGCAGCTGGACTGCCCGTCACACTCGAAGCAACTGACGGTGCGTCTCGCACGCAGACTCCCCGGCTGATACTGACGCTTTGTGCTCGCAGAGGGACGGCCAATGTACCAACTCGCCGGCTTCAAGGACTTTGCGGAAGTCATCGTCGCGAAGAATGACGAGAGCGTCAAGGTGCGCCCGTCTCGCTACTTCTGCTGATGTAGGCCTGGCTGACGGCGTCTCTCGTAGCTCTGGCCGATGATCCTCGAGCAGTCGGAGGGCTAGATGCAACGAGGAGGACGACTCGTACCAAGCTGACCTTCCCAAAGTTCTATCGAAGGCTCTCCTGGCTCGCCGTTCGTTCCGTTCGCCTCGCCGCTTCGCTGGATTGCTCAGCCAGACTGCTTCGACTAGTGCGCCCGCTGAACAGCTCACTCGCCGACCTTCACCTCGTCTTGAGGGACATCAAGCAGCTCCTCTCCTGCCAAGCTCGCCCGTGGACCGCCTGCATGCACGCACATGGACTCACGCGCATGCATCGAGATCCCGTGCTACCCGCCCTCAAAAGACGGTCTCCCGCTCGCCTCCCTCTCTCTCTCCCCTTCCTTGCACTCGCCCACCATTTCCGCCTTCAACTTCTCCAGCTTCACCCGCCTTTTCTACAGCATGACCACCCGCGACATTCCCCAGCAGTTCCGCGCCGCCCAGTTCACCCAGTCCGGCGGCGAGCTCGAGTTGCGCGAGACTCGCATGCAGGACCCGCGTCCGGAGGGTGCGTCCTCGTCCTCCTTTCGCTTGCCGATGACGTACTGACGCTCTCCACGACGCTCCGGAACAGAGGTCGTCATCCGCGTCCACGCCTCGGCCCTCAACAGCACGTCCGTCCCACCCTGTCCTCCTCCTCCTCCGCTCGCCTCTGAAGCTGACTCTCCTTCGTCTCGCCCGCAGCGACCAGATCCTCCGCAACGACCTCCTTCCCGGCCTCGAGTTCCCGCTCACGCCTGGACAGGCCGTCGTCGGCGAGGTCGTCCGCCAGGCTCAGCGCGGCGAGGGTCGCGTCAAGGAGGGTTCTCACGTCGCCGGTGCGTTCGCTCCGTCCCTCTCCGCTCCGAGCTCGTGCTGAAACGCTCAAGCGCAGCCCTCTGCTACCGCGGCGGA